GAACTGGTTAAGTGGCGAAACAAACTGACGAAATAATGACTAAATAATGGATAATAATGGATAATAATAATAAGTGATAATAAAGGCAAAATAATGGATGATAATGACAAAACATTGACTAAACAATGGATAATCATGGAACATAATGACTAAATAGTGGAAAATATTGGATAATCATGGATGAGAGCCAGTTACTAGCTTCTTCACTAATCCCAGCATCTAAGCAGCTGTTTAGCAAACTGGGTGATTTCCTCCATACAAGTAGTAGCCTAGCTAAACATTGACCCAGTAGTTGTACAAGCAAGCAAACCAAGACTTATCCAGAACAGGCCAGGGGGCTGAGGCATCATGAAACTCTGACAGGTCCTATATATCAGACCTATCAAACTTGATTTTTAACTTGATTCACAGAAGCTGCCCTCGCTGCAGACAGCAGCAAGAAGTCTCCCCATAAACCTGTTAGAGAGATTTACAGAGTATACAGTGTAAACAGGACAATCTGTCCACAGTCGGAATTCACAGACAACACCCCTGCACACAATTTGACTAAGGGTCAATTCACCATTGTTTTTTGCTTTTGACAGTTCTTTTGATCCTTTTTGCTGGTTTAACTTCTCAAACTTATCGAGTTTGTGCTGGTTCCATTCCCCAGTATGTTTTTCAGTGAACATCCAATCTTTGTTGCTGGTAAACAAAATAACATATCAAGCATTTAGTTTTAGCATAAAACCAACTGGTCAACATCACAGTCACATTACAAGCTGGTGCCCCGCCCTCAAAAAAATGTAAGTGTGTTATATATTATATTATTTATAAAATTAAAAACCCTATTGACTATACTTAGACCCTCCAATGGTCCAATTCCCCGCAGAAAATTGGCAACAATGATTAAACATCCCAACATACATTACCATTTTTTTTCTAGGCAGATGGAGGGTCCAGGTAGATAAAGTTCATTCACACCAACCTTCGCTACCTGGGGCACCACCGTGGGGCCGGGTGGCAGCAGCACGCCATGCGGTGGGTGTGGGTTGTTCAGGTCCTTGGTGTCCACCGTAGGGCCGCCCCTCTCAGATGCAGCCGAGGCGACCTGCATGACCAAGCTATCCAACTATGGGGGGCCCAGCTTGTAGGAAAAAAAATGAAGGCTTATATCCCAACTGTTCATATCTAGTTATCCATTATAGTAGGGATGTAATCCACATAGTCCCATATATATATATATATGTATATATATATTATATGCTATCATATATATATATAAATATAACATATATATATTATATTTAGATATAATATATATATATATATATTTATTTATATTCCCATGATTTTCCCATGACTTTCCCACCCCCCATGTGCCAATGTCCCCCCACCGGCCTGGGTGATGGTCACATCGCCATACTTCTCAGCGGTGGCTTTCATGAGGGGCCACAAGCGCCCAGTCATCAGGAAGTGGCTCAGGTGGTTCGTTTGGATCCTGGGCCAACGTTTACGAAGCCCAACAAACAGATGGTGGACCATTTAAAAAATTCATCTTATTTACAGTAACCATGATATATATATATATATATACATAGTTGATCTATAAAAATTACAAGCCCAAGTTGACTTGTACTTGCCAGTGCTTGTGGTAATGAAATAACTGTAGTTAATATTAATAGGGTTTGTAACCCAACGCTAAAAGCTGTTCTGACTGCAACTGAATGCCACTCACCACCATACATGGATCGCAGAATTTGGATCAATTATGCGTACGAGTACCAAAAAATACTAATTGCATAATATACTTATTATATGATAATTACATAATAATATACCAAAACATATATAATTACATAATTGATCATACTGGTATATTATATTATATTATATGATACTTATTGAGCACCGTCTGGTGCCAGGGGGGGTGGAACCCCTAAACAAATATAATAACATGCAGGGGCCTAAGGACAAAATGCCAATAAAATGAGAGGGCATAAGGTAAGATAGGAAAACCCAAGCAAAATACAATGGACAGGTACAAAAAGAATATGACGTCAGGCCCCCTCCACCTAGCAACTGTTGGACCTCGGGCTCCGGCATTTTCTTTTGGGTTGATCTTGTTTAGTCTTGTTTCCTTATTTGATTGGTTTTAATCATCTTTGAAGGAAAAAAACCCACAATGGCAAGACCCAACCTCCAACATACAAATAAATAAATATGGTTCCAATTCTGACATCTGGCTGGTTTCTAGAAAACATACAAATAAATATAAATAAACTGAAGAAATCTCATTGGCTGCTGTGAGCTGCCCGTGTGTCTTTTGTTCCAAGGGAGGCAATAGAAAATGAGGGGGGGCCAACCCATGTTCGAATTATCCATTTTCAGTTTCATATGCTCCATAATGTCCAAGTGATTCCAAATCTCTGGAACGTTTCACAAAATGATCAGACCGTTCACAGCTGTGCATCTTTGCTATCATGCTATCTCTGTCAGTTAACTTGCTGGGTTGGGCACCTCAAAAAATAAAATACATGCACAAAAAAATGCTGGGGTCTGCCCCATTTTATTGTTTTATGTGTTTTATGTTTTTTATTTTAAGGGGCTCCTGCCCCCTCATTCTATTTGGGTACACCGAACGGAGGTCTTATTAATATTATACATAATGTTAATTAATTTAATTGGGCAAAACCTTCAAAACCACCATGAAGGACTCGGTAGATCGCAGCGCGATTGAAACAGCCAGGCGTAGCCGGGCAAGACTCTGAATGTCGTAGCCATCCTTGGTCATCTGAGCATCTAATCCTCAGCCCCAATGATGACAGATCACCAACCGGAGAAACATGGGGAACGAATCAACGGATTTTCGGGAACCATATTTTCAATCAAACCCATTTCTTTAAAGCTACTATGTGCACATCTTCCATCTTCCTATGCCTAAACCTACCTTTTTTTCTGACTTAATATATTTACCAACCTTTGGGCACCCATGGGTTACCCCGCCCCAACCTTTGGGCACCCATGGGTTCGCCCCCCCCCAAAAAAAAAACATCTAAACTTCTTCCCATGATGTGTCCCGACTCCAAGTAGCCCATGACGCCGGCGTTGTTGCACACAATGTCCAGTCGGTCAAACTGCTTCTTGAACTCGTCCGTAAACATGCGGATACTGGCCTTGGAGAAAGGCACGGCAGAACTCGGTCGAGTGTCAGCTGTCGGCTGCACAAACAACTCAACACCTGGGCCAACTATCCTATGGTGTATATGATAGATACATCATGATACATCTACATCGTTATCTAGATATATCTAGATGGCTTTAAAAACCAACTGATAAACCATGGGCACCTAGAAGGTGCTGTTCCCTTCCGATCGAGGCCAAGCGTCAAAGTCACAGTTGTCCATCTTCATGACCTTAGGAGCTGGTCTTAGGCCATGTCGCAGCTATGATTCGATGTCACAAACTGCTGAGAATGATCAGAGAAAAATATCAGCCGATGAAGTACTCAAGTTGCATATTCTATTTATCATGATTATGGCCTCTCAACCGTACCACTGTTGAACTGCTTGAGACTCTCAAACACTGCAACAATCGCCGGCTTCCAGACCGTGGCCATTTCTTAGATCTGTAGCTACCACTCACATCACTTACCTGGCTGACTTAACCCCTTAAAAATCAGTCAGTGAATCCATTACTCTTAAAAACCATTCGGCTGTGGGATCGGCCTCTCTCTGGGAACTTCACCCAAGATGCTGGACATTGCAAATACATCAAACTATCAAATATTTTTTTGAGGTTTGTCATTACAAACTAGTATCATCATTGTCACTACTTTGAATATCATCATCAACATGATATATGATTATTGATAATGACTATCATCAAAATGATAATCATGATTTAAATTAAATAGTTGTTGGTTTTCTTTGAAAATAAACTATATACCGCTATATATCCCCTGGAAACAACATGGTTATTCATTATATTGTTCACTATGAAACGGTGATTTTGTGGGAATCCCGCCGCCCAACGCCGAGGGACCGTAATGGGCTTGGCAGCCACGCCGAGTTCTTTCAACTGAGCCTGCTGCTGGTGATGGTACCAAATAAGCTCCCAATCCCAATCCCATCGTACCAACATGTACCAACTTTAAGAGAGAGTACGCAATGCACCCAACTGAATGGAAGGATTTTTTATTTTTCAGGTGGTCACCCTCTCAATTTTAAGACGTCTCCCGGCTGTGGGATTTAATTGTCCCAATAAACAAGGTAGTGTAACATAGTATAACCCCCTTCAGAGTGACCAATCATAACCCTACCGCTGCGGTCATGATTTTCCCCATGAAAAATGAACATCAAATGGGGACACTCAGCGTTGCTCCCAACACCCCAGATACAAGGGGAATAAACTACATAGGGTCTGGCGTTGTGGCGCCGTATCGATTTTGATATCTTAGCTGTGAAAATCAGGGTTTTGGAATTTCATCTTTTTTGCACATCATCTGCTCGACACTCCCCCTTTTCTCCAAGAGCGTGTCAGAAGTTCCAAGAACATGTTAGAAGCGTAGCATCAAGAGCGTGTCAGAGGTTCCAAGAACATGTTAGTAGCGTGTCTGAAGTTCCAAGGACATGTTAGAAGTGTAGCATTAAGAGCGTGTCAGAAGTTCCAAGAAAATGTTACTGTAGAAGCGTAGCATCAAGAGCATGTCGGACGTTTCAAGGACATGTTAGAAGCGTAGCATCAAGAGCGTGTCAGAAGTTCCATCAACATTTTAGAAGCGTAGCCTCAAGAGCGTGTCAGACGTTTCAAGAACATGTTAGAACACAACAAAGAAGCGCGCGACAAGAACGTTATTACACCCCCCCACCACCCCCTCCCAACCCCCCCAACCCCAGAAATATGCAAAGATGTACAAAAACGCCAAGGGCGTGTGCTTCCGACTACATACAGTAAGTAACGTAGCATGAAAAATGTGCAAAAACAAGTAACGTGGCATGAAAAGTGACAAAAAACGCACAAAAACACACGGCCAAATAAGGGTCGTGGTCCAACTACATAGCCCTGAACTTCCAAAGTGCACAGTTAAACTTGCACGTTAGCAAGTACATGATTCACTGAAAGTACCCTTTTCACTTGACCCCTGAAAAACTATATAGAATGGATATGAATTGATATATATATATATATACTGTATATACCCCAGTAGACCCTGTAAGGTATCCACCAACCGCTCCAGCATCAGCACAAGCCTTCCTGAAGCGAGAACCTTTATACATATACCATGCAAAGAAACTAGAAGGATAAAAACACTATATCATAAGTATTCATAAGTGACCTTGGGCCCTGACTCATCAGAACCATTGACTTCAGCCTTGGCCCTGAGTGCCCTTTCTCGTGCTTTTCGAAGAGACTCTTGCACGTCCATGGTCCCCCGGATCAGTGATAGTGTTGGCTATGAACTACTAACTACTTAATAAATTCACGGTTGAAGAATCATTTTTTTTTAAAGTTTTTTTTGGTGACTCCAAAATCACGGGTTTTTCACGCACTTTCACGGTGAAATCACGTTTGAGTTCTTTCCCGGAAATTTCAGAATTTTCGAATTTGAGTGCGAAAATCGCACTTTCCACGACACACTCGCACATGTTATTGGCACATGAATTGAAACACCGTGGCCTTTCCCAACCCCTAGACTTAAAAATCTACACGGAAAGAATTCTTTGTGTGCGCCTTGAGAGGTTCAAGATTTGCCCAATGTGCAGCAAACGCACAAAATTGTGCGCTACATTGTTTCATCTAAGTAGGTAGGGGCATCTTGAGCCTTCAACAATCCTGCCATGCCCTGATTAATGACAGCTTCCAATGTATACAGCCCATATCAATCCATATGTTAGCCAAGTAAAACATGAACAACGTGAAAGGTTCAAGTTAAACTGGTACAATACCCAGTTAAACTAATGTTAAACTTACACGCTGAAGTTCTGGGTAGGGAAATAAAAATTACATAAAATGACCAGTTTACTCCTCTTTGGGCTGTGATTCACCATTGGTTGGAGCAACCCTGCTATATAAGGTTTTTTGGCCCCGAACGATAGCTCAGTTGACCTTTAAATTTGTTAACTATGTTGGGTTTATGAGGGATATAACGAACTACAGTAGTTCATGGCAGTTCATGGGTTTATCAAGCAACAAACATCACTGAGCGGCCTCACTATAGTGATTAATTGTGGTAAAATCCACTTGTCAATCATGATTTTCCCCACATGAAACATGACCATCAAATGGACCTTACTAGACCGCTTTTTCCTGGCCTCAACATCTGCCTTCACCGCCTGGCCCTTCTCAGGGTTTCGCACCGTGATCACGCACTGTGCTCCTCGCAGCCGGAGGCGACCGTACGATCAATTCGGAAATTCTTCGTAATTCCGTTTCTAGGTCCACGAAGTTGATTCCATACTGCAAATTCCATACTGTATAGGCTTTACATTTTTTTCATGTTGTTGTTATCATCTTTAATCGTATCTTGCATGCCTGGTTGGTGGTTTCAACCCCTCTGAAAAATCTGAAAAATATTAGTGGATGGGATGATTATTCCCAATATATATATATGTGTGTATATATATATATGGAAAAAATGTTCCAAACCACCAACCAGATGCAACATAGGGTTTCACTTTCACATGCTTTCCAGCCTTTCGAGGCCAGGGCTTTGGTGGCGTAGAAACCCAGACCCGAAGAGGTTGAGACCTCGAGCGATGGCACAGGGGGGCTTGAAACGAGGAATGTCAACCCCCCGGATTAATCAACACTGAATGTTCTTTGGATGGGGAAGTATGTACCACCAAAATAATTAAGGTGATATATCATCATAGGTATAGATATAGACATATATAATATATATATATATATATATCATTATATATATATATCATGATATATATATATATATATATCTATCTATATTATATATATATATATCTATAGATAGATACATTACTGTTAAGCTTGGTACCATCCTATTAATTAATTAGGGGTTTTCTACGGTTTATTTTCCCAATACACTAATCAATAATGGCTGGAAAATACATGTATGTATATGTATGCCCCAAATGGGACATGGTAAAAATTACTTGGGATTAAGGAATAATGGGGCATCGTCATCACATCATCAAGAAACCCTAACATAGAATATGGAAACATACGCCATGTTTTGATCATGCTACATATCATCTCTACATAAAGCATCCCCATATTCGGTGCTTAAACCCCGATATAAATCCCAATATAAATCCCCAATGTATCCGGACTGCATAGGCCATCTTTCTTCCAAATGTATCGCCATTAATTAATATTGTGTTGTGGGCAGGAGGGAGCTATTCTGGGAAGCCAACGAGTTTCATTGATGATTTCCCACCTTTTCAACATCTGGGTCAACATTGGTAAACTATCATCATGAAAACTAACATTGTAACTAACCTTGACTACATATAGCAATCAGTATAAACTAACATTAAATTATAGTAATTAATGTTACTTGAGGTCACTATAATTTACCTATATATATATATATAGTCCCCAAATAGATGGAACAGTAAATCACCATCAAATTAGTAGGGATGACTATTTTTCCATCTATTTGGGGATGACTATATATATATATATATTATAGATATTTAGATCTATCTACCTTCCCACACTGGAGATTGCGGAACGTCCGCATCCGCCCAGCCACGCCGGTGATCAACGCCACGCGGCCAGTCAGATCCTGCAGCCGAGTCACAGCCTTTCGCATGGTCAAGGGGAAGGGATTATATGGTGTAGACATGATGTGTAAAGATGTATATATATATATAATAGTCAATAATAGTTGTATGTATATATATATATATATTATACACATACATCCTGAATGATTGTATAATTACATATTAGTATTACATATATATATTTATATACATCCATAGATTTAAAACTGTACCACAAACAAATAGAATCACCAGCGCCAGCGCGCTCCTTGATGTTCTCCGGATTCTTGATCCACTCCTGAGGACACTCCGAAAAAAAAAAAAACAGATCTGGGTGGAGCCAAGCGCCGACAGGTGGACAAATAGCAACCTCTGTGCTTCAGCTTGCCATCGAGGTGGACGCTTAGCTTGACAGCTATGGAGATACAGTAGTTTGGAAAAAACTGACCATTGCCGCCCCATGGCCCATGGCTTATCCTGAATATCCGACAGGTGGATTCCCTGCAGAATCCATAAGACCATATATGACCCATCTCCCAAGTATCCGGATTGTTGTTGCCTTTGAATGAGCTTGATATCGCTATTCACCATGAACCACCACAGGTTCACCATCATTTTGCGGCTTCCCTGTCACAGTTTTGCCACATTTTGATGGCTAAATACCCCTCGAGCAAGCCGACGAGAGGTCAAAACACGTAAAAACAATTCAAACACTTCTATGTTGATATCATGTCACTCTTAATCAGCCATTTTTGCCATCGCAATCATCTTATGCACTCCGTCATTTTGTTGGTTGAAGCCCACAGGTTTGATGGTCAAACTACACAAGGACCAATTGGTTTCCTGCCAATTTTCCCCAAAACAAAATTGTTGCTTTCTGTCCCACATTCAACCCATGGTGGGTCATGTGATCCAGGGATATCCCATATATTTACCTTCCATGGGCACCTCCATTTTTATAGCCCTAGAGCCAGTTATAACTGGCTTATAACCTCATATAAGTGATATATATGGCAGTGTGTCAAAACCTGGTACCCCTAGTGAACATCAACATAGCTGGTAAATGGATGTTAATCCCACTAAAAATGGTATTAATAGGTATTGATCCATACCCATATATATATATATATGTATAATATATAGATATAGTTCACCTTAGTTGGAGATCATTCATTCCATGGCCATAACATGGTAGCCACAACCCGCCAAGATGCTGGGTAGTACTTGTCCTCGAGGACAGTGGGGCCGCTGACCTCCGTGCTGGAAGAAGATCCCATGGCGATGGCGGTGCGTTCGGCGCGGGTTGCTTCGACGTGGAGCAGAACACTTCGACGTGGAGCATGATCTCGGAGCAAATCGTTGCATCTGTAGCCACTATCATTACACATTAAGACCAATAACTACATATGCCATATGTATATCATATACAGTATATATATATATAATGTATTTTTATGTATACGTATTGTATTGCCATGAATATGCATTACATCTATATACATCTATCCATGAAATGCATGGAAATGCCATCATACGTCATAGGTCCGTCCTCCTCGAGTTCCGCTAGGGACGCCTGCCACCCCGTAGCATCTCTAGGGAGAAAACTCAGCAACTGGCGCTGATATGATAGATTATGATATTGTTGCTTAGAACTCATGGCAATATTGAAGGGATGTGTACAGTGGGTGGCTTTTGTGAGGGGCACTCAAAACGAAGTTTCCAAAGCACTAATCGGGTCAAGTTCATTTCAATCTTGCATCATCAGGATTCAGGGTGTGGGTGACTGAAGCCGTTCCATGCCGTTCCAACGTTGGAAAACCAACTCTATGTTGTCTTGTATGCATGAATATTCACCTTTGCCTCCCATGGTTCAACTCCTCAATAACCAAACATCCGCATATGTTTGAGCGTTTTCAGCGTCCAGCTGGCGCCTCCAAGCAATTCTGTGCCCAGCTCAAGTCAGGCTCCAGTTTCAGAGCCATTTGACCTGGATGCGACTTGAAGACACCGACCACCATGGAAAACAATTATTGCCCCGCGCGGAAGCGCGGGGTATATGCATATATGGTATGTAAGTATATGCATAGATTGTCATTCTTATACTATTGTCTATTGCGTTTATATGTTTGTTTTTTGGTCATAGCACAAATCTTATATTGTCATTGTTGTACAACACATGGCAACTACAACATCATGAAACTAGCAAAAGTAACTGTTTCCACGCAGAAAATGATGATCAACCTGTATTTTGGGATCGTCCCAACAATTTTCAGAGAAATATCCTCCACTTATAGTACCAGTTCATAGGGTTAGAAATCCAGCATGGGTTTATTAATGATTAACATCCCCTGAAATATGGTATCGGAGGCTTTGTCCCATCCCTATACACTGGCATTATCATAATCGCTGCCCCAAAAAAATTCTGATCACTTCCTAGTAGACTTGGTATGAATTGCTATACCCCAAACTTGGTAAACGGGAAGCGACTCTGGGTCCTGCAAGGTGGGGTAAAGAACACCGTGCAACAAAGTTCTTTTTTAGCCCCATGAACTACGAGTAGTATTAACCTCTATGGATCCAAGTAAATCCTGATGAAGTGTTTGGATCCATAGGAAACTAAAGTGATAATTACCATACACAGTAGTGAATATAATATATATATATACTATATATATATAATACTATAATATACTTCTATTTGTACTAACTTAGCAATGGTGAACGGGGGGTCTCACTTTTTTTCCCATTCCACTATATCCCATTCTGGTCCCCATCGTATTCCCATTGTTCTTGGCTAAATTCCCATGTTGTGCCACAAAAGTGGGTGTATTGGTGCCGTCTTTGGGCCATGATTCAGTTCCATTCTTTTCCCATGAAAACCTTCATGTTTGAACATTAAGTCCTCACTTCCCATTAATCCACTAAATCCCCATGATATCATTCATTAATCAATGAAATCCATGTGTTCCATTCGATTCCCCATTATATAGTTTGATACATGAAATGATTACACACTTGTAAATCATGTATATATATAAACCATATATAAACCATATATAAACCATATATAAATCATATATAGACCATATGAACACCATATAATCACCATAAAAAAAAAAAAAACGATAAACACCATATAAACACCATAATAATAATAATAAAAACACAATAAAAACACCATATAAACACCATAAACAAAAAATAATAAACACCATATAAACACCACATATATTTCATGAGTTTCCCAAATGATCTCCCATTCATTTACGCATCTGCCAGGTGCCCCCGCATGCATCCACCGCCTCGCGGTGAAGCCCCTGTCTCTGCCTCACGGCCTGTTTTGAGGATCCAGGGCTGGCTTGTTGACCGTGAAACAATGGGGTTTTCACCAGGGAAATGGATTGGTTTAAGGGAAAATCTACAGGAAACCATGGTTTTTACCATCAAATATAGGGCTTTCCTGTAAATTTTCCCATCATCCAATTCTATGACACCAGGGAAATGGATGGACATGGTGATTCTTGTGAGGATTTTCTTGTGAACGATGGTGATTTTTAATGATTTAACTGGAGAAAATTCGGTGCACTAAAATATGGCATTTTTTTGTGATAGAAATGGGGATTGATGGTTGGTAGTGGGATAATATGGGTTAGTATGGGTTAAACGTGGTTAATGAGTGTCAGGAATTGCTAGTAACCATACAAGGGGGAATTGGCACAAACAACTCCAAGTTCACTAGGGTTTAAATGGCAATCATATATATATATATATATGTATTTGTAAGGATAAATAGTTTATAAATATAGTATAGGGCTTATACGCCACCTTATAACTCGCGACGCCCACCCTCATGAAAATTGCATGAACTGTTGGTGTTGTTGTTGTTGCTGCTGCTGTTGTTGTTGCTGCTGTTGTTGTTGTTGTGGTGGTGTGGTTTTACTTTTTAATATCTCCGTTTCTCCCAGGGTAAACCTTATTTGTTTCATCTTTCGAATCCGTCTCTTGGCACATTGGTCATCAATCTCTTCATCCTTTGCTGGTTAAATCACATGTTTAGTATGGTAGTTCACTCCCATCTTTTCCTTGGTCAGAATATCGTAGAGCCACAACATATTTTCGAAATCTTCAACATGTTTCAATATCCTCGAAATGACATGAAATGGCATGATGGTCCAGTTTTGGGTGCTAAACTTCCCATTTTCTGCTGGTAACCTCACAGCCCCAGGGTCACGTTGTCGGCGCACCCCAAGGAGTCCCCAGGCCGGAGCGCTGTCGCTCTGGAGCTTCAGGGCAGCCTGAAGCTCATGGCAAGCGTTGACGAGTTGTGGTGACCTTAACCGAAACATGGCAATGTGACTCTGGCTATTCGGGATTGATGGGATTTTATAGGCATGGTATGGTATGTTACACGGATGTTATGGGATTGTTATATAGGATTGTTATAGGATCTTGCTGGGACTTAATAGTATCTAATGGGCTTTATTGGATTTTATGGGATTTTATGGTGATTAATTAAATCTCATTAGATACCATTACTGTAAATCCCATTAGATGCAATTTAAAAAAAAACATAAATAATCATATTAAGTTAAGTACATGAATAAGAGTCAGGGTTGATGAATCAACTTAATCTATTACAGGTCCTTTGGTTGGTTACAGCCAGTCAATATATTGGTGAAACAAGGGTTACAACCAGTGAATCACATTCAGGACAATCATATAGTAAGTTAAGTCCTCAGGGTTTGCAGACTTGGCAAACATGATCTCCACCCCTCTGCCAAAAACCAGACTGCCTCCGCATCTGCAGAGGCCCCATTGACATCGTCAGAAGCCAAATACGCGGTGCCGCGACCTAATTCGACCAGTTTTTCTGGTGTGATGAGCTAATTACTACTGTAACTCAAAGGGCCATTGATAGTTGACACATCAAGCTTGTTTAAAATTAACTCTATACACAGATATAGAAAATCAATCAAGGAACTTAATTTTCTTGTTTGCAACCGAATCACAAAAATTAAGTTCGTTTCCCGAAATCAAACAGATCATTATAATGTTCAAAATTCAAAACAATCATTTCCTCGTGTCGAACGGGTTTGGGACCCTGCTTTTACCGCAGGGTCCCAAACCACCAGCTGAACATCATCATGGCATGGAATCGAATCTATCTGTAGGATCTATGCGTAAGGATAATCTATATATAATATTTTACAGTTATGGCCATTTATCAGTTATCAGTACTAACAAAACACCATTTATAGAATGTATAATTCCATTTATAACCAGTTATAACTGGTAAATGGCCATAACTGGACATTGTTTTATGACTTCTCACAGCCACAGACCTGACAGGTGAACAAGAGAATATGTCCATTGCAAAATCGTCATACGTGTCCTTTGGGGTTACATTCTGAATTCCGGAAACTAAATCATGCTAAATGACTAAATCATGCTAGCAACCACTAAGAAACAAACATGTACCATCTGGTTATTTAACATAGCCATGGAAAATCACCATTCATAATAGGTAAACCATCTATAAATGGGCCATCTATACCATGGCTATGTTAAATAACCAGAGGGTATATCCCATTAAATCCCATTAAATCCCATTAAACCACCATTTTCCTATGGTAAATCACCATTTATTGAAAACTTGAAACAAAGTCTCATACCACATATTGGTTTGGCTTCACCATCGGTGTGGATTCACCGGGAGCCCGGGCTAAGCCATGCCTCCAAGCGATCAGGCTCCAGTTTTAAAGCCTGGCCGACAATGCTGGGACCGGGACCGCCCAGAGGATTTCAATGGGAAGGAAAAACATGAAACATGGAAAGGCTGCCTCCTGATAATTAAGATATATATATATATATAGATATATTAAGATCATGATTACAGGAATTTACAAACTTGGACTTGATATGATTTGATATGCTTTTGACTCGTATACAGGACCTGAAACATATTGAAGAATCAGTTGGCCCGTGGAGAATTGGTAGGAAGTAGAAATTGCTGACCCCGATTTGCACATGAGGGCCGTTTGTCCAGTGAAGAGTGTGGGTCAGGTAGAGTATGCAGTATGATGCAATGATGCCACAATGTTCTCAGCCCAACAAAGGTCTATATGTAGTAGTTTCTGGCTTAAAGAACCAGGCTCTATATGCTACCTAGCTGATTGATGTCAATATGTCTTTGCAGCTTTTCAACCATTCACGATCTGTCTTTATTGACCTTACAAACCTTCCATTCACCCAAAAAAAGGTGGAACACATGCCAAATTCATGTCTCAATGGCTAACCCGTCTTAAATTAATAAATCATCTCCAAGCTGTTCCATTTCCTAGATGTTTTTTCCATTTCTCAGGGTTGTTCCAAACACCCCAAAATACCCCAAATAGACAGAAATAGACAGGGGGTCAATTGGGTAAATATGGGGGGTTCCATAAATGGGGGATCCCCAAATGGATAAGAAAATGGACAATCCACAAATGGATGATGACTGGGGGTACCCCTTATGATCCCCCATGACTCAGGAAACCTCTCCAAAGTCGGCGATGGCTTCTGCCTGATGCAGCGTCAAAATAGGTGACTCTTTGCTGAATGGGAACAAAAACCATAGGATGGGGTTTTATTTGTTTTAATTCAAAAAAAAACATAGTGTAAATGGGCACAGGGATTTAAAAAACCAGATTTTATGTACTCTAGCTTATATTACTAGTATATTTACACATTACAATTGTTATATAATGAAAATATCGGATTACCACCACTTACCACCACAATGATTATATAAGATTACTCAGTACTCATGACGCTTGCGGTGGTCATGTTGATTGCTCAGGTCACCAGAGACCCTGTTGACCGACCGACACTGACCGGAGGACGACTGTCTGGTGTGTAGATTAGTGTGTAGGTAAAAACCAACAGGGTTTGAGGGTAAAACAAGATCTGACAGATGTTCCGGATTTCTCTGGTGTTTTTGTGAAAACACGCGATGTTGTTGCACCAGTATGGATTTTAAAATATAAACATATCAAAGCACCATGTATGACACTGGAAAACCGCCAAAAAACTTCACACATACTTCATATCACATGATGAATCTTGCTTGAATTTGAGGCACTTTTTTATGATCGTTAGTTGACACTAGACAATGAAAATAACCGGTCCATCTGAGTGAGGCACAACCTGTTTTGCCCATACTCATACAAAGTGTAGCACCCCTCAGATTGAAACAACATGTTCAATCCTTTGGACCTGGAGGTGATCTGTGTTCAGAGAAACCCACACACCATCATTTCTTTGAACATATGAATTCTTTCTTTTCACTGGTTGATATATGTTGATATCCTGTTGACCAATAGTTGACTTGGTTATATATATACCCCAGAAAAGTTGTATCCGATTGTATCCCCATATATATCCCCATTGCATCACGTTTTTTGTGAAATGAACTGCACAGTTCAATGTTGGTTAAACTGGATAAACAACGCCTTTCTTGTTGCTTAAACCACGAAGGATTTCCCATGTTGTGTTCATTCAATGTTCGCTATTTTCGCTACTTAAATCCCTGGTGAATTGTTCCTGAGAATTCCGCATGTTGTAACCAAGAAACATCCGTACGTTTTCTGTTCATGACATCCCCATTCTTGTTGGTTGGTGGGCCCCACCGGTTTTATCAAACGCGGTTTGCTGGAAAATCAGCCATTTAGTTCGATGATTTTCCCAGCTTGAAACCTCCATTCATAAGGGGATTTCCCATCTTGCCATGTTTGATGACACCAAAGGCTATAGGAACATAAATCATCAACTAAACAGACTAAACACCATTAACCAGCATAATATCCGTTAATCATCCTTTACCATTATTGCAATCATTATTAACCTCATCATCCACTATCAGCTATTGGTTTTATATTCTCAATTGTATCATCATTATATCCTCATGATTGTTGCTTATACTGGTGATACTGGATTAATAAACCCCTAGGCTGTTTAATTGGGGGGGATACCATTTATACCATTTATGTATCATATTGTGACTATTTGGAGGGTACCCCCACAATTAATAAACCATGGTTTATTAATCCGGAGTTGCTTATACTGGTGATACTGGCTGATTAAATCCCCAGTTTCCCACTCCTCCCATTTGCCTCCTTTCCAGCGTCCCCGCGCGCAGAGCCGCGGCTGAAGTACACGCTGGCCCGCTCCTGGACACGAAGGACTGAAGGACGTGAGGTGATTTTATGGGATTTTGCTACAAACACATGGACTAGTTCAACATCTATAAACTATGGTTGACACCGTAGATTGTAGTTGACTAGAGTTAGCTATGTGATACTCTGCAAACTATACGATAAGCAGTGGAAAATCCAGCAGGCTTCCCGGAAAATGATCCACTTTTATGCTGGGTTTTCCCACATCGTCCATCGTGGATTGATCGAACTTGAAATCTCATCAACCCAAAACGGCTTCGTTACCCGCAGACATTGGTCGTTTTACTACAACAGTTCCTGGTTGGTGGTTGACCTACCCCTCTGAAAAATATGAGTTCGTCAGTTGGGATTATTCTTCCCAAAATATGGAAACATAAAAAATGTTCCAAACCACCAACCAGTGCTAAAAACTCAATTTTTAGCTGAATTCATTATTGTTGGCTGCTGATTTTTGGTAAATATATGTATATATCATTATATCACTTTGATCCAACCCAAATCTTCGACATCACATGGCTGCTCACCAAATTGAAAAAGTACTTGACATGACTATCCGATGGCTGGGAGACTCTTAGTATCTAATTGGGGTATATATATATAGTATATATGGATACCCTTCACTTCTGATTTCCCTCCTAACCACTGGATAGATGCATTTCATACGAAAGGATCACCATCATAATTCTTGGGGCCTGGGGTCGATTTTTTCGAACACCCGAAAACCATCAGCCTCAAAAATCCAGCCCACGTTGTTATTTATTGATCAACTCCCCACCGTTGAATCATGAAATCAATGTCCACATTTTTTTTCTCCGACACCCCAATTTCTCATTGTTCATGGCTGAGCTCCCCGTCATTTGGGTGCTTCTCAAAAAATGGGATACCCCTCGCATCGTCTCTGCTAGTTTCTTTGCCAGTAGAAACAACCTAATTGTGTAGAGTTCTCCATAGTAAACAAGCCCCATTTCAGTTGGTCAAGTTCAAAGCTCTATATATATATAATTATATATATATTGGATTGTATTGGGCAATAATAATATTGGGTACGGTATCGCCACGAACTAATCACCAACCAGTTAAGGTTTTTGAAACTGTTTGTGTGTGCCGGCATCAAATGCATTATATGGGGTGTGGTGTGGTCATCCCACCATCATGAATGGGAGTGACAACATAATGGGTACAATATATTAAATTCACTGTGAACACGGATTGATGATCATCTTTCAGCGTGGACTATATAATCCATCCAACTTTTGATTTTGGTTGGTCATATATATATATATATATATTCCATAAAATATCCGATTGAACTAATTAACAGGGTTATAGACAAACTCAACATAACTCAACTATCATTAAAATGGATGATCATTCCCCAGGGTTTGTTGGTGGCGAGGTCACAGGTTTTTCTCCGTTGATGGTTGAAATCGGCCGCTGCTCCTCATCATTCTCGGCCAGTTCCAGAGCCTTCTGAAAATCGCTCTCCGCCTGGACGTCTTTGGGCACGATACATCCATGCCGGGGAGTTTCATGGGGAAAGCCACCGAAAAATGGAGATTCAACCAGCATAAAAAATGCTGGGAGTTAGGTGATCTCAAATTTCCATGGAGGATATATTTTCGGGATATCCCTAAAAGAAATGACTCATTTTACCCAGCATGATAATGCATGGTAGTGATAATCCACAATTAAGCCAGGGATCAAATGGTTAATCGGGATTTTCTCGGATAAAACATATGGTGGTTTTACCAGCATTCAGTGAAACAAACAACATTTTCTGTCAATGAGTCAACAAACATGGTGGAAGTGTAGCTGGAAAATGTTGGTTTAAAACAAAAGGTTACTGTACCAACAAGACAAAGTTTATGAAGGGTAAGAATTTCAGTTTAGCCAACTACAAACAATGGGCATCCGTGAGTAGCACTGAGAAAACTTACTAAAATTGGTGCGTTTCCATGCACCAACCCATGGAGATTTCCATGAAACAAACATAGGACGATATCAAGCAATCAAACATGGGACGATTTGCCATCTATTATTGAGCTGTTCATGAAGAAATTGGTTATAAAATCACGAAAAAAAAAGGTGTGTCAAACTCTTGAAGTTGAATCTAGGGCTGCCAAAGCTTGGCTTCTGAAACATGAGCTATAGCGAACAAACCGCAATTCACGATTCTCTTGAATGTATTTAGACTTTGATGGTGATTTGACGTCTCTCTATCCTGATGTAGACCCGTAAGTGAGCCATTAAAAATGATGAGCTCTGCTGGTTCGTGGCATGGCACCCTATTGTGACATTGTTTTTTCAACATAGCAGTAATAGCCAACACTACCCCACAAAAATCTGGATATTTTTTCATAATCCTGACATATCCCGAAATAAGGACATTTTCGCTTTGTTACCCCTACTAGGTCGTTATAATTTATAACTCAACCTTCCAGAAGGCCCCAAGCTTATGGACTTTTCGCCCACTCCCTGCTGTTTCCAATGCCACAACTTTGAATCTATCCAAATGAAAATGTTAGATATATGATATATCATCCCCAGTATAATTTATAATCATTACCATCTGGTTATTTAACATAGCCATGGAAAATGGCCCATTTATAGATGATTTTCCCATTAAAACCTCCATTTATGAGGGATTTTCCATGGCTATGTTAAATAACCAGAGGGTATATCTCATTAATATCCCAATATACCACCATTGTTAGTCGGGTACATCTCTGCTACACATGGCCTGGCGAAAGCGCCCGAGGTTCGCATTGGCCGCGCCCCTCTCTTGATAGGCCTCTCTGGAAAAGCCAGGCCAATCCACATGAAAAAATGGTAGCTATAAGTGTTACCCTCTGGTAAACTAACATAGCTATTGAAAATGGCCATTTATAGTGGATTTTCCGATTAAAAATGGTGATTTTCCATTGCTATGTTAGTTTACCAGAGGGTAACAAACATAGCTTTATCTCATTAGTTGACTTTAAAAAAAAGAGTCTGATATATCGAAAAAATGATAACACGTCACAACTGTAAACATTCATAATTCAAGGAAATAAGGACATTACACAGAAATAAGGTTTAGGATATTTGCAAACCAATTGTTTCGGATTGAAATCCAGTTTGAAAGGGCTTTGAGCAAATTGTATTGCAAATCAGGTAACTGCAGCTATTCACATGACTCATTTTGATAAGAATTTAGGTGGCAAACTAGTAGATGTTCACAGCGTAGGTCAAAATAAAGTATGCGCTGAAAATAGCAGGAGCCATGAAGAAACGAATGCAGGCACCTAAAGAAATCATCCAAAACAAATACTTGCAACATCTTACAACAGCTCATTGGACTTGCTCCACAGCAGCAGCTGTTGGTGTTGGGCATGAACATGTAAATAATCTATATACATTCTTTAATTCTTCAGGTCTGTTTGTTTTTGTTTGAAAATTTGGTTTAACCATGTTCAATCATATTTTCTCGTGGTCTTTCATTTTTACATCTATGATGTTTAAATTTATGTTGTTCTTGTTTGCCGTCTGCCAACGAAAAATACTTTCTATGAATCTTTAAAAAGGCCCGCCGCAGGCGCCACTTTTGAGCATTTGGATTGTCGCTCAATCAACATTGCTTCCACAAACAATTAGACACTGCGAATATGCATTGGGTTTTTTAAAGGATATTTCATTGTCATGTGTTTCAATGTTTTCAAAATTTCATTCTTATATCTTACCTCTTTTCCAAAAAGACCGTGTTTTGTTTTATTTCTTGAAAACCAATGACTATTTATACAAATTTATATCTGTCTATTTCTACTTCACGGTTTCCGTTTTTTATTCTGTTAATTCATTTACACATATAGTAGCTACCAAGTTGGAATTGCGAAAATCTGGCGGAAAATTCGCAAAAATACTGGTGGTTTCACCAGTCATACCCTCTGGTAATTTAACATAGCTATTGAAAATGTCCATTAATAGTGGATGTTCCCATTAAAAATTGTGATTTTCCATAGTTATGTTAGTTTACCAGAGGGTAACTCCCTTAGGCCCTTCGGTGCCTGAACCGCCTCCTCAAGCTCGAGCACTTTCCTCCAAGCACTTACTGCCTCAAAGATAGGATGCAAGTGCCAAGATCAGGGACCTGTGTTCAGTTGGTTGACAAAAAAAATAAAACAACAGGGATTGCAACTTAAAATCACTGGCAAAGAAGAGAACACATGGAATTCACCAGGCAAACATTGTTTTCTAAGAAAAAACATCACATACTATCAGCAACATAAATAGGAATATGAAGAAAAAACATGGAGAAACACACCTTGGATATCCATGGACCCACAAATTGCTGGTCGCTTTTGGGTTTTCATCCACTTGGTCCAATTGGGGGAGCCAATAATCACGAGCCAGTATGACATGGGGCAGAAACCGACAAGCAACATTGGTATGCAACATGATGCCAGTTTAAAGCAGGGCTGTATGATTTGATTACCCCAGAAATTGGCCATGCTGCCATGCTCGCAAAACAACTCAACATCGATAAATTCCATGTTTTGTTGATAATGAAACCACTGACCAAATTTTGGACACACTGTACACGCATTGGTAAGTATGCTTGATTGGACTATACATAAGTTTCACCAATTCAACAAAAACTATAGAATATTTTCCCACCATTTTGGGAAAAAAACACAAACAAATAGGATTACCATTCCCAAAATAGACACCCAAACAGATCAAACGATGGATTTGGAGAATCCCAGGTTACACCGACCACCGGTGATGGGAAAAATATATGGAAAAATGACATCTCCATCGATGTCTGAATCCTGTAATAAATCACAGACCAACCCCCAACAATCCGCGGGGCCAATCAGTTTTCTATTTGATGGTGGTACATGGTGGTACTATAGATTAGCGACCAGGTTCTTTTTGCAAGCGCCAAAATCAAGCACAGCACCTCCTGAAAGTCTCCCTCTTTGGACCTGGAGGAAAGCGAGGTTTGCACGACAATGTGTTTGTACTTTGATGATATATTCTATTTGTGGAGGGGTATTTTTTTTGGGAATATGATGTTGTAGAATCCCAACTATGTGTGTGTGTATGTGTCTTGTGTGTTTGACTATTCTATTTTGAGACAACCACATGTGATTGTTGAAATCAGCAGTTGTGATGCTTATTCACGGCTTACTTGCACAACTGGACCCTGGGAATGACGAATCCATGGATCCATGGACTGTCTGTTGCCAGGTTTCGATTGGTGAATCAGTCAGATCTCCAATTTGAGTGCACTGTATATCTGTATTATCTTGGATTTAATTATTTAAATATGTATTTATTTGTATCCCGTCTGCAAACCTTGATGTGAATAGATCAATGACCTTTTCCTCAAGATCGGAAAACAACGAGCCCCAGGGTCGTACAAGGTGGTGCCCCTTAGATAGCTAGGTTATTCCATGGCAATTTTTGTATAGTTCATGGGTGTAAACCAGCAAATTTGGCTGGGAGGCACCACCTTCTTTTTATGTATGCTATGTATGTGTACATATGTATATATACCATCTGGTTATTTAACACAGCCATGGAAAATCACCATTTTTCCACAACAGCATAAGCTAATGGGGTCTTCAGCCCAGAATAGCTCCGGTGTGCGCTGGTGCAGGCGCCGGGTCAGGTTCAACGAGGTTCCGGAGAGTTCCGAAGGTTCCAGAGAAGGTCTGGGAGACTTTGGTGCATAGCCAGGTCACGTTCAACAGGGTTCCGGAGAAGGTTCCTGAGAAGGTTCCGGAGGAGGTTCCAGGAAGCCTTGGTGCAAAGCCAAGTCAGGTTCAACAGGGTTCCGGAGAAGGTTCCGGAGAAGGTCTGGGAGGCTTTGGTGCAGAGGTAGGCCAGGTTCAACAGGGTTCCGGAGAAGGTTCCGGAGAAAGTGTGGGAGGCTTTGGTGCAGAGCCAGGTCACGTTCAACAGGGTTCCGGAGAAGGTTCCGGAGAAGGCGTGGGAGGCTTTGGTGCAGAGCCAGGTCAGGTTCAACAGGGTTCCGGAGAAGGTTCCGGAGATGGTTCCGGAGAAGGTTCCGGAGAAGGTTCCGGAGAAGGCGTGGGAGGCTTTGGTGCAGAGCCAGGTCAGGTTCAACAGGGTTCCGGAGAAGGTTCCGGGAGGCTTTGGTGCAGAGCCAGGTCAGCGGCCATTTAAGTCACGGAAACCCAGCTGAGGTGTTTCCAGCGCTTGGCTTCGCAGCACGCTTCAGACAGATTTGTAAAAATAAAACGTTGCGGCTGTTGGGGATACCACCGAAGCTTATTGATATATAGGTAAATCCATCTATAAATGGGCCATTTTCCATGGCTATGTTAAATAACCATATATATATATATTTATATATAGAATCGTGATTTTTGGATCACCTGCTGAAAGTTGAGTCGTGTTCGTGGGACATGTATGTGTACCATTGTGTACCCATCTAATCCACCCAAACTACCAAGAATAAGATACATCTACAATCTTGGCCCAAAAGAAAACAACCTGAAAACTTTGACCGTCTTGGCATAGTTATATACCCTTGCTGACCATCATTTCAAACGTGGTGTTGAGGTGAGGTTGTCATACTTTACCCAGCTGATAATGGGTGAACCTGTAAACTCCCATGTTCATAACTCCGCAATTTGTGTATATCAATGCTTGTCAATGCACACCAATGTTTATCCATCTTGAATAATATATATATATAGATTTATTTATTATTTAATTTATAAATATATATTATTAAATACACATATATATATATATATCAATGTCTATCAATGTTTATAATCACAGTCCCTTGGATTTTCGTTGGAGTTGCTCCGGGAGCACGCGCCTCTCCGAGGCCTTGGAATAGGCAGCGACCAACTCAGCCAGGCGCCGATCCTGGGGCAGTAGGGCGGTCAAGTTAGCGATGACAAATTACAGTACCATATGGTTACCCCTCTGGTAAACTAACAAATCTATGGGAAATCACCATTTTCAATGGGTAAATCCACTATAAACGGGCCATGTTCAATAGCTATGTTAGTTTACCAGAGGGTAATAAATGTTAATAGCTGGTTTTATGGTGTGTAACTGGATATCCCACGACAATTGATGAACAATAGGTGTTGATTCGTGTTGATAGGTTTATAGCTGGCTTCTATGGATGTTCATCCCACCCCCTAGGAGGAAATCTGCAGAATCAATAAACCAGCTATGCTATGACCACAACTAGGGTACCATCCGGGTGGCTTTTGACTCCCATAGCGGCTATTGCAGGATCTCCCATTGTTGGTATGTTGTCTTTCCCATTTTTTTTTTGAAACCGAAAAAAACCTTCCCAGTTCTGGGGTTCCCAGAAATGCACCATTGGGAGCTTCAGGAAATCTGAGCCCATAGCCTCTGGTAACCTGGGGTCGCTATGGACAGGCCACTTTGTAGCTGATTTGCCTTTTACACATGGTAGTTTTCCCTAGCAAAGAATCTACAAAGTGGCCCATGTCCATAGCTATCTTAGATTGTCAGAGGTATCATGTATCAACTCCTGCTCCCGCAGGGTACGAGGACCAAACCAACTGCGTCCTCTGGAGTTTCTGCACTTTTGGCTTCTTCCTCCTCCTCCCGAGCCATTTCCTTCGCAGTGCAAACCACTGGGTTCAATGGTTCTTCAGGGTGGCGCAACAATTGATACCAAACCAGGGTTAGAACATGTTAGAAGAGAGATTATAATATAAACGAACATGGATCGCGTACCGCTGCGTAGCCTTTTAAATCTCAGGTCTACTGGGTTTTGAGCTGAACAGGGGTGAACGGACACCGCTGAAGCGCCATTAGTCAATTGGGCTGCATGGGGATCCTCTTCCCAAGTACTGTAGGGGATTGATATCATTAAATAGTTGGGATTAATGGATGTGAATAACACCACCAAAAACGGTAGTAGTTAGGGTATTGATCCATACTTGGTGATTTAAACAGTGATCATGAATCATTGAGTATCGCCGTCGCTTTGAACACTACCCCTCATACCCACTCTTCCTTATCCAAACGTCAGATAAGCTATCGGTTTACTTGTTAGAGTTCCAGTTTTCTTTGTCAATCCCAATATCGCTGTTGTCGGTAAAAGATGGTACAATGCATGCAACCGTCAAATCGCTGGTGAAATCAAAGATTTGTGTCGCCCTTTATGAAAAATCCCCATCTTTGTTAGATGTCGTTGCTTCAATATATGGATACGGCTCAAAGGAAACTGTTCTGACAGATCCCTCCAATTCATGGTAGGATCTATGTTTCTGCGCATTGGTTTAAAAAAATAGGGGAACACATATGGGAAACGTCGGTTCCTATCAAAAACTTTTGAAAGGTAGGACCCCTAGATTCCTAGATAGCTCAGTTGGTTTATAACTCCAATATCTGTAGGGCTATACTTTATGGGGGGTTAGAGGTCAATTCATAACTGGGGGTCCCCACTTTTTCGGAACTATTTGGGATACGGGAAGCCCTTTGAACATGGCCAGCCTCATGACCCGGATCCACGAAGCGGAACCTCGGCCAGCTTCCGCATCTTCTCCGTCTTCGCGCTCACCAACGCCATGACGTGCGTTGTACGCCGTCGCGCGGAACACGCACGCGGAGAAGGGATGTTCATATATATATACATATGTATGGTTAAATATATATATATATATGGTTATATATGGTTATATATGGTTATATACGGTTATATATGGTTATATATGGTTATATATGGTTATATATGGTTATATATGGTTATATATATATATATATACGTATGATTATATGACTATATGGTTACATGGTTATGTATATATTATCTCACGAATTTGGAAGGATTTCTTCTTGGTCGACGGCTGTAGGATGGCTGCCGGTCAGATCCTCCGAGTTGGATGGTTGGTTGACATTCAAGCTGGATATCACTAGGAAAATCTGTAGTAAATGTGGGTAAAACATGACAAAACAACAAACTATACTACTATACTGTATAAACCGTGGTGTACAAAAAAGTACAAACGGTAAACTATAACAACTTTCAGACGGATCTTCAATTGGAACCATCCAACTAATCCCTTCCTCCTAATACTAAACGTCCCCCAAATACTAAAAACAGGCGTCCATCTCCAATTTCAGAAAATTTCAGATTGGCCAATTTGATTTTTAATTGATCCCCTTTAGAAAACATAAAAAAAAAAAAACCTACCATTTGTGGGTTTCCCCCCTAATACTAGAAACTAGTTCACCCCGGGGTGTTTATTATTAGGGTCCGTCTGTTTTTTTTTGTTTTTTATATTAAGGTTTTTAATTTAGTATTAGGGGGACGCTTCGAAATCCAATGCGTGGCAATATTTTAATTGCGTTATAGAAAAAACATATTGATTTTGAGATCGGAAAAAATAGTTTTATTATTATTAAGGGTTTTAATTTAATATTAGGGGGAAGCTTCGAAATCCAATTTTTGGCAATATTTTAATTGCGTTATATAAAGAAATTTAATTGATTTTGAGATCGGAAAAAATAGTTTTTATTATTAAGGGTTTAATTTTATTAATAGGGTTCCCTAATAATAAATAACACCCTAATACTAAAAACTACCTGCCGTGTTTAGTAATAGGGGGGGGGGCGGCGTTTAGTATGGAGGAAGGGATTATCCATTTTGTTTAACCTCTAATAGATTTTAACAGCTTTAAAGTTGGTAATTTCCCAAGTTGGCTGGGTTGGCTGGTCAACTCTAGACTGGCTGCCCCCCGCGTCTTTGCACGAATCTGATCCAGCTTGACACAGGCGAAGTTGCGCCTTTGCTGAATTTGCGTGTCCCTCTTAGAATGCAAGTGCAAGAAACATCGATGATGGAAAACGCAAACCAAACCAACCCATATTTCTGCAAATGACGTCCATTAAATCACCATATTTTTTGGGATAATACTCAATCGTTGATGCATCTGGGCATTGTAGCATGGGTCAACATGTGTCAAAATTGGTACCCAAAACAGAAACCAACAAAGACCTAATTACGTGGGGGTGCAGATCCAGTTGTGAATGGCTATTTATAATTTATAATACATGTAGGAGTTGTATGGGCCTCATATCCCAACTTATGATAGTTATAAAATATAAATCCCATTGTTATACTGAAAATCCCACCCCAAATCTGTGTCAGTTGACACGACTTGACCATCCACCACCAACCCCGGGGGTCGGCACCGGTGGTGTTGGCGCGGCTACCGCAGCTGCCGGTACCGTTGGCGCTTTCACAGGGCCCCGGGAGGGCACCGGTGGCAGGGAAAAGGCGCGAGGTTTCGCTTTCTCCTTTGTCCTGGGTGGGAATAGCTGGGATGGAGCCGCGGCAACCATGGCTGATTTAAGAATCTGAAACGGGGAAACCTCACCAGCCAAAATAATAAAGATTCAACGAGCTTTAAAACAAAAATGTATGTATATTGTAATCATCAATAAATGACGGATGTGGGTTTATACCCCAACAAAAAGCTATGTTGCCGGGGAAAATGCTACAAGCAAACGAGAAAGTCACGCCTAAGTCATGCTCGCCTACAGTGTTTTTCCGCAAGGCACCGCGGTTTTCAAAAGTCACGCCTAAATCATGCCTAAGGGGTTTTCCTGCATGCCACCGCGATCATTGCAGCGCTCATTTGATTGATGTGGTTTCAAAGTGTTCTTACGGCCACTCCTCTGGATTGCAACTCCTCCTTCCTTGTCTTGCTCACTCCTTCCCTCCTTCTCTCCTTCTCTCCTTCCCTCCTTCTTTTTTCCTTCTTCTACCGCCACTGTGGGCACCAATGGACCCGAGCCATATCGCAAGCTGTATGCAAGTTTCCAGGGTGGGGATCACTCGATGTAAGGTAATTCTTTGTGTTGATGAGATTGTTGAGGGTAGGAGGAAAAACGACGTCAAATCAGGCCACAAGGCAATCATCCAGAGTTCCCAATTGCACCGCTGAATCCAAACAACCGCATATATATATTATATATCTCTCTCTCTCTCTCCCCTAAGCAGGCTTTGATAGCAAAACACACATACACACCGCAACAAAACTCAAGAAAAATGCGCCGAACACATCAGGGGTTGCCCGTGTTTAGGGGGTAGGCACGACTTCTTACGTTAACTTCTCTGCAGCTAATTCTTGTATTCTGCAGCCCGTGGGCACGACAGTGTCTGTTCCCTGTATGATAAACCATGGGAAACCATAGGGTTTAGTATACTCTATCTTCAAACAAACCTAGTTGTGGAACCATAGTTCGGTGGTTTGTATGAAACGGGTTGACGTTCTGACAGCACACCAAGTCTGGATTGGGTTGTACTTTTTTCTGGAATATGTTGATGATCAATAAAGACCAGGGCTGTCAGTATATGAGAAGATGGACGAATCATGGTTCATCCAATCAGGGTTAAGCCCAAGCGACCTGAAGAAATTATAGTATGTTTTCCCACAAATCCACTGGTTTATCATGGTTTGACACGGTTTATCATCATCTTCCCCAATAACATGTCTATTTTCAGACACACCTACAACCCTTACAATTTCAAGCGCACTTGTTTCGCGAAAACATCAACAGAAAATCATGAAAACCAACATTAAAAATAAAACCATCATCAACCCCTGGATTTTGAATGATTTCAGAGGTTTCCTATATAAGTCACGGGGGCACACCCAAATCATCCAAGTCAATAGACCATTTTAATATTGAAACCCATAGTGACTCGGGATCTTCCCTTTTAATCCATTTTAAGAAACCTTCATAATCTTGGTGAAACCACCATAATCAAACATGATATACTCACCCATGATAAACCCCCGCTCAAACATTATCAACCATCATTCACCCATAATTTAGCCTATTATCAAGCCCAACATACCCCGACTACCCCGGCCCCCAGGATCCCCGCCACCCACCCCGGCCTGCAGCGCTCGGAGCTCGGCCGAGCTCGGCCGCCCACGGGTGGCAGTGCGGCACTGCCGGCGGCGGCGCGGGCCATGGCGCCATGGCGCAGCTGGGGACCGTAGTTTTTTTTGGTGGTGGCCGTGGGTGAAAAAAACATGAATACTTGTGAAAAGTAACAAATGAATAATATTGTCTAAATATTCCTGGAAGTAGAAAGTATTGGAACACACCAGTATTGCTACTATAATCATTATTGTTATTGATGTTGCTGCTATGTTTGTTATGTTTATGGTTGTTTGAACCATGGCCATTTTTGCTAGTATTATTGTGTTTAAATTAATTATTACTATTGATGTTATGATTGCGCACAGAACCGGACGTTTGCCCGGAGCCTGTGTTTTCTCGAACGAAACGGCCCTTCTTTTCCACGGACCCCCACGAAGTCTGCGAAGGGTTGTTGCCGCAAATTGTTGTGAAACGAGCCATGAAGCAAATTTTGTGTCGTTCGCATGGCGAGGGGCCACACCTATGTACCCTCCATCCCGGCAAGGCAGTTAGAGCCGTGGATGAAACATGTGTTAAAACATTGGGAAAAATGACGAGATATACTGTATTATGGCATCTTGGGCGAACGTTGGGTTCTGCGGGTATGATTGTTACCATTGGTTGCCACCTTTGGTCGGGATGAGCGTGCATTGGCCAGTTATTTTTCATCTCAGGGTATGTCTCTTAAGGATTTGCTGGGCCCTAAAGCATGCTGAATATTCCTGAAGTAAACCCAATGAGGATAATGATGCGGCTATGGGTCAAAGTCCTTTTACCATTGGTCTTCACATCAACATCCTTGTTTATGAACGTGGGATTTTTGAACCATCTATAATATATAGACATGAAAAATTGAACTGGCAAAATTCTCATATTTAAGTCTCCCAATGATTTCCCCCAATAGCTGCCCTTTTTATCTGTGGAGTGGCCACTTGTTACGTCAGTGGGAACCTGTTTGCGAGCCAGTGGCAACGACCAAAAGATGGCTCATGTGCATCAGCCACTTTTTGGCACCTGCAGTGTGTAGACTTTGTAAATAAACCATCCATATGGATCTATATGGTTTACACCAATCGTAAAAAATGGTAAATTTGGGGATGGTGGATCCTATTGCTTTACTAACATTCTCCTATTTGTAAATGACACCCTTATAAGGAACAGCATATTTCAAGCATCTTTCAACCTCATGGGATCATAGCCATAGTGCTATGCCATTTTTAATGGGACCAAGGTGGCAAAGCCAATTCTAAAGCATCCCCACGAATTACAACTACCATGGTTTGTTGGTAAGAAACCATCGCAAGTGGTAGGTTTATCATTGGGCTTACCAGGCTTACCACATTATACCTGAGTTATTAGCCACTAGTCGTTCACTCGCTGTTTTGATCCACCCCTCGCAGTGTACCAGTCCAGCCGACAACAATCGCCCTGGGCGAAGTCGACCGAGAAAAAACAAGGCTGAGCAGGTTAAAACATCGACAAACATGGCGGTGTGTCACTGTCCCTTCCGAGTTTTTTTCGGGCTGAGCCAACCCCACTGAAAAGTATGTGCTGGTCAGTTGGGGATCAAAATCATCGTCATGGTCCTCCTCTTGATTATCCTCATCATAATCTGCTCATTTTATCTCATTTTCATTATCATCTCATCCGTATGCTTGTCCATCAGGAACATCAACGTCTGAAAGTGTCTGAAGGCACTGGATAAAACAACTCTTCATGAACCACCTTGGACTTCATGACTGCCATTCGGACCGTGCTTCCTGGAAGCGTACCCTCTCAATTTTTGGTATGTTCAACATCGTCTGGTTGGTGGTTTCAACCCCTCTGAACAATATTAGTCAAATGGGAGTATTATTCGCAATATATTATATGGAAACATAATCCAAATGTTCCAAACCACCAACCAGTCATCTATACCCGAAGTTACATCAACATTGTGCAAACATCTTCCCTATGATCCTCTCCCGGGTCTTCCCCGTACTCATAGCTCACAAGGCTCACAAGCTTCCAACTGGCACAGCTTTGTTTCCTTTCGTTGACTGCGCCCAATGAAACTTTCCCCTGCGCTGTGTTTTAATCATCACCTGCAGTGGGACACACTTCGGAAGGGAAGTGAAAGCCACAGGCCATAGGATTCTCAAGTCGATTCAACCAGTGATTGCCTAGCAGCAAATTTGGCAGCAAACACACCGATTAATTGGACCGCGCAAAGGCTCCTTTATGGGCCCCGGCAAATAGACGCTGGATGACGTTGGCATTTGGATATGACACTGCCATGCTTAAGCGTTTCTTTGAACCCACTCGTACCGAATATTCCTTCATATTGATTCACACATATATTCACAAACAAATTGAATTTCATGCTATTTCTTTGGGCTATGACTATGACAAAACAATTCAGAATGCATGCAACGTCCTCAAACATGTCCGTTATTTTCTGTCTATTCCATGATTACCTTTTTAGAAGAAACTCCTTGTATACCTTCAACATCCTTAAACATATAACATTTCAACATGTATACTAATACCACAATATCATCTGCCCATCTCAGGACGAACCTCGCCTTCGAAGCCCTTGGAACTTCACTGATCGAATCGCAGCAAGAGGTGCGATGGGGTGCGTCGACATCGAGTTGATGAGGAAACCGAGGAAGAAACACATCTGGATCACTTAGAATAACCACAGTTGTGGCCATTTCTTAGTTATAACTGGTTACAAACGGGATTATAGATTCCATAAGTGGGGTTATAAGTACTTATAAGTGAAATATATCAAACTGGAATGGACTATATATAACCTCTACTAGGTATGGTTAGATTAAAACTATAGCTTCAGTAACACTGGAATAACCTGGAGTGGCTATGTAAGGCTATGTAAACCATGGAAAATCATGGACAATAGCCGCCATGCTTAGCAGGCAAACTACCTCCAAATGGATAATTAAGGGTTCAGTTCCAGTTATGAATTGGTTGCACTAAAAATTTTACTATAGTACGGTCCCCACATCCCAGCTTATGGGGATTGGAATCCGGTGGTTATACCTTTTTGAAACCCCGTTTCTGCGCCCCGAAGTAGACCCGAAAACGAACTCCCCAGAAAATGAAACACATAATACACAGAGTGGAGGTATATACCTTGAGGGTCAAGGAAATCACTATCCTGAACCTGTGACTTTTTGGGGATAGTTAAGTTACCCATACAATTCCATCCTTCCAGTGAAGTTGTGATGTGAGGTCGTTATAGGTCTTAGAGTCTATCCAAGCAAATGCAACACATTCGAAGGAAAGTAGTGTGGTCGACCAACTCTGAATGACTTTGTTTGTGATTGAGATAGAAAAACACGACAAACATAACATATGCCTGACTTTGTTTATGTTATTTGAAAGCAACAATGAACAAAATAAACCCTAACAGTAGAATGATTTCCAACAGAGTTTTTCGTGTAGTTGTTGATTATTACCACAGCAACCATTCCGGACTCATGGTGCATAGCCTCGTTGGCTCCAAACAGCTCGAGCCATCCTCATCAACTGAGTCTGACGCTCCCTTCACTGTGTCTTAAAAAAATCTATGGATCGCATAGCCTTTGAAAACTTGCTGCTCATTGATTGCAGAAATCGCCTGGGAAAGGGGAGTGAAAGCTGTCCTGCACAAAAGGCAAAGCTAGACTTTCTAGACCCATAAAATCTCTGATGGAACATCCCAGTATGGGATTGAACATGTTTGAAAGACTGAAAGATTGCTTCCCCATAGCCTGACTATTGGTCAAAACCCTGCTGCCTTCCATTCAAACCAAAACAGCCGTAGCAGTAGCAGTCTTTCACCCAGTTCCCATCATGCAGTACCATGCAGGTGTTGAACCATAGCCGTTTTGGTTTGTCTAACAAAGATCAAAAAGCGTTTCTCAACACTACTCGTCTATTCAAATAATGAGTTGTTTTTTGGGGGTATTCAGTCACTGCAGTTTCTACAGCCAATGTTTATCTGTTTTTTTTCCAGCCCCGAAAAAAATGGCAGGTCGTATATAGCAATGGTGAGTTGAGTGCAGCTGCCACAATTTTCCTCACCCCACCATTGGGACCATGCACCTAACAGCAGTGCGAAGTGGTTCAAATGGAAATGTGAGCCAAATTCACCTTGGAATTGGAGATGTGGAGATCTTCTGAGCTGCTGAAAGTCTCGCGATGTTCAAGAAACCAAGTCTCGCGATTCACCATGGCTAACTTTGGTTTTGCACACGCTTATGCGTCTGTCAGTACGATATGATCTTCAAAAGATGTTTTTTTTCTTTATGGCCATGCAGCAACGAAAACAGCCAACGATTTGGCTGTGAAAACTCCCCGGAAAAACAAAAAAAACACACACACGATTGCTTTTCACACAGAATTATTCATGTATTATCATTATCCTCGGTAATATGTCTTTTGGGTTATGAAAGTTGTATATGCTCATTGTTGGATAACCTCCATGAACCATGCCGGTTTCTAAGCTATTGGATGCTTTCAAATCACAAGACTTTCCATCAGCGGGAGCTGTTTTCGGGGGACAACTTCCTAAAAATTGATTCCGATGCCATCCCGAATTCCGCTTCAGCCAGGGCGCACAAAGCTGATTGCCACAAGCCATCTGTAAGGCATCCTGGTGACCATGGTGGATCTGGTGAATTGGTAAAACGCCAAGCGATGTTTTTTTTAAAGGACCGTAGGGACCAAATAGTTGGAAATACTTGGCCAGAATTTATAAGGTGAATGCAGCCTGAAACTGTGTGAGTTTTTGTGACAAGAACTCATTCTTTGACTGCAAACCAAGAGGTGGAGTAATCCCGTCCCCCTCATTTCGTATACCCCCACAGAAGCCTTGTATTGGATCTATTCTGTCCATACTATCACTGCACCTGAACCAGTATGGACTATGACTATACCATAGATAATACCAACGTTAGGGCCAGGGGATCATATTATATAATCTGCAGATTACAGTATACCTAGAGACTCATGTATCCAAAATTTCGGGCGCATTCCCAACCTACAAAAAAATCAGGCGCAAGTCCACAAGAATGGCGCAATGTAGAAAACATGGCGCAATTCCACAAAAACGGCGCAATGGAAATTCTGCACGGGCAAGGACGGCGCAATCACGGGCACAAACGGTGCAATCATTGGCAAAAACGGCGCATTCCAACACCAAAATCTAAAACCATATTTGTTTCCCAAAGAACGGCGCATGCCAGAAATTTCAGCGGCAATCAGATGAAACACTGTTTTGCTAGACCAGCATCAAAATTTTGATGCCGCTCGAGTCTCTAGGTATGCAACTTTCACTTTGTTGGTAATATACCATCGGAGATATCTCTATCCTCATATCCGCAGCTGCACTGCAGCTTCCATTCCCAGGTTTGTTCAGTTGGTCGTGCGCTACTCTCCGGTCGCATATATGTTGGTGCAATTAATGTGACTTAGTGCTGAGGCGCTTAGCTGGTCGCATATGATCACTTAATTCCCTAGCTCTGATGATGTCACACAAACAAAAATCTCGGTTCAGAACTCATCCAGCGAGTCTGGCTGAATTACAATAATTTACAACCTAACATGAACTAAGCCTATTCTTGGATGATTCTCCCTACTATCATGTACAGTAACGTCACAGTGAGAATGTGGTGATTTGCCAGGAATGTATTGGATTTTATCATATCCCATCATATGCCACAATAATTGTATGAACTAATGAAATGTCAAGTCTGGATTAGTACTGTAAACCCTCTGCCTACTAGTAGCTTACTCTATCTTACTACTGTCATTCTCTGTTTGTTGGGGGCGGAGGCACCAAGTTTTTCCTATGGTTTTCCTAGGGTTAATCTCTTCTCTACCACCTTCAGCAAACTGTACTTCCGGCACGGGTCTTTGGTGACAGGCAAATTCTGCAAAAGGGCATACGAGTCGTCGTCCGCAAAGATGAAAGAGAGCAAACCTCAAGTTCTGCTAAATCAAATATGATCCAGAATCTATGTGCTGATCCAGAATCTAAGAACTCTGTTGCTCAAATCCTAATGTTTCATCATGTTGTGCTGCTCAAATTCAAATCCAACCTTTTTACTTAGCAAAAACGTCACAAAGGTTGCTTGTTCAATACCAATTGGTGTTTTTCTTTTTCCAGGCAGAATCCACATTCAATCATGATGAAATCCCCATGTGGTTAAATCTCAAAAATCATGTCTATCCATTTAATCCCGGTTTTCTCCCACCATCAAATATTCACGATGAAATTGCCACGTTTAATGGTTAAATCTGAAAAACATGATGCTTTGAAGGCGATCTTGCCGGGCTGCGGTTGGTGAAACCAACGGTTTTCGTCTGATCCTGCGATCAAGGAAGGGCAGCCTGTGGGGATTTGACGGGGATTCAACCAAGAATTTGTGAAGGAACAGGCCTGAAACCAAGAAACAGGTTTCATGTTGTTGGATCCATCGATTTCATTGATTTGTCACAAAGGTTTGTCTAAGGTGAAATTACATGAAATGACAATCAAATTTCATAAACCCCTGGCATTTTAAGTAGCCATTTTTGTAGCCTATTTTCAGTCAGTCGACTGAACAAATTGCACACCTACCGATGCACCACTGCCAGAGGCCAGCTTGGAATATCTGCCGAAGTCAGAACAACAAACGATATATTATGAGACCACCTTCCAATTGATCGTTACTTGCATACATGGTCATATTGTACGAATATGTATACAGCCATTTCTTTGATCATGATTTCTTCCTAATTAATTATACAGACACATATTCAACCACTAAAGATAGGGATGTAATAAGCGCCAATAATGGAGGTTTATACCGGATTTATGGTACAACGTACTCCACCTTCCAGTTATGTTGGTTGTTCTTGTCACCCATCTAACTAGTTCCACATGTATGCCTCATAAAAACCTAGTAGTTCATGTAACATAAAGCAACTTAGCTATCTTGGGGGCGCAACATCCAATTGTGGTAATTCATGATTGAATCTCAACAACTTGTTGCTTAAACATCCAATTCTGCCAGTGAAACCTGCAATGTTATTGGATTTGTTGGTTAACACCCCATTCTTGGTTGGTTCCCACATGACCCAGGTATCCTTGTGCACGATACACAGGGCCGCTTGCACTTCCATCTTGTTGTTGACCGTGATATCACCTTGGCAAAACATTGTCCATGTTCAACCCCAAAGCTAGTAGCAGCTAGGATTGAGATCTTTAGTTCCTAGTTGTTTGAAGTATTACCCAAAGATATCAGACACTCCCACACACGGATGCAAACAAAAACAATCAATGGTCTGTGGTTCAAACCAGCATGGCATGTCATCCATCCCCTAGGGGAATCCTCTGGTTGATCAGTCCCTGTGAATTGATTGATGACCATACCCCAACATGTACCCTCCGGTAAACTAACATAACTATGGAAAATCAACATTTTTAATGGGAAAATCCACTATAAATGGCCATTTTCAATAGCTATGTTAGTTTACCAGAGGGTACAATTTGCCCCAGTCTTGACCAGGCCACGCATCAACATGTATCTGTGCACAACATCATACAATCTGTATAAAGATGTATAAAGTATATAACCAAATAGTGTGCAAATAAGTTTGACCCCCGAAACAAAATTCTCAAATGCCCAACCAATAATCAAGGATCCGTCCTTTGGAACAATATACTGAACATAGTTGACCCGGAGTAAACATTAGCAAAATAAATAGTGAAGTGACTCGTGTTCTTGCACTCACGATGGACAAGGGTTTGTCTGAAAACATGGGTCCCAAAAAATTGCTGATTCATCATTTTTCCATTTTAAAGTGGCCATATGTTTGGTTACGCCATTTTCGGACAAACTCAACTACCCACATAGATCCCAGAAAGCATCCCCGTATTTTATGTTGTCGAATCTCCAATTGATTCCCGTGAAATCCTGGCTCTGGACAAACCCAATGATATCCCAAGTTATTCCAATACTATTGGGAAATACTACGATTTACTATATACCCGTAGATAATTGGGATATGATAACCCAATACTATATCCGTTAACACCCCAATACATCTTAATTTTTTATGGTTAAATCCAACTTCTGACCATGGCACACTAATAGAAATGTTCCAACCACCAGCCAGGTCCAAATCCAAGTTGCCATGCCACAGAACGCAATCTTCGGATCCCCCAGTGATAGGATCCTGCAGGGAATCAATGGTGACTTACTGGTGGATACATGGTATGCTTATGCGCTATACTGTGATATCTATATATAATGATATGTACTCATTTATACAATGGATGTATATATATATATATATATATATATACATATACATATATATATATACATATATATATATATACATATATATATATATATACACATATACATATATATATATACATATTGTGAATGTCAGCTTTCAGCTTCCATTCGTTCAGGTTCCAATGAATCCTTGGCTGGACAATCCATGTCCATGCAGCTATCAGGCTCAGGGAGCCCAGGACGTGGGCGGGTTAGGGAAACTTAGCTTGAACCACTTGGCAGCAGTAGGATCTGCAGTTTTTGCAATTGGGTGTGGCTACCCAGCCTTGCGCTTCCTGGCCTGTTTCTGCTTTTAGCAGTTTTGGGGGCATTTTGCCCGTTCTGGCATCCATTTCACTTGTGGCGGCGGAAAAGGATCTTGTGCTTGGCAGTGCAGTGGTAATTTTTCTGAAGGTGTCTGCATAGGTTGTGGTAACATCATCTTTGGAGATTATCTTAGGGCATTTGCCCGGCTGAGTGATTTCGACCACTTTGGTTTTGGGACAGCCATTACAACAGCAGTTGGTTCAACTACTGGTGATTTACACTGGTAGGGGAGCCGCCTCAAGGCGGTATCCGGGGAGATGAGCTCTGCGGCCGGTGCTACCAGCACAGAAATTGGAGGAGTCAGCAATCAGCTGTCTTCCTTAGTGCCGACGTTTGACCCAGCATTGGACGATGTACTGATATACCAGAAGAAGGTGGAATTGGTCTTGGCCGCATGGCCGAAAGCACGTTTGACTGAACTGGTGACGCGCCTGATTTTGGGGTGCAAGGGATCAGCTTTCGAAAAACTCCAGATACACCAGCAGGAACTTTTGGTGGGAGAAGAAAAGTCTGTTCACAGAATCATTGAGCTGTTGGGAGGACAATGGGGGCGCATACCACTAGAACGACAATACCAAGATGCGGAGAGGGCCCTATATGAAACCCAACAACGTCCCGATGAGACAAACGACAGTTTTCTTGCCCGAAATGATGTTCTCTGGAGTAAACTCCTGGCTCGAAAGCTGACACTGGAGGATTTGCAAGCATATATCCTCCTTCGAGGATCCAATTTGAGCAGCGACGAGAAGAAAAAGGTCATCTTGGACTCCGAGATAGCAGGGAAGCTTACAGTTCAGAAGGTGACAGAGGCCATCAGGACCCTAGGTGCCAGTTTTTTTCATGGATATGACAAACCAGAAAAAACCAACCAAGACCAAGGTGTACGATCAGTCCACCCTTGTCGCCGAAACCGACTCTGATTATCCACCGGAATCTGAAGCAGCCATGATAGCCAACGATGAGACCAATGAAGATGATTTCATCGAACAGCTCTTGCAAGAGGGTGACAGTGATGCAGCATTCATTCATGACTTTGAAGGTGCCGCTTCCGAGACACTGCAGGATGATCCAGAGCTTGCAACAGCGCTGATGGCCTATCAGCAGGCCAGACATAGGCTGTCGGAAAGATTTCGAAACCGTGGATTTTGGCCACCCAGGCCGTTTCAGGGTTCGTCCAAAGGAAAAGGGTTCCAATCCAAAGCAGCTGGAAAAGGAAAGGGCTCGACCAACTGGGCCAACCGACCAAAGAAGACTCTCCAAGAGCGCATCATGAGCAGCACTTGCCGGCTTTGCAACCAGCGAGGCCATTGGAAAGCCGAGTGCCCACTGCGGTCTCAAGGCAGTGGATCCCAGACCGGTAGCACTGTAGGCAATAGCCAAGCCCCGACAACCACCATGATCGGTGAATCGGAGATCGACAGTTTGCCGCTGGAGTTCATCAACTTGCCCGAGACTTTGATGCCTCCCTTGGAGGAATTGCCCGCCACTTTGAATTTGCCTTCAACAATTTTTGTGAGTTTTGTACAGGGCCTTTCCAAGTCGTTTTGTTATCGTGGGAGGATTCTGGGGAAATCTAGTTTAGGTAGCAATAGTATAAATGAGCCCAACATGCATGCCGTCACAGCCAAAGATCGCCTGCGCCAACAACTGCACAGGATGAGTTTTGGCACACATGAGCCAGTGATCCGTGATCGTGAGAGACGTGCCAGCTTAGGTTTGCCAGTAGATGCCTTGCCTGTCCCGACCTGTCCAGAGACTCACAAGTCAGAAGCAGATAAGTCGTCCATGTTTGCACCCACATGTTTTGCCACCCATGGAACCTTCGGAGTGCTTGGCTTGGGTGCCTCAAAGACAGTTGTAGGTGCTGACTCAGTGACAGCTCTGATTGAGGGATTAGATCCTTCACTGCGCAATCGCCTGACCCGATGTCCATGTGATATCACTTTCAAGTTTGGAAACCAGGGAACACTTCGAAGCTCTCAAGCATTGGTAGTGCCGTTGGGTCGCCTGCTTTTGAATTGAAAGTAGCCATAGTTCCGGCCCTTTCTGATGAGTAATTCATTAATGAGGGTCCTCCAAGCTGAAATTGATTGTTCCAAACATCAATTCAAGAGTCCTTTGCTTGATGTCCCAATTGACATGCACTTGACAAGGCGGGGTCTATACCTGGTAGATATCAATGATATTGCACTTGCGGCCGAACGTAAACAGAATGGCAAAGACCATGCAGCGAAGCCTGTAGGATCAACCTTTGTCACCTTGCCCTATGACCGCCAAACAAGCAGCACTGCAGATGGTGAAGCACCTGGGAACATGTTAGGGAAACATGAGATGCAGGCAGGGTCCATGGAGAAGACATCACAGGTGACCTCATCCATTCAGCACACCAACCATGCCGACAACTCCAAACCATTGACCATGAATCCAGATCGAAGCAAAAGTGAGGCTCAAGGACCAATCGACCATCAAACTCAGACTTCGCTTGTGGACCATGTCGCTGAGCAATCGCCTGAAGAACCTGCAGCTGGCAGCCGAACCAGTGATTCCCGATCTGAGCGACCAGACCATAAGCAGTCTGGAGAACTTGACCATCAGTTTCGGTCAGAAACACAGGGGCCGGAAGTTTCACGAAGTCTGGGCGGATCAGGAGTGGGTTCTGTTCATGGCGACACGCTATGCCCGGTCAGGGAACCCGGATCATCAGAAGTTCCTAAAATATGTAGATCTCATGGTGACACATCACGAAGAACAACAACTGCCCCTCACCATGAACGGAAACCCAGTGATTCCAAGCTCTGGTACCGGAAGTGTCTCTCAGACAATCCATGGCCAGCCAAAGGCCAAAGCCAAAGCCAAGAGCATGCCCCGCGCCATGGGATACAATGTCCCTATGCAGGTTCCCGACCATTTGCCAGACATGGACCCGGCCGACTCCGAATGGGAGAGTCATTCCATAGCATATCAAATGGAGTATATGCCGGAAAATTTGATCAGCCAGAGCCCCGAGTTCCAAGCAATGAGCCAAAGGCTCCTGCACATGGAGAATGCCTTGCAGCGAGTCATCGGCCACCTGGAACACCAAGCTCAGGGGACCCATCCAGCAGTCGAGGAGGAGATTCCATCATAAATAATTAACAACCCTGATGATGCTGAAGTGTTTACACAGGTTCATGTTGACCAACACAGGGTATGGCAACAAATTCGTTTGTTTCAAAGGGAAATGGACGAGATCATGACTCAAGTTCAACCGCTGGGCAAACAATATGACCTTGCCGAGATCTTTTGTGGACCCTCCTCCATGCTGACACACCAGGTCCAACAATTAGGTGGCACGGCCTTTCGTTTTGGTCTGGAGCAAGGAGACCTCTCCACCACGGAGGGAAGAAAAAGCCTGTACCGTAAGATGGCTTTGCATAGACCACGACATGTCTGGTTGAGCCCAGTGTGTGGGCCCTGGTCCTCGATTAAATGAATCCCGATCCATGGAATCCCAACAGAAATATCAACAGGATAGGCAAGATCTTCTTTATCAGATTGCACTAGCCATTGTGTTGTATCGTTATCAGATTTCTCAGGGTCGTCACTTTCACCTGGAACAACCTCAAAGATCACTGCTAGTGCATCAGCGTTCCTTAGCCGAGATTTACCAACACGCCCAAGTAGCAGAATTTGACCTCTGCCGGATGGGAAACATGACATGTCCCAAAACAGGATTGCCAATGAAAAAGGGGATGCAGGTCATCACGACATTCGAACCAATGTTCCGTATGCTGCATGGTAAACAATGTCGACATGATCATGAACATCAGCCCATTGAAGGCACAATCATGCTGAAACATGGACTTGTTTTAAGGAGCCAATACACTGAAAACTATCCACGTAAGTTTGCCAGATCCCTTGCGAAGATCATGCATAAGGCAGGCTATACCTGGCCATTCAATTGGCATGCAGGCCTGATGGTGGAAGCCACTCAGCCGACTGAGTGCGAACCAGTGTTAGCAGCCAAGAAAATTCCCAAAGTCCCCGGCAAACCCATGAATAAACCTGAATATCCTAAATCCGAACTTGTTGAACCAGTCCCCATGTCAGAGGGTGAGGTGAAACGTAGACGGTTACATGGAAAGCAGAGCTCTGAGCCAACCAAGGAAGAACTTCAGCAGTTAATGCAGGATATCCACCAAAGGGTTCCCCGGGTAGGTCGCATCATACTGCAGGAACATTCCATACTCCGATCCCTTCAACAGTTGTTCCCCGATAAGAGGGTAATATCAGTTGTTGCATGTCGGGGAACGGATAGGACCATGGCTCCACCAACCAATATCATTCCATCACAAGCCCCTTTCAGAAGATCCCTGATGTTACTTCGACCTAGTGGTAACATTATGTATGAAAAGAACTGGGAAAAATGGGATGAATTGTCTAAACGACAGCTGGTACGACCAGCTCATCCATGCCGGATTAATGTCACTGTTTTTGCATGCAATCCACCCGAAACTCAAGGTGGTTCAGAAAGTTCACAAGGACCCATGCAAGCATCAGTGCCCGAAATGCCAGCTCGGCCGTCCGAGCCAAATCATCCGGCCAGCGTAGTCCCAGTTCCCACAATGTCCGACAGTGTTCCGGCTGACGACGCACCACGAGATGACCCGGATCAGACTAGTCAACATGACCCCAAAATTACACCATCAAAGAGCCCCGCAAGATCACTAACTCATGGTGTCCGTTTTACTTCCTTGCCCCGATGGGAACAAAGTATGCTCCTGAAGATGCACCGAAATCTGGGTCATCCGACGCCAGAGCGTTTGTCCCAGGCATTGCAATCAGCAGGCTATCGCGCAGAAGTTGTGCAAGCTGCGCACGACATCAACTGTCCCACATGCACGAAATGCAGCCAGCCGAAAGCCCCGAGACCTGCCCACTTGAAGCCTATGATGGATTTTAACCATAAAATCTATTTAGATGGGGTTAACTGGACAAACGGACAAGGTCGAACCATGACCTTCTATCACGTGATTGACGGTGGTTCCAACTATCATGTAGCTTTCATTGCACCGGCACACACCACACAGGATGTGATCAAGTTGATTAACCAGCACTGGATTTCTTGGGCAGGCGCCCCGCATGAGCTACAGGTGGATGCAGGCACGGAGCTGAATAGTGCCGAGTTCGACAGCTTTCTCCAGTGTTTTTCAATCAATGGTACCTCCATCAGCCCAGAAGCACATTGGCAAAATGGAAAGATCGAACGCCACGGCAAATTCTTGCAAAGAATGCTGGACAAGATAGATCAAGAAATTCCAATCACCGATTACCAACAGCTACAGATGGCATTAAACCAAAGCACCCATGCCAAAAATGCCATGATGGTTCACCATGGATATACTCCTGAACTGATAGTCTTTGGCCGCCAGAGTAGATTGCCAGGTTCCATTTTGAGTGACAATTCCATACCATCTCATGCATCTGCAACCCAAGAAAGTGAATTTCCAACCCAACAGGAATTCAAACAGATGTTGCAAGTGCGAGAAGCTGCCCGCAGAGCTTTCCACAGTACCGATAATTGTGAAATCCTCCGGAGAGCGTTGCTTCGGAAATCGTGCCCTCACCGCGGCCAGTACAGCCCCAACCAGTGGGTTATGATATGGCGGGAACCCCGAGATGATAAGCATGGTTGGTTGGGTCCCCATAGGGTAATTATCCAAGATGGTAACCACACAGTTTGGTCAACACGGTCAGGTAAACTTTACAGGAGTGCCCCTGAACATGTCCGTCTAGCCCATCCTGATGAGGTCCAATCAGAAGATGAACCATTGTCCCCGGAGGAAATCACAGAAAAGCAGCAGCAGATTCAGCGCATGTCAGATCTACCAGCTACCAAGTGACCAGACAGAGGTCAGCCATGACGAGATTGCAGAAGACGACACGATCGCACCACTACCAACTCCAGAAAGCCCAAACAATCCCAACATAACTGATCCCCCATTCATTCGACACCCTTCGGCTCAACAACCAGACCAAGAACCAGAAATTTCTATCAGTAGTCAGCCTTCGAGTAATGTAGAGGTTTCAGATGAAGAAACCCTCATGTTCACGTGTCATGACACAGCTGATGCCGTGGCCGACCTTGGTGCACACGATCTGGCCTGGCGATGCGAACTTGAGGTGAACCACCCAACATTCCATGAGATCACCAAGAATGGCTCTTGTGATGAATCTCTACTCCTGTTGGCCACCCAAGGCAAGAAACAAAGAACGGAAGTGAGGTTGTCTCAACTCACAACAGCCGAAAGAGCAGAGTTTGAAAAAGCCAAGCAATCGGAGATTAATAACTGGCTTCAGACCGATACTATCACAAAAATTCTGCGAAACAAAATCCCAGCTGATCAAATCTTAAGATGCCGTTGGATCTTGACATGGAAGCCCATTGACCCTACTGAGATAGAAAAACATGGTGGCCGCACTCACAAAGCAAAGGCCAGACTTGTTATCCTAGGATACATGGACCCCAAGATCGATGAGGTACCCCGGGATAGCCCAACCCTTAACAAGACATCAAGGATGTTGACCCTACAGCTGATTTCATCATATGGATGGTCCTTAATGTCATTTGACATCAAAGCAGCTTTTCTTCAAGGTCAACCTCAAGAAGGCAGAACCATAGCAGTAGACCCGACGCCAGAGCTGAGAGCAGCCATGCGTATGTCTGCAGCCGAAATTGGTCTCTTGAATAAAGGAGCTTATGGACTTATCGATGCCCCTTATCTTTGGTATTGTGCCTTGGTAAATGAGCTCACCACCCTTGGAATGGAAATGTGCCCGTTCGACCCATGCTTGTTTGTGCTCAGAGAATCTCGTGATTCCACCTGTCCTGGACAACTAGCAGGGGTTTTGGGAATTCACGTAGATGATGGCATATGTGGGGGAAATGAGAAGTTCCAAGAAGTTCTCCGAAAATTAGAGTCTAAATATGGTTCAAAAAATGTTCAATCCTTCACCTTTACGGGTATAGACCTGAATCAACATGGAGATGGCCGTATCACCTTAAGTCAATCTGGTTATGTGAGGAAAATTTCTCCAATCCCAATTGATGTAAACCGTAAATCCCAGCCAAGCCTGAAGGTAACGGAAGAAGAACGCGGCCTTTTAAGAGGTTTGATTGGTTCCCTTCAATATGCTGCCACCAACACGAGACCAGACCTAGCAAGCAGGCTATCCGCACTGCAGTCAGCAATCAACAATGCAACCATTGAGACACTTTGGGATGCTAACCGCTTACTTCATGAAGCCAAAAAGTATCATGACATGACGCTGACCATTCGACCAATTCCACCATGGGATTTCAGATTTATGGCCTTTTCCGATGCTTCCTTTGCTTCCAGTAAGAAACCGGATTCACATGCAGGATTAATCATAGTGGGTACCCATAAAGATATATCCTCAAATAAGCAATGTCCCATTAGTCCCATCTCATGGAGCAGCAAGAAAATCCAGAAAGTTGTCACGAGTACCTTATCTGCAGAGACCACTTCATTAGCAGCAGCGATGGATCAACTGAGCTGGCTTCGAATCTTTTGGCAATGGCTATTAGATCCTTCTACCCAATGGAAAAAGCCGGAAGACACGCTTCCCAACATTCCCCAAGCAATTTCAGTAGCCACCAAATCAGAAGATCATGATGTAGCCGTCACCGACTGTAAGTCATTGTATGATTTGGTAACACGTACGGCTCCACCAGCATGTTCTGAATTCCGGGTGCAGTTGGTTGCAAGGGCAATAAAGGAAGCCATGAAAGAAGGAACCACTTTGCGGTGGGTACACTCAGGGGCCCAACTTGCTGACGCATTGACTAAGATTATGGCCAGTCATTTTCTGCGAGAGACCTTGAAAGAAGGTGTTTTCCGCTTGTGCGATGAAGATTCAACTCTGCGACACCGTGCTCAAAATCGCGATCGAATCCGATGGCTCAGTCAAGGACAGGATGAAAACCAGAATGTCCAGCCAACATAAAGTTTTCACGAGTGTGAATGTCAGCTTTCAGCTTCCATTCGTTCAGGTTCCAATGAATCCTTGGCTGGACAATCCATGTCCATGCAGCTATCAGGCTCAGGGAGCCCAGGACGTGGGCGGGTTAGGGAAACTTAGCTTGAACCACTTGGCAGCAGTAGGATCTGCAGTTTTTGCAATTGGGTGTGGCTACCCAGCCTTGCGCTTCCTGGCCTGTTTCTGCTTTTAGCAGTTTTGGGGGCATTTTGCCCGTTCTGGCATCCATTTCACTTGTGGCGACGGAAAAGGATCTTGTGCTTGGCAGTGCAGTGGTAATTTTTCTGAAGGTGTCTGCATAGGTTGTGGTAACATCATCTTTGGAGATTATCTTAGGGCATTTGCCCGGCTGAGTGATTTCGACCACTTTGGTTTTGGGACAGCCATTACAACAGCAGTTGGTTCAACTACTGGTGATTTACAACATATATGCATATATATATACAAATATATATATATACATATACATATATATATATATACATACACATAAAATTGAATACATATAACTATAATACCTGGCGGACTTCTGGTGGAGACTACTCAACAGTTGAACGGGTCAGCGGTCAACACAAACCAGCATACAAAAGTTGTATGGCACTGTGTATACGGACAATGCACCTACTGTGGATGAAAAAAAACCTGCACCAGTTGACAGGTCGCTTTTCAACCATTCAAGGTGGTTCAGGATTTCTTCCATCCACAGTATCTCGGGTTTACATCTACATACCGGGTGTTCTTTTAGGTCGAACGACCAATTCAACACATCCTCAAACAAATTATCATGCAATCCCACAGAAAAGTGATACGTCTGAAAAACATGTGGTTTTGTCTGAAAATAGCGTACCCCGGGCACCCTATGAAATCCAAAGGGCACTCTCATGTTCCACATTGAGTTGCCATTTGCGGGTATAATTCAGACACACCTAACATCACATTGCAGGATAGAAAAGTTAAATATAATCTGCACACCATTGTTCTCTCATTACATCCCCATATTTGCTGTGTGAATCTCCCCCAGTCTTATAGTTTCGTTCCCATACGTGCCGCGCGCTAGCTACGCTCCGCCCCAGCTACGCTCCTCGTCTTTGTTCACATTCCGCGCCAGCTGAAAAAGGATGACATCCAGCTCTGCGAAGGAAAAGATGCTGCGCACGCGCGGGTGGACATAACCTCGGCAAAGGGGCCCCCAAAGGTAAACCCACCAAATGAACACACAACGGTTGTGGTCACAAAGTGATACGTTGGAGAACATCACCTGCAGGTCACTAAGAAACCACAGCAAGGTACAAATGATGTTAAATGATGTTATGATATCAAGTATAGTCTATAGTTAGTATTAATTCGTATAAAACTACAATAGTATGTACAAGAATAGATTATAAACAACAGCAACAACAACAACAACGACGACAACAACAACAACAACACCAACACCAAGACCAAGACCAAAACCACCACCACCACCACCACCACCAACAACAACAACAACAACAACACCAACACCAACACCAACACCAACACCAACAACACCAACACCACCACCACCAACACCACCACCAACACCAACAACACCACCACCACCAACAACAACAACTACTACAACAACAACTACAACTACAACCACAACTGCAACAACTGCAACAACTGCAACAACTGCAACAACTGCAACAACCAACAACCACCAACCACCAACCAACAACCAACAACCAACAACCACCAACCACCAACCACAACAACAATATAGATAATTAATTATAGTAACTCTGTACAGTAACCATATTCAAGTGGATAGAACAAAGGATCATATTTCTATGTCTATGTTGTTGGCGGTCATGGCATGCTACATCAGTGTGGGCATATCTAATCCCCGATGGTTGTCGGTTTAATCCAAACAATGTCGCAACAAAAGCAAATTAATAACTCCAATGGTCAGAACTTATGGTGAATGTACTTGTAACTCAATGGGATTGAGGGGGCCTCACTTGGCATGTGTAATGGTACTGTCTTCTTGTTTGTTGCTTCGATCAGGGGCAATCCTAGAAACCAGGTACCCTTCATTTCTTTGCACTGGCAAGCAATGTCCTTTTTACATCTTTTTATACAGCAATCATCATAGTGCTAAACTACTCCAGCCAAACTCCAGGCAAACTGCTCTCCAGCCAATATGTCACCATTAAATTACTAATGTTTGATTATTTTCCTCTAGTGAAACCATGGATTTTGTTCATGTCTTTGAATCGCCGAATCTGACGGCCCAGTCGCTATGCCAAATCTCCACGCATGTGCTCACCTCCTCTGCGGAAGATATGCCAGATGCGAGAAATCCATCATCAAATAATATTCATGTTAGTATTAAACATTATTACCATAAGAATAGCGTGTTCAGTGTTCCATAATAATAATTATGATCCATAATTACAGTAATAATATGTAGTAATACTGTACCCTGTGGATCCAAGTAGTTTCCTAGAAACTATTTCGAGTATCATTTAGGGGGCTATAGGGATAGTTATCCCGGTTATCCCCCTAAAAATAGAACAAGTCATCCCTATTGAAAGAGTGATTATGTATTCACGGTTCTATCTATTTGGGGATGACTATAATTATCATCATATGCTCTAGCCACTTTTCTGAAAAGACAAGTCGTCAATAAAAGAGATCATTATCCCATAAGTCCAATGGAAAATCAGAATTATATAACACGGCTGCAGCTATGGAACATCACCCTTTTTAAGAACGGTAAATCATAATGTTCAATCATCTATTTCTATGAGCCATGCCTGCCGTAGCAAAATCTTAAATAACCAGAGGGTGCAGTTTTGGCCCTTTACCAGTTATAAGTACTTATAACCCCATTTATGGAATATATAATCCCATTTATAGCCAGTTAGAACTAATAAATGGCCATCACTGTGAACACACCAAAACACTAGTCCTCTTCCAAGCGCTGGACTATGCGCTTCTCCTGGTTCCAATAGAAGGTGGATATCCTGGCCGGTGATGATTGCCACCCCCTTGAAAAAAGGTATGATCATGTATGGAACCTAGGGGTCGAACAATGGTTTATTTCATATTGAAATCCGCATGTTTGGTGTTCATATAACTTATATTAACGTATATATATCTATTTGACGTTTGTATTTTTGCTCAGAAGCATCTCCAAGGACTGACCGACTGGTGTGATTTTGCGCCTAGGTTTTTTCTCAGTTTCTTCTCTTCCGAAGAAGCTGAAGACGCTGGTCAAGACTCCTTAGTCGCAGTGCGTGAGGCGTTTTCCTTCGCACCAACACAGCGGTCAGAACGAGAAAATGACTGCCATGCAGCTTTGAGTGGGCAGAATGCAGATTCTTTGATACCTGGATCCTCTTGATCGTGGAAAATTCCACACCAAAGCCAAAATCGATCAATTTTGCCAAATTCAAGACAAAAAGAACTCCTGAACTGTTGTTTCCACTCTAGAACGCTTTTTTTCACTCCAGAACGCTTCCGAACAGTTCTGAACGCTTTTTTTACGCTTTTTGAACGGTTTGTGAACGTTTTTTTCCACTCGTCCAAAGTGTCCCGAATGGCATAAACCACTCCAGTGTTCAAAATCGACCTTTTTTGGGTTTGGAGTTAAAAATTCCAGTATTGGGAAGCTCCAGGTATCAATTATGTCTTCTAAAGGCTAGGTTTTAGACCTCCGTTAACCAGAATACACTGTTTCCCGAGCTCTCCCAAACATCATGACCAGTCTCCTCTTTCTCAAATTTGAACACCATTCATAAGGTGTTATTCAAAGAATCCCGGCTTTGTAGCTAAGTATATGATATACTATACGTCAAAATTCATATATCTAATGATATATGTTCCTCAAACCGAACTACGACGAGCTTCTTGTTATGAATGTTCATCTCCCGATGGTCCCTTAGGTGTCGGATCCTTCATTTAGTCTAAATTTCATGACAGCCGCATGTTTCGTGTTCGAAATCCTAGAATCTGTTGGATCTTACAAAATTTAGAATCCTTCCAAAGCAAAGAAATAAGACATCCATTCACCCATGTGGATCATCATCGTGGTAAGACACGTTCCATCATCCCAGCCCCGTCCTGCGAATGGTGGGGGTTTTCCACCAGCTTTAAGCGTTACTTCGTTCACAGGAGGCGATCGGAAAAGCTGTCAGATAAAATGTTAAAAAGTCGGAAAAATATCAAATACCCTTTGGTAATTTAACAGTTCGCTATAGAAAATCACCATTTTGAACAGGTATACCATGGTAAACCATCTAAAAATCGGCCATGGCTTCCATAGTCAGCAGATCGTAGACTTTTCCTCCTAAGATATGTCAACAAAAGGCATGGATACATTGAAGGTCAATTTGTCGCAAGATGCCAGAATACCCCCTGGTAATCGAAGGTGGTAATGATATATATATATATATATGTGTGTGTGTGTGTGTGATGGAGTTGTCATTTACTTGGAGAATCAACTATACATATCTATAAATTGTGTATTTTCCATTGCTACGTTTGATTACCAAAGGGGAACATCACACACACTTATCAAAGTGTATCCCAGCGTTTTATCCGTGCCAGGCTATCTGCCGGGCAAACTAGTTTGCAGCATTATCTATGATATTGTAATATAAATATATATATATATATATATATATATGTTGATCAATCATGATCAATCAATCAATGAATCAATCAATAAATCAATCAATCATATATGAATCTATCTGTCTATATGTCTATCAAGCTATATATATGTATGTATGTGTCTATCTGTCTATCTGTCTATCTGTTTATCTGTCTATCTGTCTATCTAAGTATCTAACTGCCTAACTATCTAACTGTCTAACTATCTAACTATCAATCTAATCAAATCAAATCAAATCAAATCTAATCTATCTATCTATTTTTCTATCTACCTATCTATCTATCTATCTACCTATCTTACTTATCTATCTATCCCATTCCATCTGTCTTTGTGTGCACCCCAACCCGGGCATTCCTGACTCCCTGGCTCATACCCTTCCTTCATCATCTGAGGAGCCAGACCTCCGCCATGTCCTTCTCTGCCCATGTTATTCGAAAAGCTGCAACGGCTGCAACGGCTGCAACAGCTGCAACGGCTGCAACGTCGACCGGGCGTTGAACATGGAGAAATATAGGGGATTTTGGAACGACTGGAGTTTTATTCGACAGTTCACGAATATTTGAACGATTTGAACTACTTTCAAATGGTTTTCAGTTTCACTCAAGTAACATATCCCCTGAGAATATCTGATTTTTAGAGGAAAGTGGTTTTCAACTCAGATAATTGGAAGGGTCAATGTTGCTTGGGTTAGGCATCTTCCGATCTTCCCATGGCCTCTGCTCTCCTGGATTGACCGGGAATATGGATATACCCTCGTAGCCACCGTTTTCTGTTGATCCATACCCAAAGCAGTGTATAGACTATCGATATTGAAAATTGCCATTTATAGTGGGTTTCCCATGAAAAAATGTGATTTTCCATAGTTATGTTATGTTACTTTACCAGAGGGTAATTACTTACTAATGTCTAGTAGGTTTCAACACCCATCTTAAAGATTCTGGAAGAGCATTGGAGCTCACTAGACATCGGTGTGGGTCTAGCCATTGGGAATTGGGTGGTTAATACCAAAATGACCTAAATCATCCCTAACCCAGGGTCCCTTCTGCTTTAGATTTGGACCCTTGATATTTCGATTAGAGGACCATTCAGCTTAGGTTACTAAGTGGGTTACTAAGTGGGTTACCAGACGTGGGTTAGTCTCCCCAGATGTGGGATATCCCATTTATGGTACTGATTAAACAGATTTACTAATCAGGTACTAAGTGCGACGATCCAACAGATTTACTAATCAGGTACTAAGTGCGACGATCCTCCATCCTCTGAATCTTGGGAATATGGATCCGAAGCGGGGCCAGAATTTCCGCATGACCCTTTGCAAGTCAGCAAAAGGCAAAATGACTCAGCAAATATCCGCAAACACCGGGAATCCTAGAGATTTCAGGGTAGCAATTTTCATCAATTTTCCATGTTCAACCCTTCGGGATTGGTGAAGATCTTGGGGAAACATGGGGAGGGAAGGGGGCCCTAAACCGTGTGGCTTGGATTGCTGAAGGAGCTATATGCAAAAGCAACACTATTCGATTCCCTAAATGGCGGATTAAGCCATGGGCAAAACCAACAACATCAGTGATCATCCCCATGAAATCCAATCATTTTCTCATCATTTTCCCATACCCAGAAACCCAGAAGCCAACCTCATCAGACCTCTAGATCCAAAGCACAACTTCATTCCCATAGGATCCATGTATGGTATATATATGCTAACATTGGGGGTATATTGATGGTAAATGTTAACATATATAGCATACATGGATCCTATGGGATTGCATGTTTTTTTTTGCTTCGAAGCATGCATCAAAAAGCCGCCACAGCTGCCGCCATCGGCGCTGTGCATCTGTTCCGTGCGTCGCGGGGTCGCGGTTTCAACACGGTACGAATGGCGAGACCCATGGTCCGCCCGTCTTGGAGGCTCATGGGATGGACTCAAAAGATCACCCGGTTTTGTTGAGGTCTTGCAAGATAAGAAGAATACAATATTAAATAGCTATATATAATTATAGATATATATATATAGCTTATGATGGCTTCATATTCTGCACAGTAACATTTATAAATAATGCATCTGCAATTCTGTGCATCATACTCCACCATTCGCAGTTAACCAAAGTTGATCATTTTGAGCCAAGGATTCGTCCATGAACGACCTGGATCCCAATCCCCAGAAGGTGGGAATCCGGAAAGATGTCGGCGTCAACAGGGAAAATAAAATGTGGCATATTTTTTGTTTGTTTGTTTGTGTGTGTGTTCAAATATATATATATATATACATATACATACATACATAGTTATAAATACACTATATATCATGTATATTCATGTATAAATATACATATATATATATACAAACATACATACATATGTATATATATATATATACATATATGACGGTTTGTCAAAATTTCTTTTCCTGGTTTGTTAGATAAATCGTAATTCCTTGCGTGCCGCGTCGTGTTTGGTCTTTAAAACTATGACTTGTGAAAATCGTCTGAAACCCTGCATTTTAATGCATTTTATCTTTCATGTTTGAAGCCGTAGCTAAAACCTGCAGTAAATGCTAACGCGTGTCTATATGAAGTGGGTGCTGCTAGTATATTATACATACATGTATCTATGTACTTAGATGTATTTATGTATTTATGCATCTATACATCTATGGATTTATGTATCCATTATCCATGTATCAATGCATCTATGCATCTATGTATCTATGCATCTATGCAACTATGCATCTATGATTCTACGTATCTATGCATCTATGCATCTATGCAATGCATCTATGTATCTACGTATCTATGAAAATGTAATGTAATGTATATAATGTAACGTAACGCAACGTAATGTAATGCAATGTATGCATGCAAGGAGGATAAACAATATAGACCAATTGAATCTACTGTATTTGGGTGTTCGGTTGCACCTATGCCAAATTGATCAGTCATAGGGGTTCATGTCTGAGCCTTTGATTGGTCATGGTCGGACGTTCATCTATGCTCGGTACGACTTTGCCCTCAATGAGGGTTAAACGTTCGGCACCGCTATTCGGCTCACCCCGAAGCATTGGGGGGCGTGAGCTCAAGATGATTTGGATTGATCAAGGATACTCAGGAGGACAGTGCCATGACACTAACAGGTGTGCACAAGAGTCTCGACAGGTAGAGCAACCCCCAAATAAATACAAAAGTAAATTCCTACTATAGTGATAAATTATGATAATTTACCTGTCCATCTATTTTTTTCGTGTGCTACAGCACCAGACCATCAAAGTATAGACTCAAACTCACCAATGAACAAGCTAGATTGCCCAGCAGCCTCAATATTGCGGGATGGTTGGGTGGACCGGCATTCGGAGGTATCCCATATATCACTGGAATGAACACATCGACTCGGACCTCAACGTATGCAGCAAGTCATCAAATCTGGAGTTAAGCATCTCGGCACCCAATTTAAATGATTGGCCAATAGAATTATAATATGGTCTCACCCATTTATATAGCAAAAACTAGCATTTCAAGGGATCCGTGATACATATACATACATACATACATACATACATACATTACATTACATTACATTACATTACGTTACGTTACGTTACATTACATTACATTACATTACATACATACATACATGTATACATGTATACATGTATACATGTACAGTATGGCACAGTACTTCCAGCATAGGTGTGCCGAAATGCCGTCTCAGACCTCATCAATTTCAGTGATTTTCAGTGATTTCACCGGATAGGTATCCCCTAGGATTCCTTACTATCGATCCAAAATTATGCCCTCCGGTAATCAAACATGGCGTGCTGGACAATCCACGATTTTACTTCGACGATTTCAACCTCCATGTAGTTTGGGGATGTGTGGGGATTTCCCAGCTAGCCATGTTTGATTACTGAAGGATCATGCATGTGAACTTTAACATCTTTAACTCATTGCTCAACCATCAAAAAGCAAGGTTTGCACATAAACCATGCAGTCAACGTCAATACTTCAACCGTTCTTTTCGAAGGCACTGATCAACCCATCACACAAAGAATGCCCCCCGTCTGTGATCCTGAGACCACGAGACGGAAAGCACGGAGATCTCATGTCTCCGAAGAAAGGTCCCCGTCTTTTTGTGACAACAGGGGATCCGAATTCTACCTCCCCACAGCGGCCTAGTTGGCTGGAATGACGTGGAAAAATGTGAAAGCAGTATCTTCATGTTTCCAACTTATGCTGAAACGCAGCTTTTATACTTGCACTCTAATGGAAACAACTATGAAAAAAACAAAGAAGATGTTCGCTAGAGATAAAAGCAATCTAAATGTTGAGTGTCATGTTCCAAAACCATGATCGTTTCAGGTAGGGTGACATATTATGACATATTGATGATGTGTAATTTTTCGGGGATATGCTTAATATAAAATATACTTAAACCACATGTTTTTGTTAGCTGCTTTCAACTCCCCATGCCTGTTGGTTTCAGGGGTCCGCTGCTAGGGACCCGCTGCTAGCTAGGGGCAAGTCATGGACACCTGAGATCTATCGCGGGGACGGAACCAGCAGAAACAGGAGATGTTTACCAACAGCCTGCAGACCCTAAGTCCAACATTGGGGTTCTGGACTATCTGTTCATCGGCTTGGTTAGGGTTCCCATGTTGGATTGCAGTGATTACAGTCATCCCCGGTCATAGAAACCAGTCAGTATAACCTGATTAACCTAGTATAACCACCCAAAACCATGAACCACCAAGGATGTTGGGGATTCCTCAGGGGATTACCAACAAATGTGGACCCTTGACCATGAAAGATGGCATTCTGACCCCAACATGGTCAACATGGGAGGTTGACCAAGAAAACGATGATCAACCATGGGGATTTTTGACGAACAAAACATGGATAGCATCACAGATGGCTTGCTGGAAATTTCTCCAATATAACAAATATATATATATATATAACATAAAATAATATAAATACATATGTATATTATATATAGATAATTCTCCCATTAAAGCTCCAGGTCCATTTGTGGGAACATTTCCCGTTGCAATGCTTGATTACCGGGTATTTTGACACACAATTTAGTGCGTATGAGGATTTGAAAAAGAAAGTTACGCTGAGGGTTTAGCCAACAAACATGGGGTTGTTGACCGATATAAAATCAATTATCAACCATATGAAGAGTAGAGACTACCAAAGGAGAACACATTTGACCAATGAAAGAAAGGTTGGATATATTGGATATTGGTCAATAGACTGCAGAAGTAGAGAACATATCAACAACTCATGCCATCACCAACCAAATTTTAACAAAACATGAGTGACAAAAAACAAATCTCGGGATGGTTGCCCAAACCAAACTGGTGAAGTTACTCAATTTTGATCCTGATTATGTCCATGTTCATACCACGAATTAGTCATATCTTAAAATCATCTCAAATTGACTCAACTCTGTTGAATTCCCAATTTTCTGAGTTGACAACCAAACTTTACCCTCCAAATCCCAGCCTAAGGATACCTGCGCTTCACAATGGGAAGCAATGGCGGCCTCGGAGAAAAGTCAAACGTTGGAATTTTGAGGAAAATTTGGATTTTAAGATAAATGATTGATTCACATGTTGTTGATTTATGTTTATTTCATCAATGGGTCAAATGTGTCTTATTCATTGGAACCAATCCAACAAACATGCTTTTGAAACATGGATTAAAACTGGAACCGTTGGATTCCTTTGAGGATCTTAAAGGATTTCATTTCAATGACTTTAAATTGTGATTGTACAAAAAAGAAGGAAATTGGAGATGAAATCATCACATAGATGTTGAAAATCCCAAAAAATGAGGGTCTTGAAGGCCCAAACATGAGGATTGTAGCCATCAAGCGAACATCGAGACTTTCATGAACGTGTGGGATTAATAGCAGGCATGTATCATCATTTATCTGGTTTTGGAGTGATATTTGGGATTTAAGATTAGGTTTGTGTAGGAACATTAACAAGATACATTAACAATATCCAAAATATTATTGGGTTAGGTTTAATTTAAGATTTGAATGTGATTTTTTTTGGAACATTAACAACATGGGATTCACCCAGAACATCAACTTGGTGGCGGTTTCAGCCACTGCAAAATTTATGAAACCTGCAACTTTCAGTGGGGAAAAAAAAAATCAGGGCAACCACATCAGATGATATCAAATGCAAGTTTCAAAAGTCTCAATATCAAAGTGTATGGCTACAATAAATCCATCCATCCATCCATCTATCCATCCATCTAAACTAGTCGGCCCCATGAGTAAAACATCCTCCAACGATCCATGGGAATGTACCAGCTACCTCTTCACCATCTTTGACAAACAGGTCTGGGCAAATTACCCTACTTCACAACCGGAAAGCAGCCATTCAGAGTAATCCCATCCATTTTTGATGACAAGGGCAACCCAAACTGCTTAGCACCAACTGCTTAGCACCTCACCTTGCAACCAAGTTGCGGAACTCGTTTGGCAGGTGCTTTCTCCGCCGGCGGTGCTTTCTCCGCCCTGGCAAAGGGACGGACACACGATGTGAGGGCCATGGGGACCACATAAATTCCGTTCAGCCCCAGTAACAACATATATATATATATGTGTGTGTATGTATATATATAATTATATATATGTGTGTGTGGATATATATATATGTGACATATATATATGAGATATATATATATATATATAAATATATCATATATATCAATAACATATCATATATTTATATATATATGATATATATATATATATATGTTATATATATATATATGATATATATATATATATATGTTATATATATATGATATATTTTGTTTATGTATATGTAGATGTGTATATATATATATATCAATTGTTCATTTGGATTCAGATTGAAACGAGACTAATCTTTTGGGACTATCCGCTATCCCTGCACTTGTCACAGGGAAAAATGATACTTCAACTCCACAACAAGCCCTCCATGTTGTTTGGCTTTCAAAACTTCAACCTGAATAATTCATTTACTCATGAGCTTTCTCATGGTTGGTTCACCTTCCCAAATCATCCACTGAATAATCGAAGGAAGTTTAGAAGTCAAACTTCCGACAATATGGAGGATGAAAAGCAGAGCAGGGAAGAGGCAGAAAGAAGAGAAAGATTAGAAGAAAGAAGGGTAGAAGAGAAAGAGTAAGAAGACAGAAGATGCAGATGTGCGAAAAGGTCGCGAAACACTGTGTTTTTCCAATGATTTGTGGCTCCGGAGGGTCGAAAAGTAGGCTCGCTAAACCGGCGGGTGCGGAGCCAGCTGGCCAGAGGAGAGATGAAAAATTGCACGCCGTTGTGGCGCCAAGCACATTTCGAAGTCAAAATGTACAAAACACACCAGGTTCGGACCACTTTTGGAAGTTGCGATGTCGAAAAAGTGCACGCCGTTGTGGCGCAAAGCACATTTCGAAGTCAAAATGTACAAAACACCTCAGGTTCGGACCACTTTTGGAAGTTGAGATGTCCAAAAAGTGCACGCCGTTGTGGCGCGAAGCACATTTCGAAGTCAAAATGTACAAAACACACCATTCTCGGACCACTTTTGGAAGTTAAGATGTTGAAAAAGTGCACGCCGTTGTGGCGCGAAGCACATTTCGAAGTGAAAATGCACAAAACACTACAAGTTCGCGCCACTTTTGGAGGTTCAGATGTCGAAAAAGTGCACGCCGTTGTGACGCGAAGCACATTTCGAAGTGAAAATGTACAAAACACTAGGGGTTCGGACCACTTTTGGAGGTTCAGATGTCGCTTCGCCGCTTCGCTTCACTACACTACACTACGTTACATTACACCACACTCCACTATACTACACTACATTACACTACACTACAACTACAACTACACAACTAGACTACACTCCACTACACTCCACTACATTAAATTTCACTACGCTACATTACACTACACTACGCTCCACTACACTACACTACATTAAATTACACTACACTCCACTACACTACATTACACTACACTACGCTCCACAACACTACAACTGCAACTACACAACTACACTCCACTACACTAACATTACACTACACTACACTACATTACCACTACACTACACTCCACTACACTACACTACACTCCACTACACTACACTACACTACCTTCCACTACACTTCACTACATTACACTACACTCCACTACACTACAACTACGACTACACAACTACACTCCACTACACGAAATTACACTACACTACATTACACTACACTACACTACATTCCACTACACTCCACTACACTACACTACATTACACTACACTACAATACACTGAATGACACTGCACCACAGATAGACAGTTAGACAGATAATAGACAGACAGACAGACAGACAGATAGATAGATAGATAGATAGACAGGTAGACAGCTAGACAGATAGACAGATGAAAGAGAGATAGATAGATAGATAGATAGACAGACAGACAGATAGATAGACAGATAGATAGATAGGGTAATTAGATGAAAGAGAGAGATAGATAGATAGATCGATAGATAGATAGATACATAGAAAATAGATAGGTAGGTAGGTAGATAGTCAGAGAAAGAGATAGAAAGAGTGAGAGAGATCAAGCACCTTTCAGTCCATCAGTGGCTTCGCTCTGCCATCCCTGATTCACAACAACCAACCTCTCCTATAGGTTTCCTATTTTTGAAACTTCCGCCACCGCCTTGTGCGGTACTACTGGTATTCTAAAGTTATTTACCCATGAAACTCTCTCATTTCTCATGCCCTGGAGTAGCCTGCCCCCCACACCGCTCGCATCCGCTTGCCCGCGCCTGGGTTTCAAGGCCTCTCCAGAGGAGTGAACCTGGGCTTCAAGGTCCAGCTACTGTAATGGCACGCAAATACTTCATGGGTATTTCAACAACGCCCCCAATACCCTCTGGTAATTTAACATAGCTATTGAAAATGGCCATAGAAATAGTTGATTTACCCACTAAAAAAGGTGATTTTCAACAGCTATGTAAACGTTTATACCAGAGGGTAATGGGTGTTTAAAACGAAGGCCCTTGCAACCAACACCGTGGCAACCACTCTCTTTTGGGCAGTGGCAACCAGCTATCATTTCTGGGGGGTTAACCTGCCACAATGGCACAATCGGGAGATACATTCATATTCCTTGAATTGGTGAGAATTTTCAGGAACCCCTACGAAGTTACTAAAAACAATGGCTCCCTATAAAAACCCTGAAACAAAACCATTGAAATAATTATCCATGTTGATATGGGTCAAAATTTGAGACACAGGGCACCATAGATTATGGTAATTTTATGTAATTGTGCCGAGGGTATGTACCATCCATATTCTGCACAAAGGTCGTTTGATTCCTCAAATCAGATCGAGCCGAAGATCTCCTCGGTGCACGTGGACGCCACTGAATTTCGTTTGATGCCCTGCTTCAGGCACTCACGCAATTCATTGGCCTCCTGCAGCCGCTTTGCTTGTGCTTCGCCCTCCTTTTGCACTCGCTTTGCTTGTCCTTTGCCCTGAAGCTTGATCTTCTTGATCGCTTGAGGTTAGGGATCCTCCTTACTCTTCAAAACATGCATCGGGCCAAGGAGGATCGTCCAGGCTCGAGGGTTTCCTTTTTTGATCTGCTGAGAAATCGACATGGTGAACATCCTCATCTCCATGGATTTTCCCGGCACCAAGGCTTGGTGAATATCAACCAACTCACGATCCACTGGCTTGGTGAAACAACCCAGTGGATACACGCCTTATCTGATCACATATTAGTTGTATTATATATATATATATATAATATATATATATATATGATGTTCAAATCACATCGATGCACTACATATTGTACCAAACAATATTATCTTTAAGGCTATCATATGGGAATCCCCTTAAAACATTTACTGACAATGATAATAATGATATGATATAATCTATTGATATGTTATGATATATTATAGAAATCACCCATTTCAGTCACAGAAAGCTGCAAGCCCGGCCTCGATAACATTTTCCTTCTCCGCACTTTCCTCGGCGTCGCGTTCTTCTGGAACCACCTGAATTTTGTCGGCCACGAGCGAACAGTGCAGCAGCTTGAAAGGATACACACATTTCAAAAACGGGTGATTTGACATTCAAAACTGGAGTTAAGAATACAAACATATGGTGATTTCAACCAAGATGGGTGAGAACATATGGCGATTTGACCATCCAAATTTTGGGGACTCAAAATGGTGCCATTTCACTATGGCCATGGCTTCCTGGGAATTCGAGAGGCATTCCATGGATTCCATGGCCAGGTCAACACCAACTCAAAGGGGGAAACTTCGTATTCCGCATGGGGCGGGCTCATCAATATGTCGGTGTATATATATATATATACATATATATATATATATAGATATAGAGAGTGTGTGTGTATGTATATGTCTATATACTACATTATATTACTATATTAGAATGTATATTAGATCATTCGACATTAATAATGCAGAGAATTACAGTCATCGAATCCACGGATGTCCTATGTCCTGAGCTGACTAAACCGATTTTTGCGGATTTGCCGTCCTATTGGCCTATTAGTATCGATCTATCTAATCTAATATATGATATGATATGATATGATATATATATATATATATGATATAATATATACATATATATATATGATATAATATATGTACATATCTATCTATCTTATCTAAATATATCAATATCTTTCTATATCCCTACCTATCTATCATTATCTATCTATATATCTTGGATATCCAATATTTTTGATGATAGGAAAAGGGACATTTCAATCTAGGGTTTCCTCTCGAAAAAAAACGGATGGGAAATGATCCAATAAAAATTATGCGTTTAAGGTGAAGATTCTCCCCAACAACACATGATGAACAGAGTCCCTGATGATTTCTGCCATAAACTAATAAACCTCGCTCACATTGATAGGGTCACCAGCTTCGCCACTACAAAAGATACTTAATCCATCTTAATCCTCCAGAATAGGGATTTTCAGTGTAAACAACACCTCCGTTTTCTGACTTGATATCCAGTTCAACATCACCAGTTTCAGCGCTCCGCGCGCCTCTAGTCGATTCGCCGGAATGATCCTGTGTTGAACCCACTCCTGGCCGATGAGCCCATGATGATAACGGTGGTTTCAGATGGTTTCAGATCCATTCACTTTTGGCCCTGAAATAACCGTTATAAATCGTTATAACATGTTATAACATGTTATAACTGGCAAGCAAAGCCTCATTTAGGTGATATGTTTCAGCTTAGTTCCAGAATAAGAATCCCATGGCCATAACTGTCAAGGGCCATAACTGTTGTCATTTCGCATTGATCTGCCTCATGCGGCAAATTATGGTGATCTGTCATCTTTTCATAACCTGTTCATAACATTTCATAAGCTTGTTGGGTCGTTTGTGGTTCTATCGTGGCTTGCTGAATCCCACAAGACTTACCGAAACAGGTGCGTTTGCTTCAACCAGTTCTGCCCGGTCCTGCTCAACGGAACCTCAGTTTTGGCGCGCGGCGCTATGAATGAGTTTAAACGGGTTCACCTACCTGTTGCGAGATCATGACAATCTTGGATTTCTCTGCAAAAAAAAACAGCAGAAAGTGATATTTATATAATAGATACATATAGAAGCCCAAACTGCGGGTCATGGGAGGGGGCGGTGAGCACATATATACTGTATATATATAATTACTGTAAATTAATGTAAAGTATATACCTGCTTTTCCTGCACTCACCATCATTCATTGCTAAAAAAAACTAATTCTGCCCTTCGCCTACCAGTCACCAGTCGTTTCCCCTCATGCCCCGGCCGAGCGAACTCCCCAGGGACTAAGGAGCTCACCTAAAAGCATTGGCAGGGTGTCAACACCAGCCCAAGCAGTCACAGTCTGGCGGCACCAGGAATGGATTCTTTGCTTTTCATTTACAGGCACAGGTCACTCTTTTCTTTTTTGGTTGGAAACTATTAATGATATCCTCCTTTAGTTGATTAAGGATATGATATGATATTTTATGATATTATACATAGATGCATATATATATATATAGAGATTGATTCACATTTTGTTTGTTTTCTATATATCCAAACCCATTAGCCCAGGCAATTTGCTCTTGACTGCCCCCCATCGTCGTTAGTATTTTACCCCGAACTATGTTGTTTGAATATTGAAAAAAAACAAGTATGTGTGTTTCTTTGCATGCGTTGTTCACAACAGAATATAACAAATAAGAATTCCGGCCTCTTAAGTTCAGACCCTCCATGTATATCATTTGTGGTGGCTAGACACAATCATGTCCTTCTGGGGAAAAAATGAAGTCAGGGCGATTTGGCATGTCATGATAACCATAGGATGTATCTCTTGGCTATTCTATGGCAGCTATCTCTGTACCCTTCCTTTCAACCAACCAGTGAGGGAAGACATCTATGGAATCTATGGTCATATCACAGGCTGTTTCTGTGTTTCCCTGCGCTTGATACATCTTGATAATACATACCGCTTGTATATGTTTCAGGCTACTGCAGCTTAAATCATGTTTTGGATATGATAAATCACAATGCATAAATACAGGGTAGTATCATGTCAAATAGTATCAACATAACCGCCTTTAGTCATTCACCGACCAATTTCTCAATTCTATCCACAGGTTTGATGCTTGAAGCCCCTTGAACATATTGATAACAGGAAACAATCATCAACTATACGACTGGGCTTCTAACCAACCTATCATATTGCACAAATTCCCACAACAGTTCCACTACATCCCAGAAAGTCCAGTGACCTATCTCACTATATCCTTATGACTCTCATGGCAGTCAATCATCAATCATCCAACTGGAGTTCAAACAATCCCAGCACAAGATCATAATGGATTCATCGGGGAAAAAACATGGAAAAAAAGGCTTGACGCCATCAGCTAGCAGAGCTAGGCAACTATACTACCATACATGGACTTGAGAGGGGGAACACGAAAGGTAGGTAAGCAAGAAAGGAACCGAAGAAAAAATGAAGGGGAGAGGGGAGGGAAAAATACATAAAGTGGAGTCTGGTAAAAGCGACGCGGCCATTTTCTTTCCAAAAATATGAAGGGGAGTCTGCTAAAAGCGACTGAAAGGCTTCGGCGATGTGGTTGGGGTTGGTGGTGGTTGTGGTGTTGGTGGTGTTGGTGGTGCTGGTGGTGTTGGTGTTGTTGGTGTTGTGGTATTGGTGTTGTTGGTGTTGTTGATGGTGGTAGTGTTTCTGGTGTTGTTAGTGTTGTTAGTGTTGTTAGTGTTGTTGGTGTGGTTGGGTTTGTTGGTGGTGTTGGTGTTGTTGGTCGTGTTGTTGGTGTTGGTATTGTTCGTGTTCGTGTTGTTGTTGTTGTTGTTGCTGTTGTTGTTGCTGTTGTTGCTGTTGTTGTTGCTGTTGTTGCTGCTGCTGCTGTTGATGGTGTTGTTGTTGTTGTTGTTGTTGTGTTGTTGTGTGTTGTTGTGTGTTGTTGTGTGTTGTTGTGTGTTGTTGTGTGTGTGTGGTGTGTTGTTGTGTGTGTTGTGTGTTGTTGTGTGTTGTTGTGGTTGTTGTTGTTGTGTGTTGTTGTGTGTTGTGTGTTGTGTTGTTGTGTGTGTGTTGTGTGTTGTTGTGTGTTGTTGTGTGTTGTTGTGTGTTGTTGTGTGTTGTTGTTGTGTGTTGTTGGGTGTTGTTGTGTGTTGTTGTGTGTTGTTGTGTGTTGTTGTGTGTTGTTGTGTGTTGTTGTGTGTTGTTGTGTGTTGTTGTGTGTTGTTGTGTGTTGTTGTGTGTTGTTGTGTGTTGTTGTGTGTTGTTGTGTGTTGTTGTGTGTTGTGTGTGTTGTTGTGTGTTGTTGTGTGTTGTTGTGTTGTTCTTGTGTTGTTGTGTGTGTTGTTGTGTGTTGTTGTGTGTTGTTGTGTGTTGTTGTGTGTTGTTGTGTGTTGTTGTTGTTGTGTTGTTGTGTGTTGTTGTGTGTTGTTGTGTGTTGTTGTGTGTTGTTGTGTGTTGTTGTGTGTTGTGTGTGTTGTGTGTGTGTTGTTGTGTGTGGTTGTGTGTGTGTTGTTGTGTGTTGTTGTGTGTTGTTGTGTGTGTTGTGTGTGTTGTGTGTGTGTGTGTGTGTGTGTTGTGTGTTTTGTGTGTTGTGCGTTGTGCGTTGTGCGTTGTGCGTTGTGCATTGTGCGTTGTGCGTTGTGCATTGTGCGTTGTGTGTTGGTGTTGTTGTTGTTGTTGTCGTCGTTGTTGTTGTTGCTGTTGCTGTTGCTGTTGGTGTTGTTGTTGTTGGTGTTGGTGTTACCCCTGCAGCGTTTTTGCTCGGTTCCGTAGTGGCCGAAAATCGTCAAATCGGTGGTGTTTTCGCGTGTTTTTGCAACTCTCGGAGCAAAAAACACCGTAAATACCGATGTTTTTGGCGGGTCGGAAGCCCAAAACCACAGTATTTACGATGTTTTTTGCCTCTGGTAGTAAAAAGCACGGTATTTACAGTGTTTTTTGGCCAGCACCTAGCAAAAACACTGGTATTTACGGAGGTTTCACCATGTAGCAAAATGTGGTTTCTTGATCCGAAAAGAACAAAAATACTGTAAATTACAATGTTTTGAGTCTGCTCTTAGGGTGCGTGGGAGGTGTGGAGGGGGGGGGGGTACTAAAATGACTAGCAATCTCCTGAAGAATCAGGTAACGGGGCTGGCCGCCCTCCCCTTTACTTCGTAAAGTAAAACTCAAGGTAGCCCCTCTGGAGCTACCTTTCGTGATAACTAGACTATATCCATCTATATCCGACTATATCCCCATAATGTTCAATGCTTGATTTACTTTCTTGTTGCCGCTGAACTCCCGATTTCTATCGATGTTTTCTGGTTACCCTCTTCAAACATGGCTAGCTGATGCTAGCTGGACTCCCATTTAAAAACATCAGTTTCCCCAGCTATCCCTCATTTATATATATAGGCCACGAGATTTCCCAGCGGCCCGGAAGAAAACACCTCCTTTTCCTCCACCACGCCGGGGCAACAGGACTCCTGGAAGATGGAAGCCACCTGAAGCTGCCAGGGATTTGATTCAAAGGTGAAACGCACTGGTCTGGTTGGTGGTTGAGCCCTACCCCTCTGAAAAATCATGGAGTATTATGGACTTTCTGAAATTCCCAATAAATATGGGAACATAAAAAATCAAATTCATGTTCCGAAGCACCAACCAGCTGGTGTTTGTATGCAGCTAATGTATCTCTGGTCCTGTAAAACCGTTGAAATTCAACTCACGTCTTGTGAGAGGCCTACAGCCTACACCCCAGCTTTCAGATAACTGTCAACACGGCCACAGCTATGTCAGCTATGTATTATGTAACTCTGAATCCTGCCCGCTGCCGTCTGCCATATCCTGCCGTCTGCCTTCCCCATGATTCAGCTCTCTTTCAGATCCCAGCACGCAGAAACAAATGCAGCTAGGATTTGTGTGTGCTGTGCCAATGTTGAGGAGCAACCTGTCAACCGGTCGCGACTTTTTGTTTTCGACAGACTGCCAACCTATCAACACTCTTTGGATCCCTCTGGTGTAAGATTCAACTGGTGCAAAACCAATCTGAAAAGGATTTTGGTTGCATTTAGTTGAAGTCTATTGAACCTTTCTTCCGCCATGACCAACTAAGTTGAAACCATATGAGTTACTTCATCAAAATCGATGAAGTTAGCAGTTGAAACCTTCTGAGTTTTCAGTGCATGACATAACAGTTTTTCAAGCTTGCCAGCAGCTTACTTGCCGGCTTTGACGCGCAATCCCACGGAAAGAACCACACGAAACATGCCAACCGATCAGGTACGTGGCGCGTCGGGTGGGAGATGAAACAAGAACAGCAGCAACAGCAAAATATATCCGTACCAGAACAACGCCAACGACGACGACGACGACGACAACAACAAGAGGTAAATGAACAGGAACTAAAACGACAAGCAAGAACAAGAATGATACTCATACAAACCAAAATAAAGCAATAATGACAAAGCATAGACTGAGACTTCACGCAGACCAGGACCCGGAGACACCCAACATAAGTTTCCAAAATTGAACCATGACTCAATGTTTGGATTTGGTGGCCAAGTAAGATTTCAGACCTTGAGATCCTGACGCTGATCTGATTCGTTTCTCTTTCTGTGACCCTTGATTGAATCCATGGCACAAGGATGTCGCAACTTTTCTGCACCGACCGATGTCAGAACGTGACACGCACGACACTGGAAGATCTACTACAGTGCTGGTGCTACTGGCTCAGGGATAAAAAAGAACTGATGTTTTACCCCACATCTAAGAACGCATATAATCATAGTTACATCAAAAAGTACACTGTCCAGCAAGTAACCATACTGAACATTCAACCATGGATTCCGAAAGGGGCAAAGTATCTGACCATAATACTGGCTTCATAGTGCGACAACTTAAGAATGTTTAAAGAATTCATGAGAAACAAATAGTTTTTCATCTGGCATCCTGGATGAATTACAGCATAGTTATAATAATTAGTTCACCCATCCGAATTTAGGCCCTCCATCTGCGGACTCCAGCCGTGCCCCCGCAGAGGACAACTGGTCTGTGTTGATCCAGACCGCCCTTCGCAAAACATGAACTGGCTACAACACACCTCAGTCGGATCAAATCACATCTGAATTTAGGCCATTTGGAGATAAGTTACACTTACATTCACCACCATTCAGTCCTGACGTCATGATGTGAGGTCCGTATACTTCATTGGCCCAGCTTCAGCACATCCGTATCCGTGTACGCCGGATGTTGCGTTCCAGCACATGTAGGTGCTTCACGAGCCAAGTACTGAGTTTCTGGCAGCGACAAAACTGTAGGTGCTTTGCATGAGAACATGACCGGTTTTTTGAGTCGGTTGAGCCCCCTTTTTTGGGGATGAACATGAACATATAGTTGAAACCACAAGACAGAAACTGTATGAAACTGCCGCAAAAAAAAAAACAGATACTAAAGTACCCCTTTGATTGTTAGCAAGAATAAAAAGAGTACAACATAGAAGCACCAGAGGGTATCCAGGTCCTTAATGACTGCCATGGTTCGGATCATAAAATATCTCTGACATGCTCTACTCCAACCAGTCAGGGTGCACATGCAAGGACAAACCGTTGCTTCAAGCGGCATGCCTGTGATGCCCGGCTCTGGTTAAATCACCCTCTGGCAGCGACAATGGTTGAAATCCACGTCAATGGCTTTGCATCATCTGCAAGTGGGGAAGGAAATCTGGAAATCCCCACAGTTCATAGCTGAAAATATACAAAGGGTAAATAATCTACAAAATTCTACAAATGGTAAATGTTTGCCATGATTATCCACTACATTCATTACCACGTTTGACTGCCAGAGGGTACAGTAGCTCTACTCCGCGCTTTAAAGATCTTCAAAGTGTGACAATTTATTCAGCCGCAGCTGTGTTGTCAGCAGTGATTTCAGCTGCAGCCTATCTACTCCTATCTGAAAGCAACATATGGATTAATCTGACAAATCCATGAATAGTCAAGTCAAGAATTCACCAACAAAGAATCAGAACTTGGGACGCCAACATCCAGAAACATCAGCTGCTCAATATTCATCATCCGAACCTGCTTGCATGTCTCTCTGCTTCTGGGAGACCTCATGGGGCGGCCACCCTGATCCACCAGAAAGTACAGAAGCCACTACTTGTTCTGGTACAAACCAAAAGACAGAGAAAATCATAGAGCTGGTTGGTGGTTGAGCCTACCCCTCTGAAAAATCATGGAGTTCGTCAGTTGGGTTTTTCTGAAATTCCCAATATATATATATATATATATATATATATATATATGGAAAGTCAGAAAATCCATTCCATGGTTCCAAATCACCATAACTAGAGAGACATTGAGTGTTGTAACACACATAATCCTGAATCTTGAACCGCAATTCTATCCCTCCTTACCCTCTGCTAACTGAAAATAGCTATTCGGAACATGACCCTTTTATGGATAATTCACACAAAAAAAATAATAGAATAGAATAGAGCTATATGAGTTTATCATAGGCGATAGGTGATCTTTTCTTCCAGGGATAATCCAAACAGTTTAGACTTTCATGCCGTAATGGGGAGGATTTGGCGATGGGATTTCACCAAGGATGGCGACTGGTTGTTTATCATATCATGTGGGATATCATACGGGACTTATTTTGGGGATATTTCACATTATTGTTGGTAAACTATCCCACATACCAAGCTGAAGTTCCACTTTATGTGGGATATTTCACCAACACCATCATTTTTTTTGTGTTTCGTCGTCGCGATGAATGATCCATCCCTGTGTTTTCGACGGCAGTGTTTGCTGGTGACCCATCCGACCCATCCCTCCAAATGATTCGTTGGGAATTCTGCACAGTACTGTAACCTCGCCGAACAGATAGAACAGGTACAAAAAAAACACGATTGTTTGGCAGGATTTTACTTGTCTATCTTTCTGGATAGTGCTAATTACTGTATAATATATATAATATTATGGGCCACGGTCAATATTTGGTATATAGCTCCAAGTCATCAATTTTTGAAGAGTGTATTATTGTTTTTCAGGTTTTGGTATATAAGCAAATGTTATCGTTTTTTGCAGAGTCTATTATCGTTTTCCAAGCCCCAGCTCAATCTAAAAAAGATAAAGATGTCTCGAATACTACTCTCCATTAAGCTAAATTTTGGCTGAGCTCATACTGTATACATATATATATATATATATGCGCATATAGTATAATATAACAGTAATACTAATAGTGATAACAATATCATATAACAAATAGTCAATTATTGTCATAATAGTAATGATAGTATTACTACGAGTACTACTCACAATAACAATAAATGTGTGTGTATATAACAAGATCTGCATGACATCCTTTCCAGGGCTCCTTGGTCCACACCTTCCCCCCAGCACCTGCGGTACAAAATTGCTCAGCGCGAACTGGTCAAAACACCACATCGTCAGACAGTACATACGCTCCTGCCACTCATTTGAGGTCGATGGTGATTTCATGGGATAAATCATGAAATTTTTATTGGTGGTAGCCTCTGGTTATGTCAACAGTTTGCGAACTGGAAGCCATGGCCCAGTCGAAATAGTTGATTTACCCAGCTATAAAATGGTGGATCTTTCCATAGCTATGTAAACGTTTACTAGAGGGTAAATAGGATTCTGGAGAAGGAAATGATAGAACAATTCTGGCGCCAAATCCTTGGAGAACACATTGCTGCCATCAGGAAATGACTGTTGCAACACGGCTCTGAAAATGTCTGAAAAGAGTGTACCCCTCATCCCAAATCCATTGGTCATTCATAATTTTCCCATGTTTGAATGGCTAGAATTGGGGGTATACCCCATCTTCAAACACACCCATATTTTGCAACATAAAATCTCATTGGTCGGTGGACAACCTGTGTGTTTTTGCTGAATTCCTGGTCAAGAAGGCGATATTTACCATGGATAAGGCATGCTTGCCTATCAAACCAGGTTGCATAAATCGCAAGAGGTGGGGCCCCTTAGTTAACTATCCCATTGGATCCAAGGAAGTAGTTGAGGTATCATTTAGGGGGTCAGCCATACCTTCTCATGAAGTGTTTGGATCCATGAGGTATAAGGAACCATGATCTACCATACACCATGGGAATCACCTCGCATTAGCAATGACACTCAGCAACACCATGATCAACCCATCTCAAGCCATATTAACCCACAAATTAACCCATCTCCACCCATATTGACACATATCAACCCACAGTTACCAGTCACTACAATAAGCCACCAATCATGAGCCAATCAGGCGGGTCGGCCTTGCCCATAGTCTCCACCACCTGTGGTCATCTGCTTCACCAGCGGGGCGCTGGTGATCAGTGACGTTTGTTGAGGGGTGGCTCTGAAAATGTGGTACCCTCTGGTAAATTAACATAGACCCTGAAAATAGCCTAGTTTTAATGGAAACTAATCTTCCAAACCCCAATCTGCCAGGGTCTATGTTAATTTACCAGAGGGTATGCCCTAACAATATCCAGCAACTGCATACAACTATATGCAGTATTATGCCGCGTTGCATCGAAAAAAAGAGAAAATATGATGATTCACCAGTGGATTTTCAATTTTGGGTGCCTCGACCCATTGAGACAGAGCCATTGGATTGCCATTGGAAGATGGGCATTTCGACACAAATGCACTGGTTGGTACAAGTAGTCGAGCCACCTATCCTAGAATGATAGAACTAGTCAGGTGATGTCAGGTGTGGATGTCCATTCATGGATATGGAAGAACAAGTGCATGAACACTGCACATCATCAGGCTGATTGATCACGACATTGTAGAGTCAACGAAAATCCTCCCAACAAAATATATCTTCAACTCTCATCCTGTCAAACTCGCATTTGGGGGGAAACAAACGGAGGAAAACCATCCACATTCTGCCTGTGAGCAGGCACCTATATTATATAGATCTATGTTTATCAGTATGTCTATGTGTATATATATATACATATATGTGATATGTTTGTGTGTATATATGTATATATATATATATTACTACTGTTGATTTATTATAGATTAATATATCATGTTCATTATTATTTAACTACCAATGTTGTCATTGTACATATATATATATACATTGTACATTAATACGTATGTATATATGTATAATCATACAATATATCATACAATATAATCCTATATTATATAATCACATTCTATAATCATATGACAATTTCCTATTATTAAATCTGTTATCCTTTTATATAATGCAATTGTCCTTTTGTTTATAATCCTATTATCCTATGTTATAATCTAGTCCTACTGTATTATCCTATAATCCTTGTGTATAACCCTATTATATATATACTATATAAAGATATATAAAGTGTAATGTAACATAATATAACACAATACAATATAAAACATAATATGTAAATATCTAATACATAACATATAATACATAATAAATAATACATAATATAGAATATATAATACATAATATATAATATATAATACATAATACATAATACATAATATATTATATACTATATATATATATATCAATATAATACATATTGTATATTATATGTTATAATATGTTATAATATATTACATATTATATATCAATATAATAGTTATCATTATCGTTATCCCAAGCAGTTTCGCCGGACACCTGATGCGCCATCCTCTCGGCCAGGAAAATGGCCAAGGTATCAGCCTTCGCCCACAAAAATGGTGCTATCATAGGGATCTAATAGGGATCTAATGGGGAAGTCAAAGAGATTTAATGATTAAGTCTGGATATAAAATGAGGATTTAATGGGGATTTGCTGGCTGGTGATGCATAATAGGGATACTGTATAAAATGGCAAAACAAGCCCCACCGGCTATTTTTCGGGACTCAACCAAGCCCACCATGGGAACATGATCCAATGGATTTGCTAAAAAAAGCGACCATTTCTAGATTCCAATGATCCAATGCGAAAATGACAGTCATTTAACAGCGACGAAAAGCTTCGAAACGGGGACCTGAGGGGGGATCCACATTTGCTGAACACTGGTGGTATGTGTTGGATCTCAATGGTGCAGTTCTAAGCCTCGCAGTATCAGTCAGTATCATGATTTCATCATTTATAATGATGCGCGGTAAAAAATGTAATGTGGTAGACCCAATCATCAAGCCCAAAATCAACAGTCATGCTAGGTTTATGGCAGTGGTTTTTTCCAGATGTTTATGGCATTGGTTCTGTTGCCTCAAACTCCACAGGTGCTTTGCTTCACCCTTTCAAGTGGTTCCCATCGCTGCTAAAACTTTGACTTCTAGTGATTCTAGACATGTAATATACATGTAATTACCATCTCAGATGATCAGATTCTCAGAAAACTCAACAATCTGAATGGGGAACCGCCAATTTCACAAACAGCTTCCAACAGCTTCCGAAACCTCAAATCACCCAGCCCAGTTGCATGTGGAGCGATCCGCAACTTCGGTGCCTTCCTGCAACATGTGGAGTTCCCCGGTTCCATGCGAATTGTTCCCTGAAGAGATGTATATGCATGATATATAAACACATATATATATTATAAATATAAAGGCTTAAAAACAGGATCCAGTTGTTCCAATTGCAATAAGAACCCACAAATGCCTTTTGGGCTATTCTTCAGGGGCCGCAAGCGGGGCCCACTCGAAACAATTGTGTTGGTAACCTCATGAATTACCCTCTGGTAAACAAACAGTTTCCTATTGAAAATGGCCATAGAAATAGTTGATTTACCCAGCTATAAAATTGTGATTTTCCATAGTTATGTAAACGTTTACCAGAGGGTAGTTCGATATACAGTATCTACCATAAACATCCATGAACCTAAAAATGCTTGGAGTTATGTTCACCAACTTCGTCAAGTTGAAGGCACCACCTTGTAGCTAGATGTGATGGGCCATGTTCACCATCACTGGAGGTTTCAACCAGTGTATATATATATATGTATACATATCATACAACATACTATACCATATATATATATATATATTACACAGCGTATATGCTTATATATGTATATATATATATATATGTGATATATGTTTTTATATGAACTTATATGTTTTTATATGATTACATGTGTGTATATGTCCGGGATCATCAAGAAATGAAACCGCCAATCAGAAACATCCAAACAAGTTACACATTCAAGCAGTGCCCAGTTCACCATCTGTCGTAGCAGTCCACCGTCCCAGTTCACACTGCTTCCTGCGGATTTCTCATGCTAAATTACTGTACAACGATTGATAACCAATCCAAGTTAAAACAGTTGTACAGTGTAGTCAGAAATCCTTTAATCCCATCCCCCTAATGCCAAACACCCCCAAGAAACCATGGTTTAGTAGCAGATTTGCACATATACGGAACCATTTATACAGTTTGTGGTTATTAGGGAATGGGATTTGGCTATGAGTCAAAACCCTGGTACCCTATAGGTATCCTAAAATAGTTTGCTCATGGATGTTTATTCCCCAAAATGTGGTAATTTCATGGGTCTTGACCCATCCCCATTTGAGTAGTTGATAAATTTCCCATAATAATAGTTAATGCAAATTTTGATGTTTTATATTTTACCTTAGCCTTTTGACGATTATCATGTTCATTACCACATAACCACAACAAAAAACACCCCAAAACCACCGCGGTTTAACCTCGCTGTGGAAGCAGATGGCGGTGCACTGTTGGGATCCGTCAAAAAGACCTTGGCGGATAGCAGGAGTAAGTTATTTTTTCTTCTAGAATATATATATATATATATCCCAACATTTACCAACAAAACTGGGGAAAATATGGGAAATAATGTATATAACATTATATAACATTATATTACACTATATAACATTATATAACATTATATAACATTATATAACACTATATAACATTATACAACCAACAAAACTGGGTGAAAATAACAGTTGAATCATTTTGAATCCGCTACGCTTGCTGGTTTGTTGGTTAAAGTGTGCAAAATTGCAATGATAGCTTTAGTATTGCAAGACACAGTGACAAGTTCGGCATGGACTTTACATCTCAACAAAGTTTGACCAACAAACACAGGGATTCAACTGGCTTCTAACCAACATAATATATGCTGACTGGTGAAAAATATATGTCTGAGGGGATCATTCCAGGCCGGCAAATAACAGCTATGCCAATACACCAACCAACACGTGGGGTGGGTCATCTTTTGTTCTTAGTGTTTGGATGATTACCCTCTGATTATGTCCAAATAGCTATTGAAAATGGCCTTTTATAGTGGATTTACATGGATTTACGCATCAAAAATTGTAATTTTCATTGATTTTCCATAGTTATGTTTGTTTGCCAGAGGGTAAAAAGGATGGTCGTACATACGTAGTCCTGGTCCTCATGGTCATTATGGGTATCATGGTCACCATGGCAACCCTAGATCTTAGATCATCCAATCCCCGAACCCCCCGAACGGCTTCGAAGGCGCTCCACTTGGCAGTTCCCTTGCAAACTACTGCCTGGTTCCAATGACAACTCACATCCACAACACTTTAAACTTTAGATCATGCTACCTTTTACCACTAATACTCATGACATATCTGTTAAAGGAAAGGGCCAGAGAATACTTTTAAATACAACACACATCAACACGTCGACGTGGACCCCTCCGGTCAACCCACCGATCCAAAGGATCCCGAGGATCCCGGACGTCCAGGCCCCCTCCGTTGTAGCCACTGTCGGGATCCCAGTGAGGGTTGATGTAATACACCAACCTTGGCCGCGAAAACAGGGTCCAAGACAAAACCCAAATACGCCAAAATGCGACTGAAGGCTGAGGTATCTTTCACATACTATATGAGCGGACAAAATGATTTACTATCCGGAATGGACATGGCCAAAGTGGGTGGTTCCCTATCGGTTGCGAAGGTTTGTACTTCATAAAAAATATAATATACTCATAGAGCCTTTTTTACAAGAATAGTCACAACAAGAAATAACGATAATAATAGTAACTGTAACACTAATAAGAATAACAACAATAATCATCATCAATAATCATCAATCATCATCAATCAACATCAATCATCATCAATCATCATCAATCATCATCAATCATCAACCATCATCAATCATCATCAGCATCATCAGCATCATCAGCATCATCAGCACCATCATCATCATCATCATCATCATCATCACCATCACCATCATTATCAAAATAATCAATCATAATCATCATCAATCATAATCATAATCATCAATCATCATCATCATCATCGTCATCACCATCATCATCATGATCATCATCATCATCAATCATCATCATGATCATCATCACCATCATCAACAACATCATCATGATCATCATCATCAATATCAATCATAATCATCATCATCATCAATCATAATCATATTCGTCATCGGCATCATCATCATTATCATAATCATCAATCATAATCATCATCAATCATCATCATCATCACCATCATCATCATCACCATCAATCATCATCATCATCGTCATCATCATCATCATCACCATCATCATCATCGTCATCATCATCATCATCAATCATCAATCATCAATCATCAGCCATCAATCATCATCATCATCATCATCATCATCTCTATCTGGCCACTTGTCTATCCGTCTCCCTTGCTTATTTCGCTTCCGAAGCTGGTCCAAGCAACGTGACTCGCAGGCCGTTGTCTGGCAAGTCCATGGGCCCTCCGCTCTTGTGCGGATTGTCCTGATGGAACGTTGTTCCGTGAGAAAACATAGGTATGCCCTGGAAGATCTATAAAACAGATTGAAACAGCATTATTATTATGCTTCACATGTGTTGCTTCTTCAAATGAAAATTTATCAAACTATAGGCAACAACATGTTAATAACTTCACATGTGCTGTTTAAAATCATGTGCTTCCGGATCGTACTTTGGACGGGGTAGAGTAACAGGGATGGAACCACCAAGCCCTAGGAAGCTCCGCATGGGATGATGTTCAACTCCTGGAAAACATGTATATGTTTTGTCGCTTATGGTTAAAATATTTAACGGGTTTAACCATAAGTAACATTTCATAGTTAAAACCATCATTAACCATAGTTAAAATGTTTAATTTGAAGTCAAATTTCTATTCATCCGGAACTGCGTCACCTTGGAAACGGATTCAATGCTGCACTCGGTCTGCACCGCTTCGGAGGCTACTGTAGCGACTCACTTGCGGCTCAGTCAGCTTCCGAGATTATCCATCACAGGGATGATTTTTTTTCCTGAAGGAATTTGTTAAACTGTGGCCGTTGTACCAACCACCACAGTAGGCCGTGACTCGCATGTCTTGTCGGAATACATTTTCTGAAGGAATCAAACATTGGGACGAAACTTAACTCATGATGATGTGGCTGGCATTTACAATCAGTCCCCAACATCAGTGTTGGATGATCCCACATGAAGGTTTCAAAATTAACTTTAGAGAAACAAGCACACGCCATGTACCAACATTCCCTCCCAGAATGCCGCAGGTTCCATTTGTAGAAACAACATGAAACAACGGTATAGTACAATCTTTGGAGCTCACCATAGCTCCCCCTGCCGTGGATGAAACAGGACATGTCTGGATTCTGGATTTTGGTAAACAAAAACATCACCCCCTAGCACATGAATACATGAATGGTTTATTACACAACATAACCCACTAAAAGTGCGTCAGAGCATTGCACCCACTTTACCATAGGAGCCAGCTACCAAGATCTACCAAGCTCCCCTGCAATGTGAAGTGCGTAGGAACGATTGCCCGTGTAGCAGGACCTCGGAGGAAAGACTTGCCCTGATCATTTTTGCTAAAAACCATGCAGAAACCATCACTGGAAGATTGAATCATCCACACCTTGGCACAGCGAATACCCCAACAGCCCCAACATATCCAATCCTTGTCTGGCTGTCTGGAAATTCAACAGGGAAACGCTGGGTCCAATAGTGCAGGAGCGTCCCAACCAGTGGTTTCCCTGCTAACTACGCAGGGGACAGGATCAAGAAATGCACTCAATGGTTCAGGTGCAGAAAAAATAAAATGTTCCGCTTGTAGAATCAAATATGGAAACTGATGGGCTACGGGACTCCATTTATTGCAACTTATGGTGACCATCAAGTTACCCTTAGCCCCGTCGGTTACCAGACTAAAACTAATTCTGCCACTTTTGACTGCTCCGGGGGTGCAAATCTCAATAGACTTCTTCGACCTAAACATCTGAGTGTTTTAACATAGTAAATCTAGGAACTGTATTTATATGGTATATATCATATCATAAATCATAATATTTTACAATCACTAATTTGGTGTATATTGATATATGGTGTATCATTAGTAGCATCTAATACTTAATTAATCAATTTTATTATGGTCTATTAGATATATGCATTATAGAGACCACCATTGATTATAGTTCATTTACCATTATTGTAAGATCCTATTCACCATTCACACTCTTCACATTTATCTACTACTACTGATATGGGTAAAACAAGGCCATAAACCACCCATTTGGGAATGGTAAACATACCACCTATTTATGCTTCGGGGGATTGTTTAGTATTGTTTTACACACATCATCACTAATTACATGTTGACATCATGTTGATATTGAATAATATTAAGATAGATACATATAGTATCATATATAGTATCATATAGTATCATATAGTATCATATAGTGATATATATATAATATAATATAAATATATATATATATAAATATTCCACCATCCTTCAACCGCTGCTGCGCGTGGCCCTTTTCCATCGTGGTCTTGCGCCGCATCCCCGGCGCGGCCACAGGAGCTGACTCGACCGCGTCGCTGCGGAGGCTATTCCATTTCTCCTGCGAGGTGTTGGGCCAAGTTGTTGCTTTTTTCGATGGGCCGTGAATCAACGGTGTTGTTGTTGTTGTTGTTGTTGTTGTTGTTGCTTCTTGAAACTGTTTTATATATATATATATACATATATATATATATCTATATATGATGTACTGCTTTGCTCTTCAATGTTTCTCTGTAAGACGTGGTGACGTGGAAAAAAAGGCTTTCAAGTGGACGGGACCACCCGTTGGAGGATCTCACAAAGTTCAGCCCAGAAGTAGAACTGACATGACATTCATATTATGCGTTCGTCTCTGAAACTGGAAAATCATTGGTAACTGGGTTGTATCATCTTCTATCCCATTATTTCACTATGATTAAGGAAGTTTATTTGTATTTTATCAACCGAGTTATCAATAATTCATTCAATTTCAGGGATCATGCGCGCGGACTTTCACGGGAAATGTCAGCAAAAATCGGGCGGTAACTGTCCTGGACAAAGTGGAAGATGGGCGTGACTTCTTCAGTCCTGCCGTAGTTCCTGAAGATTGGGGCCCTGGGAATTTTCCATCATAGATCCTCATTGAATACCTATGGATGAATTCATAGAAAAAAATATGGTGATATATAAAAACAAACACACATGTGGTCATTTCATTCATATATGCACAAGTGTATATATATATATATAATGTATATATATATGTATATATAGCCTCGTCCAGGCTTCTGGAACTGCGTAAACCTGAATTAGGTTGGTAAAACTTGTCCATTCCGTGACGAAATTTCGTCGCGGAATTAACAAGTTTCATTTGGGTCATGTTCATCATCATCATCAGCATCATCATCATCATCATCATCATCAGTATCATCATCACCAGAAACATGTGAGACCAGTTTTTTTTCTGTTTCTTCACAGCAGCTGCAAGTCTCGCACAGCTTTGAGGACCTCTCCCTGTGTCTTCCAGGGGTCCTTGTTGCCAATCCAGTGATGCCATTGGCTTTGAGCCACACGGGCATCCACAACAGCTTCACACGAGGATTTCACACCTGCAAATTCATTTTCGGCGATTTCCACCAACCATCCAAACTCTGCGTGCCGGCCACGGTTGCTTTCTTGTTTTTCCCAACTGGCTGTCCTTTCAGATGTTTGTGGGTCGCTTTCTTGGTGTAGTACGGTCCACCATTGCGACAACCATGGTTCACATGAACGTCAACATTCCACCCCCCCCCACCCAGCGTGTGCGTAGCATCAACTGCTGCCGCAAGTTCACATGAACGTTAACATTCCACCCCACCCCACCCCCCAATCGTATTCAGGTTTACGCAGTTCCAGAAGCCTGGACCAGCCTATATATACATATATATATATATATGTATACATACAAATATATATATATATATTATATTATATTATATTATAATATATTATATTATAATATATTATATTATATATATACACATATGTATAGATAGAGCAATGAAATTGCACAGGGAAATGCGTTGAGGATTGTAACAAGCCAGAAAATCCAACATTTTGCTCAATGTCGCATCTCCTATCATTTCATGATTGTACTGATCACTGGTTACTGGAGGCTTGCCGCAGGATTTGTCATATGCTCCAAACTTTTTTTTGTCTGGTACTTGCCAAGCTCTTGTCGGTTGTCATCTTATCTAAGCAGTCATTCAAGTGGATTCTATGCACCCTATATTGTCAAAGTTAACACACGAACAGGATTGAATGGTTTTGAACCATAAAAACTCTTGCGGCAACCCTACAAAATCCATTCTTCCCCCTGGGGTTAGGAGCCGTTTCTGATTGGTGGTTTCAAGTTTCAACACCACATGTGTGACCATGGTCATAAATATGCTTGAAGAGATACTATAATAAGACTATAAATATCATCATAGTATTATTACACCCCGTAAATCAAGCCGTAGTTTCTTAGGAATGATGATTCCGGTTTATGATTTTACATGATAGTATATAGTATAATATAATAGTATATACTAGTATGTAACAGTATATAGTAATAAATATATATATATATATATTTATATACAAATAACATATAATAAAGATTATTGTAATTATAATGTTATGCATATAATAGCATATAATAGCATATAATAGCATATAATAGCATATAATAGCATATAATAGCATATAATAGCATATAATAGCATATAATATAGCATATATAATAGCATATAATAGCATATAATTAGCATATATATATATATATATAATAGCATAAAATAGCATATAAGTAAGAGTATATAATAGTATGTATATAATTTAGTATAATGCAATACTAAAAAAAACAGCCACATTTTTTGTTTACAATACAAGTCACAAGACAAAACAAAGTTCAACCAGCTTCTTGCCCAAGTCGCTTGTCCGGATGATAGCTCAGGCGCCATCGCTGCAACTTCCGCCGTTGCAGCTCGACATCGGCACCACACTGCTCCAAGTCCCGTTGGAGTTTCCTGGCCGAAGGCATGCCGAAGGCGCCCTGGAAGTGGGCGCCTGTTTCTGGAAGGCATACCATAGCCATAGCCAGCAAAAAGATGCAAAATGGAGCCCATGTTACGATGCAGAACAGGAAACAATGGTAAAATATGGTAAAGTATGGAAAACAATACTGATCAATTCCGTTGAAGAGGTTCATTTTGTCATGTTTTGTTCACCTCGTCAAGACGTATGGGTCTCAAATCCGGTTCCAGTGGGATGGGTTGACCGTCTACGACAAGGTGGCTCAGTGTCGGTTCTCCTAGCTTATAGGCAGAGAATTGGGCAAAAGTTATGACTCCAACAGGAAATGGTACCGGGAGACACTGTATAGTATATAGAGTCACCATCCTGTCTTTGTGCTTCCAGCACACAATTTTTCCATGGGTTCACCATCATTGACTTACAGAAACGGAGGGTTTAGATAACATATTTCAACGTGGACTCTTTTGCAGCGTTACCGTCTGGTAATTCAACATAGCTATTGACAATAACCATTGATAGTTGATTTGTCTTTTAAACATGGTGATTTTCCAGTTCGCAAAAAGTAAACATTTACCAGAGTGTACCCACAACGATGGACGGTTTTTTGCAACAAAAAACAGCTCTAACGTGGGCCAAACATGGTTTCCATCATAGAATTGGATGATGGGAGAATTTACAGGAAAGCCCTATATTTGATGGTAAAAAATCATGGTTTCCTGTAGATTTTCCCTTAAATCAATCCAATGATTCCAAGCGTCTGGATGACGTTCTGCTGCCATCTCTTCGTCTGCTGCGTTTCATCCTGGCTGAATTCAACCCATCAGACCCACGTCATTGGGAGATCAGCACAATCTTAGACCTGCAAGAAGATTGGAGCTGTTGAGCTGGCTAGTATATATTCATATGCGTATCAAATATATATATATATATGAAGGTATAATATTATATATGTATGCCAATTTATAGGAAACATATTTCAGAGTACCATTAATCTAAGCTCGACCGGTCGAATGGCCACGAACTTCAACAATCCAATGACCATCAATGACCTGCCAGTAGGACCATTGGGCCTGACCCGACTTAGACAAAGCACTCAAGCCATGTAAAATTCCTCCGATATGAGTTTCGTAATAAACTTAATGTGTGTATATGGAAAAGCTTATTAAGGGCTTAATAAGCCCTCGAAACCTTTGTATGTTTTTCTTGGTTTAAGCCCTAGTCAAAGCCACCATAGCACAGTTATTCGCTTCCAAACTGTGGATTCCAACCATTTTCGGCTATTGAAATAGCCATAACATCCATAACTGGGCCAGGGGGGTATACTAACCAATCTCACGCCCATTGCTTTAAACATCTCAATTAAGGCAGGTGTTCACGGCCTACATAGCAGCAATCATTTGACGATTGTTGGCATTTTTGTGCCCCAGATTTCTGTACAGATCGGTATCAGTCACGAACTAAGTGACAAAGCTTTGGATCGTTTGACAGCCTTTGTTGGGGCTCAGCCTATCACCTGCGCGCAAGGTTTTTCGAAACCTTACAATTTCTAGGTTTTCACCCATCTTAGGCCCAGCAAGCCTGCGTTCAGCCGCCTTTTGGACTCGCAGCCCGTGCGTAATATATCTCACTTACACTCCCCCTAATTCACATAGACCCTGCCAAACAGTGTGTTGGAATATTACTTGCCACTAAAAACATGTCGATTTTCAGAGTCTATGTTCATTTCATGGAGCGTATATCCCCATAGTAGTTCATGAAATCCTAATTAACGTTAGATTAGTAAAGCAATAGGATCCAGCATCATCCCCAATGACTTACCTTTTGTATGGGTGGGATTCCAACCATGAATCCATACGGTTGGATTATTAATCCCGTCCCCCATTCATAATTATTAAACACACCATAGTTTAGTAGCTAGGGGATGAAACCACATCATTGGGACCATGAACTGGGTCTTTAAAATATTTTAATATTTGGATGGGATTCTTGCTTTACCATAATTATGTATGTCCATGTCCTTCTGGCATCCAACATACCATCCCCACCAGCTGAAGCGAAAGAAAGGCACCTCCTCTCCTGCAGGGGCCAAGCTCGGGCTTGAAAAAAGGGGCATGCAATACATCACAATTTCATGGGGAAAAGGATGACACCATGACAATTTTTGGGGTAGGGATACCCTAATTTTGAGGAAAACCACACTTCAAAGGTCCAAACAGTCGGTTTTTGATTTCCAATCAATAGATGTACAGTATTCAGGCTGAAACCCTGACGCTGGAAGCGCAAAGGTGCAGGATCAGCCTCCACAAATCAGCCAGTCCAAGTGGTCATTCAACTTTGTTCGCTTTGATGATTCAATTATGCATAAAGAACTTAAATTCCAGTTTAACTTTGTCATATCTCCATCACCATTTCCTTCTAGTATCTTCTAGTTTATACTATTTTCTCAGCTTTCTTGTGGCTTCAAATGACCTCCCACCAGGCCCCCAGCCCACCTGGTGGTTCCACTTCCGCTGCCGCGGCTTCCGGCTCCGCAGGCTCGGCCTCCGCCGCGTCGTGCGTGTCGTCGTCGCGTTCGTAGTCGCCCCAGCTCCAGTGCTCCAGGGCCTCCAGGGCATCGCGTTGCTCCTGCCGTTGAAATGGCTGGAAGATTGGTTACGGAGCAACCCCCAAAGCGATGTTGAAAAGTGACATCCTACTAAAATTGAGAGATGAAGTATGATGAAGTATACTATCCTTTTTGGGGGGATGCATACGTTTCAAAGGACCCATGAGGGAATGGAACAGGGGTAAATGGGAGGCGTTCCCCGTATAAATCCCCGAACTAAATGGTGAAACCATGGATTGTAAGCCTTTCAAGGGACCAGGAAAATGGTGAAACATATTTGAAGTGTATATTCACTGTAAAAGACTAAGAACCACAGATGAAGTGTGGTGATAAAAATCCGAACTAAATAATGTTGTGACACACACACATAAAATACACATAGATAACATTACTGTGCTAGGCCCCTACCACTTGTGCATGGGGTGATCCCTGGGGTAGCCCCAGTTGATGTGAAACATCGAAGTTCGATCAGCGGGTCCTGCGGCAAAGTTCCGCGGCCAAAGCTCTTTTGGGCAGTCCTTTTTGGATGAACTGATCGCTGGAGACTGGTTTGCTGGGGAAAATTGATCGAGGAGACCAATGGATCCAATGGAGACCTGGTTATGTCTGGTTACCATCAACTTTGGGGGCGTTCCTGAACAGATTTTCCCCAAAAATATTGACTTCTGGGAACTTGTGGATGCACTGATACGCCTCAGGAAACGATATGAGGATATGAGGATTTGGAATTGGGATTTGACATGGTTAAACCAACCAGATCCGATCCCATTTGGGGTTCCAATCACATTCTCACCCTCGGCCTTGAAATTGTTCATCCTCACAAAATGCTTGGATCGCTAGTGTATTTTTGTTGGTCCAAAAATGGGATGATGATACCATAAATCTACCGGATCATTTTTAGACGTGTCGTGACATGTTTCATTTTGATTTGACACACGTGTTTTGGAATACTTGGATGGTAAAGGATGGTACAGGTACGAACAACAGATTCCAGTATATGTTGTGGATCCGCTATATTTACCGGCTGCTAGAAGCCGCCGGATTCTCATCAAACCAATCATCGCAGGTTGGTGTTTTTTTGACCCATCCCAACCAGATTAGTTCAACCAATTTTCCCAGGCCTGGTTGAAATACAATAATATTTGAACCCAACCAGAAATTTCAACTCCGGATTATCCAAGAAACATCCAAGAAACCCTGATCGACTTGTCCAAAAAAACATCAATAAGAAGTTGGAATTTGTTACGGGAGTATTGTAATATTTACGGGATGGGTCAAAACTTTGGTTCCCTGGTGCACACCCACATTGCTGGCGAATCGATGTTAATCGCCAAGTCAAGGGCCATAATAATGATTAAGATGACCAGCTCCCCAAAAAAAGAAAGACAAAAAATGAGAACAGTCAACACTAATATACAATTTTGTTCATGAATTCTTACTAAAACAATACTTTGAACACATCTAACAACTCACTGTTCAAACGTGTCACCATCGAGCCCTTCGGGAGTCCAAGGGACAAGACCCATGCGCCCAAACGTTTTTCGGCCTGGGTGGATGATGATCCCGCAAGCCATGTTTGATTATTGGATGGAACACATGGGTGTAAGTTTGTGTAAGCTTATCATCTAAGATATATATCTATAAAATTCTATATATATATATATATAAAATACACTATAAAATACTATATATCGTATAAAACAAAAAAACATGTGTCATATAAACCTCTGAAAGCCTGCAATGGATTCTCCCGATTTCCAAGTTGGAAGAGGATTTGAATCTGAGCGGCTCATGAAGGCCATTTAAATCGCAAACATGTTCAATCCTTGCTTCAGAGACTGAACACCTTGTTGCGAGGACACATTGACCGGATACGAGGATATAGTCAAAGGATGTCAAAGGGTTGTCAAGGGTTGTCAAATCATCAACTCATTATATCATATCTGTTTGGATATGGAGTAGGCTACCTCACTGTTCACGTCAATCACATGTCCCATCTAAGCCATTCTAGGCCAACAATGACATTCACATGAAACGTGGGACCACAGCCAACCCACCTCTTTTCAAAAGTCCTCTTCCATAGAAACTGCCCAGGCACGGGCTGATGACTCTTCTCCCAGGGCAGCCGGTGATGATCCTCCAGCCACTTCGCCAGCTGCTGGAGTTTCTCTTCAAAGCCTGTCATCCCGCCACCGGTTTGGCTGCTGGAACTTTGTACTGTGGCTTCAAAACCGCCATGGACAAGTTGGACAAGTGACAAGTTGTCATGATCATTACTTTTCAGTGCATGGAACATATGGAAATAGAATATGAAAGACACTCAACCAGCATAGCTCTTACAACAAACATCGTTTTTCTACAGACCAGTCTGTAGGTTCAACCAGCACCCCACCTTTCAAGGGTACCAAGTTCACTTTCCGCTTCCGTGGTGCCGGTAGCCTGAAGCCAAGCCGTTGGGAAATCATTGCTTTAAATCATTGGGAACTACAGTTATGGCCATGGCTACCAGTTATAACTGGTTATTTCTATGGGATTATACATTCAGTAAATGGGGTTATAAGTACTTATAACTGATAAATGGCCATAACTGTAGGAAATCCATGGACTTTCTTTTGGCGGAAATCTGCGGCTCAACATGCCCCTTAGTTGTTGCACTGTAACGCGGACATCGAGGAGATAATTCCTCTCCAAATTGCCATTCATGTTGGACTAGCAAAGGATCTCCAAAAACTTGAATCGAAATATAGTGGTGGTTTCTGCTGCTATGCCGCGTTTCAACACCTTCCTGGCTTTTTCATGACTAAGATGTTCGATGTAGGCTGAAATTATCACACCCAAATGCGACATTGGATATACAACTTTAATGGTTTTATATATGGTAAAATAATATCATATATCAAGATATATATATATATAATGATATATAAACAAGGTGTATATATATTTACATATATATATATATTATATCATATATCTGTAGTTCATGGTGGTTATGAAGCAACTTGTAACTGTACGGAAACCACCTTGGGCTGGAAGTCCCCGAGCTTTTGCCCACCGTCAAACCATGGTTTTTGTGGGTTGCGGTCATCACACCGTCACTGCATCTTGGGGATCATGATCTCAGTTGCCTGGAACTTTAAACCTGAAACCAACTGTGGATGACTCCATTCATGAATTGTCAGGGTGAAAAGTTGGATTATATACCCAGATTGGATCATTTTCAGGGATGATAATCCATTAAGCGGATTAAAGTGGTGGTTTGAGATGTACATATGCCAGCTTCAAATCTGAAAGAATCATAGAAAAACAACGGATTTGGGATGGTTTCAGAAAGTCTCGAAATCATAGACTGGTTGGTGGTATACCTACCCCTCTGAAAAATCATGGAGTTCGTCAGTTGGGATGATTATTCCCAATATATGGAAAAATAAAATTCATGTTCCAAACCACCAACCAGTAGAGGTTTGCATCCAAATGCGGGTACCCCCAAAGCATCCAAATTATGACCCCAGATTCTGGATGGACCAAGGAACTCTGGCAGTCCACTGGCTGTCTTGGAAGTCCGCGGCCTCTGTCAGTGAAACCCGGAGTGACAAACTGGGGAAAGGGTTAAACATCAAGAACATTCCAATAGGGAGTGATTTCACCATTAAAAATATGGAGTTTAGTCTGGATTCTACCATCTAACACTAGTCACCAGTGTAAATGTAGATTTTACCCCGGTTCAAATAGGTATTTAACTTCAATTTCACCATCAAAACGGGAAGTAATCTTGCATTTGTGACAGGTTTCTGTTGGTTAAGTTTAGAACAACCGGGATATAACCGGATTTCATGGAGATGTTTTACCAGACTGTGGATGAGCTTCTCTAATCATCACCACAAAAATTACTTTACTTCGTCTGATCCCCACCATGACATTTATCGATTTGTTACTGGCAAATCTTCTGGCATTCTATCTGACATATCTTCTGGCATTCGATCTGGCATTCTATCTGGCATATCTTCTGGCATTCTACCTGGCATATGTTCTGGCATATCTTCTGGCATTCTATCTGGCATTCTATCTGGCATATCTGCTGGCATATCTTCTGACATCCTATCTAGCATTCTATCTGGCAAATCTTCTGGCATTCTATCTGGCAAACATTCTTGCACTTTATTTGGCATACCTTCTGGCATTCTATCTGACATTCTATCTGGCATACCTTCTGGCATATTTTCTGGCATATGTTCTGGCATATCGTCTGGCATTCTATCTGGCAAATCTTCTGGCATTCTATCTGGCAAACATTCTTGCACTTTATTTGGCATACTTTCTGGCATTCTATCTGACATTCTATCTGGCATACCTTCTGGCATTCTATCTGGCATATTTTCTGGCATATCGTCTGGCATTCTATCTGGCAAATCTTCTGGCATTCTATCTGGCAAACATTCTTGCACTTTATTTGGCATACTTTCTGGCATTCTATCTGACATTCTATCTGGCATACCTTCTGGCATTCTATCTGGCATATCTTCTGGCATTCTATCTGGCATATCTTCTGGCCCCGAGAGCACGAGTCACAGACACGGGGAAAGGTTTGGGGTCGTGGTTGAGGTCCGGCAGGGAACACTTGGCGTGGATACTCGCGGTTGAGGTCCGGCAGGGAACACTGGGCGTGGATGGTCGTGGTTGAGGTCCGGCAGGGAACACTGGGCGGGGATGGTCGTGGTTGAGGTCCGACAGAGAACACTGTGCGTCGAGGGTCGCGGTTGAGCAGGAGGAGGAGGAGGAGAGGAGAGGAGGAGAGGAGAGGAGGAGAGGAGCAGGCAACTGACATAAAATCTAACAACCCTCAGCTGGCAGGTGGGGAAAAAGAATTCTAGTGGTCAACATTTGACTTGATCTTCTTCCAACTAAGGTGACTTCCCTCATATCATCAATGGATCTGACCAACCCGGTGACCTCTCAAAAAATAAGATATCTACCCTTTGGTAAATTAACAGTTGGACCCTGAAAATCACTAATTTCTAGGGGAAACTAATCTTCCAACCCCCATCTACCAGGGTCTATGTTAATTTACTGGAGGGTATAAGTTACTGTAGTTACAGCTATAGTTCAGTGGCGATGGCAAGTGGTCGATATCTATACAAGATTTTGTCATAGATTACCTGCTTGGTGGTTGTGAAAAACTTGAAAAATCATGGAGTGTGTCAATGGGAAGAATGACATCCCATATATGAAATGGAAAATAAACAATGTTTGAAACCACCAACCAGATTACTGTATATATGATTAGAACATCTTCTAACTGCCTGTTTTATGGCTTCTAACCCGTCCGTCAATCTGCGTGTTGAATGGCTTCTGACAAGCAAATTCACCAGCTAACTCACTTTTCATCACCGTTGCGATCAAACCGTGCAAGTAAATAACTCAAGCCATAAAAGCTAACATCAGTTACCCTCCTTTAATCCAACATGGCTAGCTGGAAAATCCGGGATATGATTTACTTCGATGATTTTCCCAGCTAGAAACCTCCAGATCCTCCAGGGCTAGGCCAGCCACGTTCTATGACACCGGAGGGTCACCCATCCCGTGGTAACCCGTGGTAACCCATGGTAAGCCGTGGCCCATGACTCAGCCATACTCGGCCTCTTGACACCTTTCTGCTTGGCTTCCATGGGCTCGGTCTGCCAGTCGCCGAAGAGCTGTCGGCTGGCCGCCTGAACATGAAATATGATCTTGGATTGAAATTGGGCATCACCAAATTCCAATGGTTTTACATGGTTTTACGATCTTCCCCCCCAAAAAAAATATATGGCCATTTTGGGGGGCCAAAGCCTTTTGTTGTCGGAGACATCCAACTATTCGCACAGGTGGGTTGATGTTTGCTCCGATAGTGATTCTCATATTGCGGAGCTAGATCCCAAATAGACAGTTCTCATGGTCAATCTTCCTCTGAATCTTTTCCAGAGTTTCTGTGCCCTTCAACAAAGCCACAAAGCAGAACAAAAGTGCTAGTTCAATGAATGCACTCGTAGCTCTTAATTAACAAGTATATCTGGCTAGCCGACCTCATTCAAGTCACATTCTTCGCTTTAGTTGCAGGAGTTGTTTCATCCCATGACCATAACATCCAGAACAGTCAAGGGCCATAACTCTTCGGCGTCAATTTCCCGCCTGATCTTCACCAACCACCGCCAGCGCAGTCGACTCCGGAATGTCACGCACCGACGACTTCGCAGACTTCTCGCCGATTTCGCGGAAGGGTTTCTCCTTGGTGGAATAAGTGGCAAGTTTCATCTAAACTGAAAAAAACAACCTTGGGAAATTCCCTGGAAATGGAGGAGTTCAGCATCTGAAAATGAGACTATAAAGGGTGTATAGTATATATATATATATTGATATAACCAACATGGTTGCCACTGATGGTTAAACAATGATTGTTTGAAAACAAAAATGAAAATGTCAATTTCACATGATCGGAGAATGATATGAAACAGGAAAAAACACATGAGAAACAAAACGAAAAACAAAATGAAATCCTTGGTCCGGACTCAGTCTGTGGCTGTAAGATTCTCATAAATCTATAGTGTCTATAGGTTACTGTACTTTTATCACCCCTCATCGGCTACAAGCATCCCAAAACTTGGTTGAAAACAATTTCAAAGGGAAACCCATATGTTTGAAGCTTTGTAAACCACAGTTTCTTGTAAATTTGCACCGTGGATCAACCCAAATCTAGACTTTGGAGAGCGCGTAAAAACCGCGATAAGAACAAGAGGTAGTAATCACGATTGAAAAAAGTGGTAACCACGATAGAGAACCGATCGTCGAGCCCGATAACACCATTATCGCCAACAAACTATCTTGCACTGCATCGTACTTTTTTCAAAATCTGCGATGGCGTTGTTGACCAGGTCCAGCAGAAGAGCCAAGGTGGGGTAACGGTCCTGCAGCAGGCAGCTGCCACCAAGGCATAAACCGCATAACCTCCACAACCCTTGATTGCGCTTAGGACATGTTGCTGGGCAATGCCAAGTTTTCCGTCTTGTTTCAAGCGCCCACGTCACCCAGCTATGCGTCACCCAGCTTTGAGATGCAACGCTTCAGATGCCCCTCACAGGATGCTCAGGCTCCCTGCAATCGGATACGGCCAGGGATCTCCCATCTTGTCGTTGACCAAAAGCCGAAAGTGCTGCATAATAATGAACGCGCAAGAAGTTGTCGGTCAATGTATGTGTGTATTAATGTATTACTATTAATGTATTTCTACTAATGATTACATATACACACATAGAATATACTAATGTATTACTACTAATGATTATATATACATACATAGAATATACTAATGTATTACTACTAAAGTTATCACGGTAGTGATCTTGTCGTTTTAACCAAATGTCCTTATCAGCGTTACTAAAACCTTATCGTTGCAACTGTATCCTTATCATGGTTATGCTGTACCCTATAGACTTTGAACCGCAATATCTTCCATCCTTCCCTGACACATGGTACCTTCAGCAAGGCCCGGTGCTGCCCAAGGGTCTCCCTCCAAGACGCGACGCTTTTGAAAGAGCCAGGCCTTCTTCGTACGGAGCAGCGACACGTCCTTGCGCCAATACCTCGGCTCAAGCAGTGGACCAAAATATCAATCGTCCTTATAAATCATAGCCCGTTCAAAGTACGTCAATCCATAGAGGATGCTTATTTGATCAACTGTAGGATAACTATAGCCGTCAGTATAACCTCACTGACGGCATCAGTCGCCACTATATACTACAAGATAGAGGTGGATGAATAATAATAATAATGAACGAAGATATACAAATCGACAATCAAACAAAGAAAGAAACAAACAAATATATAAACAAATATAGAAACAAACACAGTCTGCCTTTAGCTGTGTATAACAGTTATAATTAAACAGTACTTATATGTTTATATTATATATGATATTATATATATATATATTACGTACATTAGTACGTAATTACGTAATTATACATTGTACAGACTACTGTACCCAATCACTTTGAATCACTCAGATCCCGACCTTAGATATGGGGGCACTCTCAAAATGAAAGACCCCAAGCAAATTGTTATCATGTAAGAAAATACATATCACTTTTGCATGAATTTTGGGTCTCCAACTTTGTAAGAACTCCCCGTATATGACTCGGTGGTAGTTTCAACAATTGTGAAACATATGAAAGTCAATGATCATCATCATATGGCCCATTGGCTTCGATGATTAACTATGAAAAACATGGTGATTCTCCAGTCTCCCATGTTGGATTGGAGGGTACCTTCCTATACTTAAATCATCTTGAATCCCAGCTGTTCTCCAGATAAATCCCAGCTTTTCCTTGGTTAAATCTTCATGTTCCCGAGTGATTCTTCACCATCTGTCCCCGGTGAAATCCCCAATTTCCCAAGGGCAAAATCCCAGCTTTTCCCGGGCAAAATCCATGTTTCATAAGTTAATGGATGGATCTACATGGAGGTTTCGTGAGTCATGTGGGTACTAAATCATCCATAGATATCCATAGTAATAAAATTGACCATTAGAAACCATCCATTTGGGGGTACCCCCATTGTAGGAAACCCCTTTATGTTAATCCATAGTATAAGATAGTATAAGCCATTAGAAACCATCCAGCTATTGGGGATCCCCCATAGACACCACAAGTGTCCAGTGTTTCGCACTCCGAGGGACACGTTTTCGCCCTGCACGGTGGCCACAGGTTGGGCACCGGGCTTGAGCGCTTCGGTCGCGCGCTTGGGCCCCAGGCGATAGATCTGACAGCTTGGACAAGCTAAGATGTTTGGGGATTTACCCAGCAAAAATGGGGAACATGCAAACAAATCATGATTTCACTTGCAAAAATGGTGATTTAACATGAACTAATTATCTTTAGGAACTTAACTAGGAAAATGTTGGATTTAAGTGGGGATTTAGCTAGGGAAAGTGGGAATCGAACCAACCAAACATGGTGATTTGTAGTTGATGAATACTAGCGAAGTTGGTAGACAGAAGTAACATAATCACGCGTTTGTTGGTTTGAAACCCAAATTAAGTATATGTGGATATATCTACCATAAATCCTAGTTATGTATAAATTTATATATATATATGCTTAGCCTTCAGATAAACCAACCTAGCAAACTATGAATGTCACTACCTTCTGGGGAAAGATACTGCAAACTATTGTGTGAATAACCTAGGAAAAACAATAATAAACCACCCATTTGGAAATGGTTTACACAACCTATTTATGGTGATTTGGGGGATGGTTTATTGTTGTTTTACCCACATTATCACTAATTACATGTTGATAAAGGATGATATCAAGATAGATACATATAGTATCATATAGTGATAAATGATATTCAACAATAAATTAGTATCTCACTAATGATATTAAAATGTTGCTCATGAGACTACTGGGATATATCTGATCTTATTAGATCTTGTCCGTGCGCTGCGTTGGAACCTATGAGGATCCAGGGTGAGCCACCAATAGTTGACCCACCAAGTTGACCCACCATCTGTTGTTACAGTAATCAAACTTCTCAAACCATCCATGATTGAAAATTCAAGAAAATCAACACAACACATGCACATAAAAGCACCGTTTCTAAAAAAAATACCGTGTTTTCAGGGCCCACACTTCCATTAAAACATATTGAAACCATTATTTCCAAAGGATTGACATCTACCACGAGGTGCCCCCCTTTCCGTCGCCTCATGGTGCTTCAAGGCCTGCTTGGTCCTGGGCACACCGCCACTCTGGCGCCGCTGATGCAGGAAGACCTCAGGGCTGCATGGATCCATTCAACTCTAAACGCAATATATTATGAATCAATATAAATCAATTGCAGATTGATATGGTACAATCAATCATATATCATATATATATAAGTATGTATTATATATATACAAGTCATATGATACAATATGATACAGAATCAATCACAATCACACACAATACATCATATGTTTTCATATTTATCCCTAAAAACACACGCACGCCACAGCGCTACGGCGCTACGGCGGCACGGCGCCACGCCTCGTCCTGCTTCTCGGCCTCGCTGGCCCTCAACGCCGTCCACTCCTCCGGCTCGCCACCGCCGGACGCCTCAAGGGAGCACAGGAGCTTCTCCCACCTGGCGGAAACGGACACCGTGAAGGACACCGCTGACACCAAGGGGACACCGTTAAGGGGACACGGTTAGGGGGGACATGCCCTGACTTTCGCCGGGCGTTTTTGCACAGAACATATGAGCGATTTTTTGCAGAGACTCTAGAATGATGGAGTATGATGGATCTATTTGATTCTGGAGAATTGACTTGATCAAGTCGTAGGGACCCACTGAAAGACACGCTTTCCTTTTTGAGCTTTCCACAGTTTACTGAGATCCAGAAGCTTCGTAAGAAAAAATGGGATGATGCTGTCAAACGTTCAAACATCCAGGCAATGTTTCCATCTTTTTGGGATCTATACTGTATATGTATACCCAAGGAATCCAAACACGTTGTATTCACAGTTTCTAGCACAAAGACTGCAAATATAACATGTTAACCCAAAGACGGTATATAGCAATACCTCAGGATTTTCCTAGTAATGGTGTCAAGAACATGTTCACACTGCTCCATTGACTCGCTTGTTTTTCTTCCAAGGCAGCTGCAAAGATCAATCAGCATCCTCATTTTCTGAGGAAACATCATGACCATAGCGCAAACTCAAGTAGACACCCCGCAAAAGCCCCAATTCTAGGGTGTTCACATGTCCCATGGAAGCGATGCGGATCGCGAATCGGTTCCAATCTTCCTGCTTAAAGCAGTGAAAAAATCTGCTGTTCAGACCTTGGAGGAATTCAACAGTTAACCCTTAACATGGGCAACTCAACATGGAATAGTTGCAACGTTTAAGTAATGAAAATAAGCTCAGGCCAGGAACCATATCTGACATGCACATATTGCAGCTCCTGAAACGCCTAAGTGCCACCACAACATGTCAATTGGAAATACTGACAAGTAGTGAGCCAACCCTGCACATGGCTCTTCTACAGAACTTTGCCTGACAAGGCGCATGGCATTTGGGTTTGATAGGATAAAGGTTTTGAAGACCCAGCTCAACAGATTTCTGGGCCAAGCGGTAGTAAGAGTTCAGGCTTTGATCCTCAGTGCGATGGTTTTTTCTTGGGAACAGGTTGGCTTGACTGAGGACAATTCCACACAATGCATGTCTGACTTTTGTGGTTACTAATGTAAGCCAAAGTTTCACATGCTTCTGAAGTCTTTCGAATAGAAACATCATTCAAATACCGCCCATGGGCTTCAACGGTGTTGAACCATTCCCCAAGCTGGTACCTTCCAGTGCAGAAACCCAAACAACTTATATAAACATTTCATTTGATTATTTCTTGTCCAACATTGGGACATATTGGGACCAAAATAAGACATACCCAGGATACACGCAGTTGGCCACTTCATCTCGGTCAAAACCATCTTCACCTTGTGGTTGTTGATGGGTGACACGCACCATAGTTTCAGAGAGCCAGGCCACCACGACACGTGCCTGCACAGGTTCAAAAGGGTGGCCAACAAGCATCTGAGCCTGTTGGTGGAGAACGAGGACTGTGTTGACAAACAATGGCTGGGAGTCACTGGGAAGTGTGAATGCCAGGGAACATTCCAAGCTTTTGCATGAAGCTCCGCATGCCCACTGATCACATTGATGCATCCTTTCTGAGAAAAAACTCCTTGGGAATGCCTCAGTTCACATGATGATTTTGGTACTGTAACCTTTTGATACACAGAACCCATGTATCCAAACCACATAAACAAAAAATAACATAAACATAAATCGAATATGTTGAATACTGAGTTACTGGACTTTATTGGCAACAGACCAAGCATTGAAGTGCAACCATGCCGATTTGTATCGATCAGAAGCATCAACATCAGCACCTCCCCAAATATGGAAATGCTCGGCCATCAAAATCAAGGTGGATGCCGAGAGCCACAAGGCATACCCAAGATTCAGCGAGTGCATAGAGCAAAAGCATATGTGAGCCGGATGAAAGGATTGGATAGTTGTCAAAGGACCTTTGCTTTGAACATGAAACATACTGACTTCAAAATCTAGAAGCGATGCTATACACTTATGCCACAAGGTCCCCTAGCTTTTGAAACTCACAGATTGAATTTGAAGACAAGGGGCTGTCTTCATCCTGTCTCAGGGCTTCCTCCAAAAAGTTTTGCAAATCCCTCCGGGGCAATTGCGGGAGTGGGTTTGGTACACGTAGGAAATCATGCTTGGTCATGAAACATGCATGGCATAGGTTGGTAGCTCGCCACCATGCTGCTAGGCCAAACCATTCCTCAGCCAACCAGCTGTGACTTGAATCTTTTTGTAACAAAATTAAAGGTTTCACCATGCTGTACCACATATGCATAACATTTGCTGGCCAGTATCCCTGTGCCACTTCCAATCGCCCCGATACTGCGTCACCATGGCACGGATCGTGTGCTGTTTTCCATCCAGAACAACATCAACTCCATGATAAAGTCTGTTCAATGAATCAGCAACCTTGGTTCAGTATGGGCCCAAATCCAGGAGTTAATTTCATGTTATAAAATCTGATTGGGGGAAAACACATTACATGTAACTTACATTGTATACACATGCAAACACCCAGAGATCCACATGGTGCCACCGAAGGACTGGTTGCAAGAAGGCCTCCAACGTCTCAAACCCCAAGCTTTGCTCCTTGGATGGACAGAGGGCGAGGATTTGGGAGCTGCTAATTGGATCATAGCCACGCATTTTTTTTCAGCCGAGTATCCACCTGAAAAGAGAAGAGGGGGAAGACAGTGTCTTTGGCCGAGGCAGAGTTTTGAAGCACAGCCCCAAGGGCAACTACTACAATTTTCGCCCCTTCTTTGTTGTACTTGCAGTCATCCCCCCAAAGCCATAATGGAATACATCCACTGCCTGGCTTATCAGATGTTCCTGGAAACCCTTTGGAACTCAGATATTGCCAGTACTCTTCAATCTGCATGTCCATCTCAGGGCTTCGAGGTATCAAGTCATGCTTCAAAAGCCACGGGATTAGTTCGTCAGGTGCAACTAGAGGTAGTGTCCTGACAACAGAAGAGAAATCCATTGAGTATTAAAATTAAAGAATAAACCATGGGAGAGAGATACAAATTCCACAAATGTGAACAAACAGATATTGCGGTTCCTTCTGACTTGTACCTTCTTCAGCTTGTGGACTTTCATGGGAACCGACACCATTTGAAGTGGTACCTTGGGCACAAAAAAAAACTTTTAGAATCAGAAGGACGTCGCCAATGCATGAAAACCACCAACATTGTTGCTCACTATGACGCACTAGAAAGTTCAAATACCAAGGTGCGATTTTCCCAACCCTTCGAATCATATCACGTTTGACATTCGCCTTGTGACGGCCAGCGGTTCCTGTTTGCTGCAAAGCTTTGGCAGGTCCAGCCATCTGGACTCCATGAAATTTCAGCTCCTGCCCATAAGCATGATGATAAAGATCAACAAGGTAATTCTCAAATTACAAACTTGGAAGTCAGGCAACAAAAATATAGTTCAATTTGTTTCAAGTCCTTTTCCACCACTGCACATGTATCACGAGCCCTGCTAAAGGAAGATTCCTGATTCACCAGCCACCGCCAACCCAAGGTTGAGTGAAGAATCCAAGAAGCACACAGCGAAAGGAGTGAGGAAGTGCAGGCAAGACTCACCACCCCCTGCAGTCTCCATGACATAGTCGAATAGAGGTGATCTTAAGGGTGCACCAACACCTGCGTGGGTGAACGGGGCAGACCATAAGGATTGACAAGGGGCACAGGGTTTGTAATAGTTTATAGTATATTTTCCTCTGAAAACAAGTATCCAAACCACACAAAATAAGCAAGTGGGATTGTATATAATAAATATTTTCTCAATATGGGAGACATTTTTTGGATGCCTTTACACTATTCTACACTGCTGTAAGGTTGGTTGAGAATATTGAAACAAGTTTCATTTACAAATCGCGCCCCTTAACCCACATTATCCACATCCAGCCTTGGAAAAGACATTGAGTTCTTTTTTTCACCGGCTTCTGCTACTGCAAGACTGCTGGCCCTAGGGAAGGTTACATAGTCTTACCCCAAAGGAACCAAAGAAATAACATTTAAATTACATTACAGGTCTACTTGGAATTGTTTGACTAATCCCTCCTCGCCAGCTTCACACCATAGAGGTGACGTGACCAAAGTTGATCCAGTCGTCGCAAACCAGTCAGAAAAATAAAAATAAATTTCCAAGATATGGGATTGACAGTATAGTATGCTCATGACCACATATTTTCAAGACGATAGGATCACTTCCATCCTTTGCCATCGCGATATTTGCTCTTTGAACTTTGTCCCAACAAAACTTCAGCTGAGAAAAAACCACACCCCACATGAGGTTCCTAAAGTTTACCAGCTGCAAACACCAAGATTTGGCAGACTCATCCTCACTTCTCTGCAGGACCTGCCAGAGATTTCGCCTTGGCCACTTTGGGAGGCGCCTCAGTGGTTGACCAAATCGGTGGCCATCATGCCTGGTAATTTAGACATTACATGTGGGGAAACAAAAAAAACACAATCATTCATGCATATATGCTGTTTAGAAACAATGGCATTCTTCACGAGTTTCATGGAATTGGTCGCCTTGGCTAACACCTGATCAAAAGCATCCATGATCCCACTATATTCACTGAGCTTATCATCAACCACCTTCTCATCCTCAAGGCGGAGAGCATACCAAGACTCCATTCGGGTTCTCAATGTGTCAGTTTCCTTCATCAGGGCCATCAGCTCATCAGTGTAGGCAGTCTTCATGCCATCCGACCTGGAATGTTTCATGTGGAAAAGAGAATGGTTTTTGGAATGACATGTTTGTTTTTTTGGGGGCTTTATTACAGCTGTTGGTCAGAACCCTACTGGTGGACCCCCTCCCCGTCCAGAAAAAAAACATGCATTATTATAAATCGATTTGTTCAACATTATAACATATTATAACGGTTGTTTCTTCTCAAATAGAACCCACAAAATTAATTGAATGAATATGTTGACCAGGAACAACGAAGAGGACTGAAGATTGGTTTGCAAACATCGAATCTCAGTAACTTTCCCGGAAAGCTGGCTGATCTTTGACCCCACTTTTTTGTTGTAGTTGGGCTTGGTCTCCTTTTTTTCAGTACGAGTTTTGGGCTTGGGTTTCGGCTTTGCCTTTGCATCCGGCGCAGGTGGCAAAGCACCTTGGGAGGGGCGCTTCACACCTGCCACAAAGGACCCAGCTCCAGGGTGGGATTGGGCAGCTTGCCTCAGGTTCCAAGCCATGCCCCAAGGTAATAACCCCAATCAAGGGAAAAACCCTGTGGGTGATATATAGTTCTTTTTTGATCAAGTTTAAGGTGGACTTGCTTGCATATAGAGTACAGTGGGTGCATAAAAATGGCCAAAGCTACAATTTTTCGAGTTCGGTGCCTTTTCTTTCCCCACTATAGAGAATCAAACCATGTTGCATGATTTTTTGTGTTAAGGCCCAGGAGACATGGGGGTAATTGTTTCTTTGAAATTACCATGGCAATATTGCTGTTGAAACCAAGCTACAGCAACCCCTTCGAGTGCTCCTCAGACACAGCTCCTTCATGATGAATTCCCCACTCCTGCTGCTGTTCATGGCTTTCCTCCAAGACAAGTGAGTCCCACATTCGCATCAAGTCCCATGCCTGCATGCCAACGGACCCAGAAAATGCTGAAGGATATTTCCCTTTGGGGGGGGCAATATGAATTCGAAGGAAAGCTGCCAAAAAAAAGTGATTTGAGGTCAGTGCACCTACACAAAACAATCCTTTACTAAGTAAAAACAAGATACCTCATCCTGAACCTCCGGGTGTTTGCAATACCAGGGATCTTCATGTTCGGCACGGCTCTCCTCCAACTCAAGCTTGCTCTTTTTGATGCCCTTGGCGATGTGGGACCCATACTTCTCTTCAACATCCTTGTAGGACATGTACACGTACTTGCCACGTTTCTTGTACTTGCTCTTCTCCAAGCTGTTGTAGTGGATGCTGCTCTTCGACCAATCACCTTCAGCTTGGAGCCAATCTTCGTACAAGAGGGCCAAAAGCTTCCGGTCTCAGTTGTTGACATGGAGGCTGAAAATAATACAGCATATCAGCATATCACATGAAAACAAATCCCTCGTATTTTCTTGTAGCATGGGCAAGTTTTGGCTAACACAGCACCAAGGGACTGTGTTTTCTGTTGGCTGCCTTTTCGGCGACAGCTGGCGGAAGGTCTCCTACAAACATACACACACACATCATGGTTGGATCCAACTCTTCCACCAACACAAAGGCAAAACATTTTTTAGCCATGAAGACATTCTTGAAATTAAGAAAAATCATTTGGCCATCAGCCCTGGTCCTTGGAAGCTCCTGTAAAACTTCATGTACGAGTTGTGGAGAAGCCTGGCTTCCCTCTCTTCCCAAGTCTCAAGCTTCTCCTTGTGCTTGTACATCGTCTTCCCATCTATGATCACTTTGATCTTGTCCAGCTCAGCCTGATCCAAGTCCGTCGTGTCTTGTCGTCGGAACTCCCTCTGGATGGCCGAAGCTCGTCTCTCGGCAGGTGTAGCACTGGGAGTGGCAGCCTGCGAAGGTACAAGGGTAGTGCAAGGCGAGGCCGCCTTTGGCATGGAATCACCAGGTTTCTCACCACCACTCTTCCCAGTCTCTGGGTCATTCCAGTCAAGGCCTTTGCAAATTGCAGGGTCGAAGATATTCACCTTCTTCTGGATCACAGGAATGCCCACACCCTTTGGAACGATGATCTGGTGCTTGACTTTTCGATCTCCCTCAGTAGTAGCCGCACCTGACTTCACAGCCTCCGATTGCAGGGGTGTTTCAACAGCAACCGCAGGTGTAGAACCATCAGGCTTCTCAGGAGCAGGTGTAGAACCATCAGGCTTCTCAGGAGGATTTTGCAGAACTGGAGCCCCAGGCGTAGGTGAAGTAGAGGATGTAGTACCCTCAGCAGCAGCCTCAGGCCCCATAGGCTTTTCAGGAAGAAATTCCCTTTGAGGTTGGCTGGCATTGAGAGCAGCCTCTAAGTCAGCATCAAGTTCCCTAAGAAGGTCATCATCATCCAGACAAAGTGTTGGTGCCGTACTTTTCCACTCCCCATAAGCCAAGCGAATGGCTTCCTCAATCTTGTCTTCAAAGACATGGCGAATCTCTGAGTGCTGAGCTTCAAGCTTCTCAACCGCATTCTTGGCCAAGTCCTCCTTTCTCGCAAGCCAACCCTCAAGCACACCACGCTTTTGGGCAATTATGTCTTCCCCCACATCTCGCGGATGACACGAGGTCGCAGAAATCACTTCCTGCAACCGTTGCTCCACTGTGAGCCTGGCAGTAGCAAGGGTCTTCTCATTCTCCATCCTGCAGGCAGCAAGCCGTTGAGTAGACGAGGTCAAGCTTGAGAATTGTGAGAGCAACTCCTCCAGTACCGGGGGAACATCCACATTGGCAGGGGGCGCTTTCTGAAGCGACTTCAGCCACATGATCGCTTCCTCCAAGAGTCTGTGCATGCCACAGGCTTGAGGTTCTGGATTCCATCCCACAGAGAAAAGGTCCTGTAAACAAACCTTCAGGCTTAGAGGAGCAGCACCTGAAGACACCAATGGTCGGTTGATCAGATCCTCTATCGAAGACTGTGATGCACCACGAAGCAGACAGTCATCTTCTCTCGGCTGGGATCCTTTTCATGATGATGGCAAAAGTTCTAAGATCTTGGGGATACAGTTCACATAAATAAGACCATTGAAAATGTCCGACCGTTTATAGAACCAAAATTATCTTCAACCCATGATGAAAAAAAGACAAGCTGATAACACTACCAGGGTTCCAGTCCAATGTTCTTCGAGCTCCCTCTTTGGTGGCGATTCCACTACCTTAGATGTGGGAAAGTATAAGCTAGGGAACGGGAACAAGTTCTAAGTAATTATTATCATAGCTTTTTTTGGGGGGGATTTTATATATTACCTTGTAGGTGGTTCCACAAAGGTAAATGTTTCCCACCCAGCATTTTTGAGACCAGACACATCGAAAACAGGGGGCCTTGGAGTTGGAACTTCACTCTCACAAGCTTCAAACATAGAAGTCAAATCCCGAGGTGTAGGTAGCGGAGTTCCCGGTGATGGAGTATCCCCAAGGACCATAGTTGATTTGGAATCAATACCAACACCATGTTCAGGGACCACCTCGGGGGTTTCCATATTTGTATCCACCTTCAATTTCTTGGCCTCTGGGCTCTTGATTGGTGTCTGCCCTGGGGTGAACCCTGCTGCAGGAATTTGCGAAGACTTCTGTGAAGCCACAGGCAATCGGTCGCCTTGGCAAGGGAAAGGATGGCTGGGAAAAATATTTAATTGTATTGATTATAGTTTTAGTCAGGGGATAACACAAAAGCCAAAAAAGTGAAATAGTTCTTTGTTGTAGGGAAGATCAATGACCAGTTTCAGCTGAAGCTTTCTGAACATCGGCAACCTGCTGTAGGATAGAACGAAGTTCACTGGTCTCATCAAAGTCAGATTTAACCTAATCAAGCCAGGGGTCCCAAAACAAAATGTGAATAATAGTCAAACATCATCATAAATAAGACTGTATCAAAGAAAAATGCCAACTGGGTAAAGTAACTTTCCGGGGTGGCATCCCAGCAGATCTACAAGGATTGGGGTCAAGGCCCAAAGGACACACCTTTTGAGCCAAAAGTCTGGCCCTGGGCCCATTCATTGCGTTGTTTTTTTCAACGATATAAGTGGATCATAATTTTGAGAGAAGGCAAAACATGCCGAGATATTCTCAGCAGGAAATTGCAGTAGATAGTGAAAAGACACGTTCCAGTGTAGAACCGCGCCAAAGTCACAATTTTGCAAAAAAAATGGAAAAATAAATTTAACGGAATTTAACGCCGCGTTTGTCGTATTCACAGTATTTAACGCAATTTAACGCGAATTTAACGCGCCTTTTTTTTGGGGGGGAAGAGGCCCCGTAGACAACGGTCAGAATTTTGCAAAAAAATGGAAAATAAATTTAACGAAATTTAACGCAATTTAACGCCGCGTTTGTCGTATTCACAGTATTTAACGGAATTTAACGCGAATTTAACGCGCATTTTTTGGGGAGGCTCCATGGACAACGGTCTACACCACATTTGGAACCATATGTGGCATATGCGACGGGATGATTTTCTCAAAATTTCAGAAAATAAAGCAACAAAGTCTTTCAAATTCGTTTTTCCGAAGGATCTACTTTGGCCAACAATGACAGCCTGGAGAGCAGCTACCGCGTGGAGGTAGGCTGGCACGAGTGCTACGTGCATTTCTCGCTCATGACATCACTGGTCAAGGCATTGTCATGGCACTGAACCCTGGTACAACAGATGCCTTGTGGATACCTCCCATTGTGGCTGGTAACACGAAGGTGCTCCCTACATCATCATGGGCATCAGTTGGATGATTTCCGACAGGAATATCCCTATGTTGCCCACAGAGCTTCCACAATAAGCTTCTGTGGTGGCCCTCGAAGTACCAACAACATCATTGAAGAGCTGGTTGGACCGTGACGCACTGCGTGCCACAAAGTTCAAACATGTGTAATTTAAATCATTCCCAAAATCTGCATCCCCAAGTAAGACAATTTTGTTTTCAATCGCCAGTGGTCCAAGTTCCGAATTGGAGCATGAAAAGCATGCTACTCACTTGTCGAATTTGACATGTTGTGTGAATTTAAGTCATTGCGCACAGCCCCCTTAGGAGGTGAAGTAGTGAGCTACAAAATTTCGATAAATTTCTTCCCTGGGTTCAATATCAAACAGAATCATAGGGTCTGGGATGAACTTTCCAGCATTGGCGGCTGCCATCAAAACACCCTTCAAAGATCCAAGTTCCGCAAACTTCCAAGCATCGCCAGGATCCTGCATGGCAGCCGAATTGAGGCTTGGGACACCAGGCCAGTATGGGAATCAGAAAGGGTTTGGGGTAATCCACAATGGAATGTTTGCTTATTGAACCACCTATTTTCTATATAAGGAACAGTTTGGCTTCCCCTGCATAGATTCTGTCCTGGAATCCAGCTTTGAACAAAGCTTTCAAGTCACTGGTCTCCCTGTATGCATGCTTAGTATCCATGAATTTTGTGTGAAGTCGCGCCACCCTGTGGCCAAATTGAAACGGGTAGGCACCAGAAGCAGTGAGATCTTTGCCACCACTCCTGAGTTTAGAGATTTTTTGAGAGGGACATATTCAGAACATATGGAGAACATATGGAAAATATGTTGTTGGTTATGGTCATTACTATCCCCATATTATATACTTTTCAGGGTTCCATGTGTGAAAAAAACATGGAAAAAATACCCTTTTATAGCAGTCATTTGAAAAGCAAAATCAGATTCCAGACCAAGTAGCACAGTAACAGTACCTTTCTTAGTGTGGCCAACTTTCACAATTTGTTTGTTCAAATCGGCCTTCCGCTTGTTAATGGCAGCCCTCCCAGTCTTTGACAATGGTATCGGTAAGTGGCCCAGCCAAGGCCTAAGTTTGAAAAAATAGGCCCCCATGATCATAACCAACAATTAACCCCAGCCCTGCAATCCAGCAGTGATACAAACATTGTTTTAACTAAAGGATCAAACATGTGATTAAGTTCCTGACACATTTCCCAGGCCAAGTTGGGGCTTCAATGACCATCCTCCCATCATCCCCATCCACCATCGAACCATGCGTGGTCTTAGAGCTGGTTGGAGTAGCAGTTTTATAGGTGGGAGAAACAGCAAAGCCGTCTTTCCAGGCTGCTCTAGCATCCAGCTGCAGCCTCTCACAACTGCGAGGCATACCAGAACCGCAAAACGGGTTGCGCAAACATTCCCAACCCAAACGAATGGGAACTTGAGGTTTCCCCAGGGTTCCATTGCACTCCTCTCATGGGTGGGGCTTGAAAGGAAGCCAAAGGATGCGCAGGGCAATCCTCCATAAAGTAGCCCATCAAGAGTCAATCGCAGGACCAGTTCGATGGATTTCATGAACCCCACATCGCTAGTGAAGTCACCAAAAACTGGATCGTGGGATAGGTCAAACCCTTGCCTCAGATCCAGACCCATGAAGCTGACAGTTTTCCAAGAGTGTCCCAGTGTCCCAGTTGTACAATATTGAAATTAATTATATGATTTGAATACTAGGGGTCAAAAATGTTCCTATCGATATCATTTTGGAACAACTTTAAGAAAAAGTAGGTGTTAATTTCCAGGAGAAAAACATACTTGGTTTGCATTCTAAGCTGCAGGTAGCAAGGGAAGGGTGTTTGGAGCCCCGGGTAACAATCCCACATCAATTTTTAAGTTTCGAGAAATTACCCAAACCTTCACAGTAATTATATGTTCAAGCATCTATGGATGAACCTTGTTAGTAGGATCCTTTTGAGGCCCACAGCCCTATGTTCCATTGAACTGCAAACAATCAAATTGTTTCGTTTTTGGATCATCACCCATGAACTATTTGATGCAGTAGAGAAAATCTACAAACACCGTTCTCAGAATTCCCAGGCCAATATGTGTATTTCCCCTTTTTTTTGAACTGTTTATAACAACCACTCGTGCCACTTTCCATGTGGGAACCATGATCAAGTATGAGTTAAGTTATATTGTATAAATGGTTGGTGCATTACCCTTACAACATCTGGGCATATTTTTGGGTGAAGAACCATGGCTTTGTTCCCAATACTTGTGCATACATGGCTTGAAGGTATTATGGTTATAAGTTATAAGTTATAAAGTACGCTTATTGTTTCTTCTGGGCTTCCAGCCCATCCCCCTCAAGTAGCTTCCCAAGATACGAAAGGCGTTGGCGACACCGAAAGCCTTTCACCACCGTAGATCTTCCAGAAAAGATTTCCACAGCTGATAACTCCTGGAATCCACAGTTCAGGCAGCTGGTTTTTATGCGTTATTAAGTAAAACTGCAAAATATATCCAAACCATGGGACAACCAACACCATAGGATCAATATATTTATCAATGATATCAAATCTACATTATATATCCTTTATAATCACAGTGGAACTTAGATTGGGACCATGGGTGCCAGGTGGTTTTGAGCACAATACTATCATATCTCATGAATATAGTATTTATTGTATCGTATCATGGGCATTTGCAACAAAAGAAACTCGATCAGACCAGAGATACCACTTAGGCTCAATGTGAGAAGGACAAAGACTCAATAAGAAGCTGGTCTAGCTAGGTCATAGTTTTCGCATTTGCTATCACAGAAGCAAGATGCATTGCTCAGTCAACTTGCCCATCCAGGCCCTTGCCAGTCCCGCTGTCGCAATGAAGACGCCGCTGCAAAATCAAAGGCATGGATCCTCAGACTGTGAAGAAGCAGGGCAGTGAAGGACATGCCAGTGGAACTTCATGAAGCCAAACATGGGTACAAGAGACTTAGAGGCCATGAGTGCATGTAGACCACATTTGAAAAAAATATGTTTGGTGCATTCAAGCATCAGTAAGGGTGGTATGCCTAAGCAGAGTAGTAAGGCCACTTGCTTCCGACTCAAGCAAAGACTAGCACAGTGAGCCGCCATTGCCAAGAACCCATCCCAAACTGTTGGAGCCCAAGCCATCAAAATATGCATTCAAGATATGCACATGTGTATGCCCCAATGGAAACTTCATCGATACCAGGTTTGTATGATTTGTTTGGCTTCCAATGACATTTTATAGTTGGACACTTTTAATCCCAGCCAAACCCCGACCATGCATCAAACGGCAAGGGGGTTGATTGCACCTCTAACATAGGCAGGGGCCTTGTCCTTGTTCTGGCGATCCATGGCACCTGACGCAGGGGAGAGATATTTCGGTACCACTGACCCTTGATGGTGTCCCTAAAGTTTCATACACCATGATTTTTCCCAAAAATAAAGTCATCATAATTTCCAAGAAGATTAAATACAGTAACCAGTTTTGACCATCACGACCCCACCACCAGGTGACAGAATTAGATCCATTTTTGCCCGGCGCACGCAGCCCATACACGTAGCTGCAGAGTTAATGTGTGTCATCGCACACCAAGCACTACATCCCCACACTTCCCTTGGAAGCACACATAGATTTGGAAATCCCACAGAGGCCAATATGCGACAACCTTCTGGTTGCTAGACCCCCCGAGGAAAATCAAAACGAAGCCTACAGGCTAGCACCTGCTTCTTTGTAAGCAGATACCTTGAAACATGTTCATTCAAACACAAACTCCCCCATCTTCTCTTCAGGCACCCAGCCAGCAACGATCTTTGCGATGCCCCACCTTAAGACCATGCAAACACTGAAACCAATATTCCAGATACAAATGGCAACAAATTCACAGGCAGCAACACTGTGGACATGTATGCTGGACATTTATGCAAGAACATGACAAACAGAATCAGCTGAGACACGCTTGTTTGACATCCTTGAACCTTGTCCACCCCAAGCTGCAACCTCCCCCACCATCGTTTTTCACTTCTCCTGTGACCCCTTTCTGAGTGAGGATTGCCTGGAGTCCTTCTGGAACCTTTGCCTTGTACACGTAAAACGAAGAACGGAAAAGAATAACACCTATGCTGCTCTTCTTGCCACCCCCATCTCGATTCTTCTTGTCAGCCTCTTCTCCAAAGGGGCGCACAGTAAAACTCTTCAGTGTTGGATTGGCCTCAAGGGTGGGAAAAGTATGCACATCAGCCCCAAACTCCAGAACGCCCTTTAACAGGTCATGGTTGGCCTTGACCTTTGCTGCCAAGGCCTCTTCCTTCTCAACATCCTTAACCTTGCCATCCTGGCCACAGCCCTCAGCCTTGCTAGCACCTGCAGGCACCCCCGCAGCAACTGCTTCCCTCCTCCTTTTCACCATCGTTTTTTGGCGTGGGGTGGCCGGGATTGGACATGGCCTCTTTGGTGTTTTCGGGGTAGGAGAGCAGGCCTCCCCACCATCCTGTGCATCCCGGGGCTCTTCATTTACTTTCGAACCTTTTCCCTTCTTCGTCTTTGCCTGTCGTGCAAGTGCCTTTTGTTCTTTCTCTGCCTCTTTGGCTTTCTTCTTCTCTTCTCGCTCTTTCTTTTTTTCTTCCATTTGCATCGCCTTTTCCTGCTTCACCCTCTCTCTTTCATCTCTCTTCGCCTGTGCCGCCTGCACCTTTTCCATTTCAGCTTGTGCAGCCTCCTGCAACAAACAACATTAATCATTTTGGTAAATCCATCAGGCATGACTGTTCCAAAAACATGGCAGACAAATGTGCAAGAAACGTAATCCCAGCAAATTGAACAACACACTAAATCAGACCTTCTTTTGTTGTTTCTTTGCCTTCCTCTGATCATCTCCCAAGTCCCCAAAACTGTGAGGATTCACAGGCATCGGTGTCTTTGCAGGCTGAGGTGGCTCAGGAATCAGAGGGCCACGGTCCTGCCAACAGTTTTTTCAGTCATGGATTAAAGTCATGAAACGAACACATCTAAAGGATTGCTGTACTATCAAGCTAGTGCAAATGATCCCTCTTACTAGTCCTGCTTCTTGGTATGACCACTCTCCGGGATGATTTGGGTGGCCAGAAAGTATTCTGCCAACTTTCTATTGTGCTCCCAAGGACAGGCCTGGAAGAGGCACCATACACCATTTTCTAGCTGAGGAAAGAAACCATGCACACACTTGCCACACAGCAACATGATGCAACATAAGAGAAACACATTTCCTAGCCTCCTTTCGATGTTTCAAATAGAAACCGTGGAAGTCGGCAAACATTGCCATTGGGTTGCTGATGACCACTGACTCCGCGTCCTTTACCGACAGTCCTAACTTTGTTTGGCACCATTTGTCCAGCAGCATGTGGAACTCATCCTTGACAGCTACCAGTTTCTCCTCCAAGATCACCTCCAAGTTGGCTGGCATTTGGGTAGTGACAACGGCCCTACATGTGTTTCATCATAAACAACGCATATGCAAATACATGTAAAGTTCATGTTGTGAAAAGTTGGTAAGGAGCCTCCGGGGATAGGTCACCCCGCTTCTCATGCCCTTTCTTGCTTGGCTCAACTTCCTGGCATGATATAGTTAGCTAATGCATTATCTTTCCGTTTGAGAAATAATCACATACACATGCACATCAACAAAACTCCTTAGAGGTCGTTGGTTGGCCATCCACAGGCATTACTTCTTCCATCTTTTCATCCTCCATGGGCAAAGGTTTAAGAAAATGATATGTGCTGTATTTCTTTGGGAAAACACAAGTGAACCCCGAACACATCTCCTTCGTACTCTCCGGCACCTTGACCCCTTTGTCTTCCTGGCAACGCCATGGGCCAATCCCGTATATGAAAACACAGGGCACACACCACCTATGCATGTATTTAACCTAAAACATAAAGCATACATACCTGCATCCTGATGCTGTGCACCCTTCTAACACCATGCCTCATCATCTGAATCAAAGGGTGGGCACTGGGGACTCTTGTACGGAGTTTTCTCCAGTGGGTCCTGCATAACGCAATGAGAAATATCTTAGTTCATCTAGATTTGTGGCATATGTTATATGTTGTTGATTTGCATGCGCACAGCTATAGAAAATTGCATTCTATCCTGATTCTCCACATCAGCAATCGCCAGAGAGTCTGACGATGGCCCACTACCCAGTGAACCTTCAGGAGCACCAGTACCATCCAAGGAACATACAAAGCCGCGGTGGGAGGCCACAATTTGTTTCAGGACCCTGACTCGAGGTTGCCTGACCAGACAGGCATTGTCAGAGGACATGACCCCAAAAAAAGTCCAAAACATAAGAAGACCATGTGATGATGGACAAAGGTGAACCATAGAAACAAGGAACCAACACATGTAGGAATGCCCATGTAAAAATCGGGCCTTGCATTCACAGTTCGGTATGTCAAATTGATGACATGCTGCGCAATCAATTTGAGCTTTCCACCCTCAGTCTCACTCCACTCCTGGACCACTGTGGACAAACCATACCCCAACCCATCTGTAAGAAGCATAGGGGACATTACAATTCCCACACCTTGTGCATCACCTACCACACCCAGTGTAGACATGTGATGGCAGTTGCTTTTTTATTCGAATCCCTCCTTGACCTTTCCGCGACCTCCTCTGCGATGATAGAGGTCCTCCCCGAACAAGTTCAGTGTCACAGCGACGTAGGCAAATGCTGCCTTCAACCAGGCCCACCCACCACAGGGGGACAAAAAAACAGTATTGCAGTTATTAGACATATCAAATCCAAATTTCCAAGCCTGGTGATCCTGGGCACTAGGAAGCCTTTCCCCTGCAAACGCTATCAAGTAGGGTTTGAGGATGTCATAGTGGCTGACCAGATCATCTTCATGGACCTTGCTGTGAAATCAAAAAATATGAGTAAGAAATGTGGGAAAGAAAAACATGTCTCATGTGATCATATTATATCATACTCAAAGCAAGCAACGACCAGTTGTTTGCCTGATTTGTCCCACTGTATGAACTTTTTATCCTTGGCTGAGAAAGCTGAGCCATCTTGCCATAGTACCAGGACGCATGCATGAAACAGACAAACATCGTTTGATTTGGGTTCATGTTCAAGGCTCGGGGTCTGTCATGATATTTGGAATCATATCCTTGTAGACCTCTGTCACAACCTTGTGGATGTTCTGGGCCTGATCCTGGGATATAAGGCAAAAAAAATGTCCATGGATCATGTGAAGTCAAACAAACGATAACAAACGTATCCACAATCTTGTTCAAGCAATTATTATTGATAATGATTTCCCTTCCCACACCAGTCCGACAAGTGGATGGTCATAGGGTGAAATATGTGCTTCACCGTCATGGCTGAACCAGATGGGTCGCCCAGGTTTCACTACTTGGGCAATCAGAGCTGCGCTTGACGGCAAAAGCTGATGAAAATTCATGGAAAAAATGGCTGGGGCGAGAGGGATTGTCACCCCAAAGTGATTCTTATTCCTAGTGTTGCCACTGTTGCCAACGTGGAACCATCACCCACCACCAGCAGCCACTTGCAATCTGGTCAGAGGGAGGGCGCACCTTTAATCAGGGATGCAAGCATCGGCATGGCCCAGTGGAGTTACCCCAGCGGCCCTTTGGATAGGTAAATATTGGTGATCAATCATGAGAACAATGATTGAAATAGCAAATTCCAAGAAAATATGACTGGTTCATTATTATATGTTCACTTTGTAAGTTAATTTCGATTGGATAATCCATCAATGGTGTGGTCTTTCACCAATGACCAAAACATAATTGAGCCTTGGCAGCAAGGATGGGCACATAGGTGAGCTTAGATGTTGTATTCACATACTTTATCACAAAGTATGTAAATAGCAACATTTCCCCCAAAACACGTGAATGGCAGGGTATTAAGAAAGCATGTGAATAGCACAGCTTTGGAGTCTTAGGGTATATACATTATTATATAAATATCAATAAATACTGAACACAAAACAACATAAACGTTGCATGAACATGACCAATTGTGCAGGTCCCAGGCCACTCATTTCACTCGCCATCTCCTCGGCCACCAGGCATCACCAGGCTCCCGCACCAGTCGCGAAGCTGTCGTGAGCCACTTGGTTCTCGGGCTTGCTCCACTTCCCACCAGCGAGGGGAGTAGCCTTCGCGACAGACGACTTTGGTCCAGGGAATTCACGGTGGGCCAATGACATACCCTCTGGTAAACTAACATAACTATGGAAAATCACCATTTTTAATGGGAAAATCCACTATAAATGGCCATTTTCAATAGCTATGTTAAATTACCAGAGGGTAAACCTACGGGGATGGGGATGGTTTGATCAAAGTTTATGCCAGCCATTTTTGGCGATGGGGATGACCACATCCAAGGTCCAGCTGAAACGAATTTCGTCCCCTTTGATCTTTTCAAAAACACCCTGGGAATCTGCAGTTCGCGGAAAGGTTGACCATTCTTTTCCATCCCAAATTGGGCCAGAAAATTCACCGCCATAAATCCAGCCATCACAAAAATCCTCCAGGGCACGCGGCGTCACGTCCAGATATCCTTTGTCTCCGGCGGCACAAATCCAGACCATGGGGGTGCCACGGTGCAGCCAGCCCGTCTCTGGGAAGGGGATGATCTCCCCAAAAGCCTGACCAAGGGGATGTGGAAATTAGCATGGAAATGGTGGATTCAAAATGATGATATATATATATATATAACATCGATAATAAATGATAACTACCAATATGGGGAAGACCATTTCGGGAAATCATAAAAATATCCCATCCAAACACCATATATCCCATATGGAGGTTTCCTAAAATAGGGGTACATCAAGACTAGACCATCCAAGTCATTAGACCACGTTTAGTACTGAAACCTATGGTGATTTGGGGATCCGCCATTTTAAGAAACCCTCATATAGATCATATTAGATGCTTTAAAAGGGTCGATCATCATACCACATGATTCTCGTTTAACAAACCACACACATCCCATATAAATAAAAAAAGAAACGTTCATTTTCCGGCCGCTGACAGCCAAGCCGCCACATCCACCGCCACCCAAATGTTGTTTTCGGCGTCAAAGATTTCTGCCCACGTTGTGACCTGGTGAAACATGTTGGGAGAGCTGGGGGGGCAACAAGAGCAGAAGGATTCATCCCATTCTACTCACCTCCAGTAAGCATCGTAAGCATGTCAAACCTAAGGGAAACAGCTACATCAAGTTGGCCCACCAGTGGCGCTTGGGTATTCCAAATTGGGTCAAGGTGCTTACCAGCGTTGCAAGTTGCAAGGTGTTCAACCTCATACTCTATCTTTCTAAGCATCCCCTATTCCTATTAGTGAACACTTGGTCAACACTCATTGCATCTAAACCAAATAGAAGTCAAGTGGCATATGTTGAGGATGTCAGGATGTCAAGTCGTTGTGTTTGCCCTATCTGTCATATGCGCTAGGAGCATATATTCAATGTTTACATTTAGCCCAAACATGATCCAAATGTAACTATAGATGCCATACCCCTAGATGATCTGGAAATCACAAGGGCCTACTGTAGCAGTTGATAGTTTTTCTCCACTCCTTTACCATCCGGTAATTTAACATAGCTATGGAAAACATTATGATTTTCCACAGCTATGTTGAATTACCAAAGCGACACTTTCTGATCATTAGTCGTGGAGCTACTGTTCTGCTGTGGTCGCTATCAAGATGTTGCAATCAGTGGATCGAGATCTCAAAATCAAATTGATCTCCCAAATCTTTGTTGGCTGATACACAATCCCCCAACAATACATCCTTGGCGAGAGTCATTGCCAAAATCTGATCATCTCCTTCTGGATAAACTATACACTTCACTAACCTGAAAGGACTTCGTCCATTTGGGGGATAGCTACCCCCAAAAAAATCATTCCAGGGTGTTTTGATTGATTCAATGATCAACTATCAAATGGTTGGGAAACTCAACTATAGTTGATCATTATTGAATCAATCAACTATCAACTATCAACCATAGTAGTTCCTTGGGCCCGCCACTTAATATATCTGATGATCTATGGATCCGCTATCGATTCTCCGCTGCCATGGCGCCAAGAAGTCCTCGTCCTCCTCCGGTCCGGCATCTGCAGCACCTATATGGGATGGGTTGGAAGACAAGGAGAAAGGAGCGGAGCTGGCATAAAATGAACATCTTGCAAGCCTCACCTGGCAGGTGGGAAAGTATTATCATTAAAATCCCCCCCCCAAAAAAAACAACATATATATATATATATACACATATATAATTACATACATACATATAATATACACACATGTTTTTTCCGATGTGACTATTCTGGTGAATCTCACCTGACTGAATCATCATAATTCATCACCGAGGCCCAGGCCTGAGGCACCACCCTCGCGCATCCTCTGTCCTGGACGTGGCTACGGCATGGCTCACCAAAAGAGATATGATGCACTAGGACTGTATTAGATTATAGTAGTACTGTAACAAAAGGTTGCTTCAATTTCAGCAAGTCCAAAAAGCGAAGCCTCGCCGTATCATCAAGGTGTACAAGTCGAGGGGTTCATACTTGCGTCATGACCAAGGCAACTACTGGTACATCAACGATTAAAACAACATATGAAAGCGAAATGCACAGTTGTATCACCACATCGATAATGCAATTTCCACACCTGCACTAGACTCCCTAAAACAAAGTAGTACAAAGTGCACCCAGGTGATCAACTTGATGCTTCCCCAATCTCCCCAAGTCTGAGGTCAGTAAAATGGCTTTGTCTGAGTATAAGCTAACAAAACCCATCACATGTCATGGCTTATCATGGTTCCAACACAAAAAATGCAATTTTCTATAATTTTCTTATAGGGCAAAATCACCCATCAGACCCAAAGTTTCTCCCACTGGCCATATCCAAGCATCCACAGCTGCCACAAAAGGCGCCCTTTTGAAAGGCCTGGCCGCACCATTCGCAGCTCACCATGTTACCCGTCTTCGAAGGACGCGGCGGCGCGGGCGAAGAGGCGGACTCCGCGGACTCCCCGGCGGCCAGGAGCAATTCCAAGGCCTTGTTGAAGGGCTCCGAATCCGTCTGGACCTGGTGCAGAGTGGGAGTTCACACCGGATGTGTTGTGGGATGTTTTTTTTTTAATCATGAAAAAGAGGGCTGAAGTTGAATTGACAAAGAAGTTCACAAGAAAATTGAGACAATCGACAAGAGATGGATCTGAAGATTCCATATGTGGTTCCAAACATGTATGAGCAGGCTAGCGGTCAAGTCATTGGAATGTCATGTTCAATTAGTCGGTCAAATTTGGCCTGAAATGCTGACCCATGCACATAAATGAACAAGCGAACACAAATGAATGGATTGATACGAAAATCTACAGGAAAGAAGTCGTTCTTAACCCCAGATGTAGGTATTTGTGTGTAGATTTTCCCGTAACACCCTTAAACCAATAAACCAATTCTGGGAAAATACTGGGCTAAATCTACGGAACATCTGGAACAAAATCTGGGGCTACAAACACAATAGGGACTTTCGCAGCCAAGGAAAAAACGATTGGAGGTTCACCTTTTTATAAAACTTGTGGCATTCTGAACGGTAGATTTCAAATATGTATGCCCTACATTGCCCTACCATTGGTAAAACCAACTATACATGTTGTAGTTTAGTAACTTGCTACTTAAAGCACTCACAACTGGGGTATAGTGGGTTACAGTATTAGCCAGTTGCTAGCTAATGATTTGACAATATACCAAGTTTGGCATTTCCTTTATTATTTGCAGTATTACATCCTGGGAAAAATGGGAGTATAAACCAGGTGCCAATTGAGGCATGAAAAGTACCCCTATCCCATCCAATGATATACATACTGGTTGATTGTATAATAGGTATATACCCCAAGTTTGGTTTACAAACATCCCATTTATAAACCAGGTATCTAGAACCCCCCAAGCAATAACCCAATCAACAATGGTTGGTTCTCCAAAAAACTACCCCGCCCCATTCCAAAAAAAACACTATCACTATCGCTTATATGTTATCGAATCAAGTGGTGCGTATAATTATCCTCAGATTGGTGGTTTCCTTAAACGGGGGTACCCCAATAGCTGGATGGTTTATGATGGACAATCCCATAGAGAATCCATCTATTAATGGATGATTATGGGTATTACCCTCTGGTAAACTAATAGTTTGCTATTGAAAATTGCCATTTATAGTGAGTTGTCCCATCAAAAATGGTGAGTTTCCATAGTTTTTTGTACGGTAACTACATTATACGGACTTTTAAATATACGAACAGGTATTTTAGACTACCTCCGGAAGGTTTTCCTTGTCCCGCCCGGCCATTTAAACATAAGGAATCCCATTCATTTATACATACGGTAACTACATTTAAATATACGAACTGGTATTTCATACTACCTCCGGGGCCTCGCGGTCTGGCCCGCCCTCCACATATTTAAATGTCGTTACCGTATGTTTATCAGAGGGTATACCCAAATGTGTATGTTCCGATTCCACCATATTGTTGATACCTATCACCAGCCAGGCCAACAAAAGCACCTCAAGCATGGTTTGAACCACCTGCGGCAGCGCTGGTGGATGGTTGCTGCCCCAATTATGGGAATGATAGGTTTTGACCCATCCTCACATAAAGGAGTTCAACTTCAAACTTGCAGTGATGAGTCTAAATGAAAATAATGTACACCTTCAAAAATATATCCACCAGTTTACCTTCAAAAAAACAGGATCAACAGGATCAAACATGTTTCAAGTCGGGAGTTGACCTTTAAAAACCCTCACCATGCTGAGTTTTCCTTCAACGAATAGGGGATTCATGTTCGGAGCCCAGCTCACCTTGTCACGTTCAAAGCCCATGCCGATCAACTGCTTGGCATGATCCAAGATGTCTCCTGCCCAGGATGTTTGTAAAGATCGGCAACAATTGCGCTGACCTTACTCCTTACATGAAGCAAATATAGCCATGAGACACATATGTATATATATACACATATTTATATGTAATGTATAATTATGTGTCTATATATATATATAGAAATTATACAGAATATGTTTTTGTTTTAAGCATTGATTCAGGGAACATCAACAAAAAAAATATAGATTTGGGTATCTACTAATATCCAATATCGGGTTTCCTGCCATTTTGTCCCTCTAATCACCGCAACCATTGGGACTCCAGCAAGACTTAGCCACTGGTTTCCCTCCCTTAGCGTAACCATCATGAACGGTCAATAATTCACAAACCAAGGAAGAAGCGCATGTTCACTAAAAAAGAACCAGTTTATGGATTTTTTACGGTAAACATATGGGGAGAAACATGTCCAATCGATACTCCCCAGAATAGACATGTTTCTTGATAATTATATTTTGGTATATTTTGATCATCTTATTCCTACGACATTCCCAATCATCAATCCGCTGTTTTTCGGCCGAGCCTTCTAGCACATCTTCCAACTCCTCTTCCAGGTCTTCATCGTCTACTTCAATGGGATCGTCCTGGCGGTGAGGATCGGGCCTATGATCGGGCCTCATCACGATGACACTCCTTCCTCTCCTCTGCATCTGCATCTGCATCTGCATCTGCATCATCATCATCATCATCATCATCATCCTCATCCTCCTCATCATCATCATCATCACCATCACCATCACCATCTCCATCTCCGTCTCCTCTCCACCATCATCACCATCCACATCATCACAACATAAACATCACCACCAGCAGATACCAGCAGTGCCATCACAGTCACCCCAAAGGTCCTTGAGCAGAAAGGCCTGCAAAGCATCCGAAATGGGTCCCGGAGTGGCTGCCGATTTCTTGGGAGAGAAAAAGTGACCTCGCTCGCATCCATGCGTGGCTGCTGCGAGCCATGCGAAGGAGTCTGAAAGGATCCATTCCCAAGTTACCCCAATCCTTAAAAGTTGGGTAAAATTGGACAAAATTCAGCATTCATCTCTGCACCATCCGCGGAGATCGATTGAACGATGATACATCTTGTGCATTGCGTGGTGACCTTTCTGAAACTGCCAAATGAGATGGTGATGGTGATGATGATGATGATGATGATGATGAGCCTCTCAACACTGGCTGGTTAGGCTGAACAAATCCTGCAAACACACATCCTTTGATTCGTGTATTCATTCCATACCCTTCAGTTACTACATCAAGTAAACGATAACACAAGGATAACAAAACGATAGCAAGCCTGGTTTCCCAAGGAACATCATTTCAAATGGTGGTGACCGGCTATTTTCCACATCTTTCCATGTCACCCCATCTCAGCCGGGTGTTTTCGTGTAGCCCAGCAACCCAGGCGTCGTTGCGGCTCGTGTAAGTCAAAGGCCACAACCAGGCGGGAAGGCCTTGGCGTTTTCACGGCTGGTAGAACTACCAAAAGTTGCCTTGACAAATAGCAATCCTCAAGTGAGTCTTAGAGGAAAGTGATCCTGAAAAACACTCATTCGAATCATCAATCATCATCATCATCATCATCATCATCATCATCATCATCAAGTCAGCAAATCTGGCTCTTTTGGTATCCAGCCATCCATGTTGGGTGTCAAATTCAGCCGCGATCCTCCGAGCGACCAGTCGAGAGCGCGGCATAAAGCCACGAAGCACACGGCTAGGTCCAATGGCCTGCAGGGCGCGTGAGATGGGTGAGACGGCTGGATGTCACCGAGTCTTCATCAGCTAACCCATACATACGTATGATGATGCTATCATAGATATATATATATATATAATTGTGGTAATTAAATATTATGGTAATATATATATATATATATGTAGACATAACATTACTCTTAAACATATATAAGATTACCTAACATCGCCTAACATTACCTAACATTACCTAACATCACCTAACAATTACGTTTGACATAACATTATTTAATATTATTTCATCTAATTTCATACAAATGTTATGGGACGTACTGGTGATGATTGTGACAATCCAGTCAAATCAGCCATGGGTGAATACACTGACTGGGTCTAACTGGGACCATTGTGGGGGGATTCTGACTGTGCAGTTTGGATTAACATGGCTGATTGTTATGTGATTTATACAGGTTCACGTGACACATACTTTGCATTTCCATGATTTCCTCGATACAGGGTTTGTTCAAAATCAATTCCCTCTTGTGTCAGAACCTCGCAGAAACCCCCTGTGGCCCATGCCAGTGTTCTTTGGAAATGTCATCATTAAAAACTTGTATTTCCTCTATATACATATCTCCCCTAGTATCCATGTCGTTTAAAAAAACATATCTCGGCTAGTATCCATGTCGTATTTTTTAAAAAAAAACGCCAAACAACTAGGGAACGGACATGATGGTGTCAATACAAGTTTACTTGTTTTTATATGCAATGATGGGCCACTATGGGCCACTTACATGGATGGTGTAGCAACGGATAGTAAAGCCCCTAAGCCGGGGTGTCGAAGCACCCGTACAAGATATCAACGGGGTTGCAATCTCAGCAACCTCCGAGGCAACCCTGAAGGAATTTGTCGGCAATTCGAAGCAAATCCTGAAACTGTTGGATGCCAGAATCATCCAACTGGTCACTTGGTCTATTGGTCAATGTTGAATGTGAAGATCCCTCATATACGCCTGGTCTTGGGTACCTCCAGTTTGTCCCCCATCAGAATGGGAAAACAAATGTCAAACATTATCCCAAAAATCCCTAAACAAAACTTATTTGGTTGTTCTCCAGAATTTGATTTTTTTTCCCATGTGTTGCCCATGTTTTCACAGCAACCTTTGCGACCAGGCCCATGCCTTCCCTGCTTGCGGCGTGCACAGCGGCAGGCCCGCAGCAAGATGGAGAGTTTCTTATCATCATCACGGAGCGGTGCCTGCGACGCAACTCAGGACTCAGCTCCGTCGTGCTTTGACAAGACTGGACTGGACATGTTTTTTGGTCAAATGTTAGTAGCTATATATAGCTATTACATGGAGTATCTGGATAGTTAGCAGCAACTCACAGATTTCGTCCTTTTTGGAGGGAATAGTAGTGACAGTAGTGTGAAACTTTGATGAGTTTTTTTTTTTCAGGCGGTGGACATTCTTAACCCTTTTGTGATTCATGACGGTTTCAACCCATCACAGAACAGTTTTTAGTGGGATTTTGCCAATCTCATGGCATGCAGTCACAGGACAATAATTATACAGTTGAAATCAATTGAACGATTCACCATGGGTTTTCCTGGATCCCATACTCCAAAGAGTCATCACTGCTCGAGTGTTGGATCAATATCTCACTTTTGCATTCACTTTCTCAGGCGGGGGTTTGACACATACCATGATGTCAACATCTCAAGGATCAGGATCGAATTTGGGCCAACTTTGGGATAGAACTGCTAGTCGTTGTGGACAATCACCAATTTTCAGATGCACAATGAAGATTTGACTGACAGAAATGGGAATTGGGGTACATACATAGATACATAATGGATAACCATGGCGATATCATGGTGTATATGTAAGAGTATATCATTTGTACAACCAACAATGTATCTATCTATATATATAGATAGATACAGTGTTGTTTGTACTATATATATATGATGTTGATAGACATAGTCAGTCACCCATGAAAACAAGTGGATATTTTATAACCAATAAAAAATGTTGATACTCTCCAGCAATCAAACATACTAGTAGCAATTGGAAACCCACCATTTATAGATGTGTTTTACCATTAAAACCACCATTGATAGAAAATTTCCCAGCCAGCCACGTTTGATTGCCAGAGGGTCTTTGTGTTTTTTTTATCAGTGTTCCAGCGTGCGTTTCGGACGTGGTCATCGGCCTTGTGGTTCAACTGATCGCGGAAACTCTGGAACAACTCGTCTGCAGTCTGTGGATCGCGGGGCGAACCCCACGAAGACAAACACACCTCAGACGTTTTGTCGATGGAAACTGTTCCAGTCCATGCACATCTTAATCGCGCAGTGACAACAACATCTGATAAACCGTGAAAGCATGATAAATCCTTCAAAAATCATGGACGCTCCATCATGCATGTTTGTATTCAAAACATGTCAAGACCATTGAAGTGTTCCTGTGTTCCCCAGGTAGGACCCCCAAACGATATAATTCAAACCTCACTAGGTTTTACTTGGTCGTTGTGGTAATGAAAACAATAAGAAACTATAAGGTTTATCGAAGGAAGTTTAGAAGTCAAATTTCCGACAATATGGGCAGATGAAAAGCAGAGGTGGAGCAGAAGAATCGAGAAGAGAAGAGCAGAAGAGAGAAGAGGAGAAGAGAGAAGAGCAGAAGAGAGATGATCAGAGAAGAGAAAGTCTCAGAAGAAAAGATCCAGGTGCGCGAAAAGGTAGGAAAGTCGCGAAACACTGTGTTTTTCCAATGATTTGTGGCTCCGGAGGTAGGCTCGCTAAAGCGGCGGGTGCGGAGCCCGCTGGCCAGATGAGAGATGAAAAATTGCGGTGCGAAGCACATTTCCAAGTCAAAATGCACAAATTCACACCAGGTTCGGACCACTGTTGGAAGTTGCGATGTCGAAAAAGTGCACGCTGTTGTGGCGCGAAGCACATTTCCAAAAGTCCAGATGCACAAAGCACACCAGGTTCTAGGGCACCACCACCACCACCACCACGACAACTACAACTACAGCTACACTACATCACACGATGCACTAATTAAACTGCAGTACATTACAGCTACACATGCAAATACAACTAGAACTACACTACATTACACAACACTACACTACACTAATTACATTACATTGCACCACAACTGCAACTACCACTACATTGCACTGCACGGCAATACACTGCAACAACAACTACACTACCAGTACATTAGACTACAACACACTAGACCACACTACACTATACCACGCTACAGTACACAACGCTACAGCACACTACTATACACTACACTAATAGCACCACACGACAACTACAACTGCAACTGCAACTACACTACACTAATTACACTACATTACAACGACAACTTACAACTACAACTCCACTACGCTACTACAACTACACCAACAACTACAACTACATATACTGCGCTACAACATTACTACAGTTACTACAACTAAGACAATTACAACTTCAACTACACTTCTACTACACTACAACTACAACCACAACTACAACATTACAACATTACAACATTACAACATCACAACATCAACAACATCAACAACATCAACAACATCAACAACTTCAACAACTTCAACAACTTCAACAACTTCAACAACTTCAACAACTTCAACAACTTCAACAACTTCAACAACTTCAACAACTTCAACAACTTCAACAACTTCAACAACTTCAACAACGACAACAACGACAACAACAACAACAACAACAACGACGACAACGACAACGACGACAACAACAACAACAACAACAACAACAACAACAACAACAACAACAACAACACTACAACTACAACTAAAACTACAACAACAACAACACCAACAACACTACAACTACAACAACAACTACAACTACTGCGCTACACCGCACTACATCCAGGAGTTGTGAGTGAGGTGGCCGCTGCAACCATTGCAACCACTCCAAAAAGCACAGCTCCAACCACCTTTCGGTCCATCAGTGGCTTCGCTCTGCCATTCGTGACTCACAACAACCAACCCTTCCTATAGGTTTCCTATTGTTGAAACTTCCGCCACCGCCTTGTGCGTTAGTACTGGTAAATGGATGATCATTTACCATTGTTGTTGTCACCCTGTTATTTCCTAGGTTTTCCTAGGATGATTTACCATGGTATTTCCTAGGTTTTTGTTGTTTCCCAGGTTTGAGCCGGCACCCGGCGAGATCAGTTGACTCATCGACTGATCGACTGCCGCGCTGCTGACTGGAGAAACTCATTGCAGCATGCCTGGTGGAACTGATGCACAAATAGCGAGGATTTGACCGACAGAAAAGGGATGCAATGGGAATAATAATAATATTTACATATCATATATATCTATATATACATCATATATATATATCATATATATATATGATATATATATATATATGTTATATATCTAACATATATATATATATATACACATAGCATATATATATATAACATATATATATATATATATATACAACATATAACATATATATATAAATAACATATAACATATATATATATAAATAATATAACATATATATATATATCATATATATAACATATATATATATATATCATATGTATATATATATATATATCATATGTGTATATATATAACACACATATATATAATATAATACTACTATCTAGATCTGTAAACATATATATATATGTGTATGTATGTAAACATAGTATATGTGTGTGTAAACATGTATTTATATATATATTATGTGCATTTCATTTTATGCAATGTTATCCAATGGTAGGTTATGTTACATGGCACATGCCACACATTCCCAAACAAGGAGGCCGCGTTCGAAACCGTTCGAAACATTTTATTCAATGGGGGAACGTTCGATGTGTTTCTTTTAAGGTGGGACGGGGGGGAGCAAGGATTATTATGATTTTGGCAGGAAAAAGTGGGGCAAAGCACGAAAAGGTGAAGAAGCAGTTGGTTATATATCCCCATTAAGTATCCCCATGACAAATATTACCATGAATATACATGCATATCCCATTGTTGGTTTAAAATCTTCCAAGCATGTCCCATTGTTGGTTGAATAAATAGACCCGTTGTTGGTTGAATATATCCCCATTACCATCATATTCCCACTGTTGATCCTTGCTGGTTAGATATTTCAAAAATTAATATCCCCATCGCATATCAGTACTTAGATGGGCGGGATTAGTTAACTGGTCAGGAACCATCTCGAAAAACAACTGACTAAAGTTGACTAAAGTGACTAATCCCAGGGCCCAATTCAGCCTATAATCCACAGCATATCTTCATCGTTTGTTGTGATATCTCCAGCCCATTATCCCCATCACCACGTCGCCATGCGTCGCCTCATGCAGATACCACAAATGTGCCAGCCATCCCAAGAGCTGCGTGCGCTGATACGCCGCCCTCACTGTGACCTGGTTTGACAAGCACACAGCAGTCGCATGTTTCGTTGCTTATGTATGTTATGTATACGTATACATAATACATATATATATATATATATTTAACAGTATATATATATATATATATGTATGTATGTACACTGTGCTATAACAAATAAAGTATGTGTAAATATATATATATACACTACTATGTAACTAGGTATGTTATGTAATTATACGTATACTGTATGTCCCTATGGATCCAAACACCTCCTGAGAAAGTACTCAACCCCCTAAATGATACCCAAAAAACTTCCTAAGACCGTCCTAAGAAACTACTTGGGTTCATAGAGTAATTATTATATACATTATATATATATATATATAATTAAATAAATATATATATATATATGTGAGCATATAATCCACTTAGAAACTGTGATGCACATCTAAGTATATTCATCCCGCGGAAAGCCTGGATCAATAAGCCCTCAGTTTATTGTAGCTCCATAGGTCTCCTACACGGTGAATTCAAATATATATATATATACATATAAATACATCATTAATGGGACACTTGGCAAGAAGTCAGGGTGATTTATAGGAATCCTGGGTCAGCATGATTGCGAAACTGGCTTCGAACAATCCCTATTACACCCGACTACACCAGGTGGTTTAACCCACTATCATTTCCCCTACTAACAAGGGTTTTGGTCACTGCGGAAAAACTGAAACTCGGGGAAGAACTATTGATCCGGTAAAGTCCTAAAGGGAACTTAGATGTTTGGGATGATTACCCTTTCGCAACCAGCCTCTTTCGTGTTGCTGTTGGATGGCTACCCAGAGTCATTTTTGCGGCTATGGCGGCTATGGCCTCCGCCATCAAAATTATGATGTGCCCTTGACTTTGGTCGGTTTGACGTAGAAAGAATCATCTTACTTCTCCTCTTTGTTTGTTCACCCAGTGGGATACGACCCTTTTGCTTGCTTTCCCCATATCTACTCAACTCAAGGGTTCTTCGTTGCTTGAACGCATATACAGTATTCAAATATAAGTCCCCACCAACTCTTACAGCAAGAACAAATCGCTGTTTCACTGATTTCATGCCTCCCCGCAACTCTCCCAGCTAGCTGTTGCTTGTTTCATTGAATTGGTTTCAGGGAATGTTTGCAGAATTTTGCAGAACATATCCATATTATTGATTATTATTTCATGGAGAAAAAAACATGGTTTCACATAGTTTGACATGGTTTGCCATGGTTTCACATGCTTTCACTGTGAACTTCTTTAGTAAGAAATCATCCACATGATCAGCCAACCCAGCCCCTGCCTTCGCCTTGGCCTTCGCCTTGGCTTTCCCCTTGGCGCTTGCCCTGCGCTGTGGATTGCTCGCTTCCAGCGGCTCTGAGGCTTCCGCTTCGCGTTGCGCACCGGGCGCCAAGCCGTCCCCGGGGGTGTGGCAGAGTGACAGCATGGGCGCGGCTACGGCACACATGACCACAGGAGCTATGCATAGACTGGTTGAATTTGTTCGACATGCTCTGACTATATACACCTGTTGGTGGCTGAGCCACCCATCCCATTCGAATAATGAAAGTGAGTTGGGATCATCTTTCGATTCTTTGGGGTTGAGTTGAAAATCAAATGACAACAAGAATCTTGTGACCTCCTGGGCAGTGGAAATTTGGACCGTAGTAACTGGGTCTGTCGTGGACCTTGGCTGTCCACTTGTGCTGTTTGACTTCAAAAAATCAGGTGATTCCCCATACAACGATGATGCAAAACGCGGCCCCCCAGCAAAAAAAAAGATAAACAAAAGTAGTTTACCATCTGGTAAAAACAAAGCTGTGGAAAATGGCCCATGTCTATGATGATTTACCTATTAAACAGTGTTATTTTCCATAGCTACGCTAAATTACCAGAGGGTAATGAGATAGTGAACAGCCATTCTATAAATTATAATATATATATAATTACATGTATAGAGAGACTCAAATTGAATCCGAATTGGCAGCGTCGAGTCAGCCATTCTGTGAGTCCCCAAGATAATGTTTGCTTCAGTGGTTCAAATACATTGTTGTTGCAACAGCACACAGTTTAGAAATGGGAGTAGAATCCACAGCTCCTGAAATATATATCAGTCAAGTGGAAATCACCATCCGCCATCAGTTATCCCAAGTACATCTGGAAAGCAACAACTTAGATACTAGGAACAACAACCCCGGTTCGATTGATCACACTATGTGATCCCATTCCCCATGTCATTCAGTTCTTTTTCATGTAAACCCCGCATGTTGGCCAGAACAATCTGGCCACTGGTAACCAAAAAAAAACGAATTACTTGAGGTTTGTCTTCAAAATCATACTGGTAAACTTAAGCATCTAGTTTTTGCGCTTGGCTTCACAGCATGGAAGGTTACCTCCAGCTCGGAAGGATATCAACACGTTCAAACTGCCACAGACGTTCTAATTGTTGGTACTCCCTACGCTTGGACAAAACAATGATTTCATCATAATTTCTAAATTGGACCTAAAGCATGTGTGTCATTCTCATTTGTTGGGGGAAAAAACTAAACATGGAATACACAAATGCTTAAAACAAAACATACATCAATAATTAAATAACTAATATATATATATATATATTATACAGTACATGTATACATATAACATCCAATGTTTTATTATCCCAATTTTGTTGTTTATGATCATTATTGTATGGATCCAAGTAGTTTCATGGGAAGTATATCAGGTATATTTTAGATGGTAAGCCGTACCTTCTCAGAAGTGTGCAAATCCATAGGGATTATCATTATCTGCCATGAAAATGAATGAGTAACCATATTATTGCTGTCATTATCGTTCTAGATAAAACTTGTGTTCTGTAAGATTTCGTATCATTCCCTGTGGATCCAAGCAATGCCTTAGAAGGTACGTACACGATGCCATAGTAACCCCCTAAATCACGGCCCTAAACATCCTTCCGAAGAAACTACTACCCATGGGGATTGATTATCATTGCCCATGATTTTTTTTTCCCACTATACCATCTGGTTATTTAACGTAGCCATGGAAAATCACCATTTTTAATAGGTAAACCATCTATAAATGGGCCATTTTCCATGGCTGTGTTAAATAACCAGAGGGTACACGTTTTTCCTACCGAAACGCATGGGCTTCCTGCAAACTTCAGAACCCGACAGCATGGCGTTCCAGCTGTGCGAGAAGTTAATGCCCGTCTCCTGGGTGCGCCAGGCTAGGTCCGCATCGCTACGTTTCAAACATATCACTAGGTTAACTAGGTTGATAAGGGATCTATAGTTATGTAATGTTATGTACAGTAGATTATGACTGGGTTGACTAGGGCTACATATGTTTACAATATTCTATAGTTAATTGGCCCCCCTTCAAGCAACATAGAACTGTTGGGTGACCACCTTCTGGTGTTGTTTCTTACCGCCAGTTCTGTTGCATGCATGGGATTGATCCAATAGCCATGGAGATGTTTGATAGGTCAACCAACAACCAAATAGCCAACCCAATCTTATCATGTGGGTGGCTTTAGAAACCTTTCAAATCGGGGTTCCTTTTGAGTTACATGTTTTTTTGGGCAGTGATCATTTCTTTTCACACAGTAATGAGACTAGAAGAAACGATGAAAAGATCCCATACAATTGCTAGGCCACTCTACTTTGAGGGGCACAACAACCATCAATATATTTAAAAGTAAACTATAGAAATCGATTCCTGTATTTATTCTGATCTATTGCCTTAGCATAGTTGTTTTGAATACATGATCATAAATACGTAAAATGGCTTCCAATAAATGGACCAGTGAACGGATCAACAGTGCCATCTCTGCACGGCCCCGGGTGATCCCCACCCTTACACACTATTCTTACATAGTTTCTGCCATACCATCTGAAAGTATTTAATTCATCACTCATCAACGAAGATATGGATTAATTTACATACATGAAATTCCATGACTAATTAATCATGATTCATCACTCTTTAAGGCGCGCCTTTTCCGTTGTGTCCGGGGCTATAAATTACAACCGCTGCCACCTCACCGTCTCCTGCGCCAGGATATCACCCAGGCCGCGAGAGAATTCCAACATGTTCTGCGACAGCAACTTCAGGGCATCCATCTGCCAGGATCCCATGGCTTCGTTGTGGGTTGGTGGTTGACCTAACCCTCTGAAAAATAAAAGTTCGTCAGTTGGGATGATGACATTCCAAATATATGGAATAAAAGCCATGTTCCAAACCACCAACCAGAACCAACCAGTGTATGTTGTGTGTTTTTGGGCTTAGTTTAGCCATGTTTAGCCATAACTGGGAGAATCGATGAGAATCTACTTGGGAAACTGAACTGGGAAGTTCGAAGTGAACTGGATTGGGGATTAAGAATAATTCAGGGGAACATTTAGCAGCCGATCTGTCAACACTCTTCTCCAATCATTGTCAGTCCCAAATGCTACATGCTGCCTGATATTCACCTACTTACCATAATATTAATTCACTTTGTTGGTCAATGTTAGTAAATATCACATGATGGGCGTTGGGTAGTTGATGGTAGTTGATATATAACTATACCAAGAACTTATGGGATCTTATGGGTTTAAGGCATTTACAGCCGGTATACTTAATCGATCTACAGTTGAATGGGGAAATTTAACCAACATCCTGTAACTGGTAGGCCCCACTTTATAGGAATTTCGATCCTGATATGTTTGCCTCGAGAAAGAAGGACCATCAAAGGGAAGGGATTCTGAAAAATCAAAGAAATTGGGATGAACTCATCACCAAAACTGGGTCCACGTGAAACAACAACAAACCAACCAGATGACTAGATGTGAATCGTTAGTTCTTTTCAGCAGTGAAGTTTCTGTCTACCCAAATTCAAGATGTTTCATGTGATCTCCCACGAAGAATCACATGTTTCCACAGTTCCGTGCAGCAAATCCAATCCCTTCACGCCTGCCGCTTGGAAGAGGCTGCTTCATCGCTCATCCACAGGACCTTCTGCTCATCCTCGATCGAATCCCAGATGAGAACGCTAGCAGGGAAGGGAAAAGTGGAACAAAACCTGAAACAACATCAAGTGGATTGACACATGTCGCAATGTAGCCTGCAGAGCTCTAAATTCTTAATTATATAATCTTAATTGTCACCAGGGCTTGCTAAGCAAACACGGTATTACCTTTTGGATCTTGAAGAAGTACTGAAATCACGAGCTTTTCTGGGCGTTTTTACCACAAAGATTCTGAGCAATCGCCAGTATCAGTCATCCTAGCTGAACGGTGACCACCGTCGCCTGGTACAAGACTTGTTGCCACAACTGCGCTTCAAATTGGGAGTCCGAATCAAAGACCTCGCGCTGTGGGAGACTCCCTGCGACCATGGCCATGACCTACAGACCATTGCAAGTGATGCCTGGGAAAAAAAACACATAATTTACACATCTGAGAAACAACAAAAATGGGATGACTATGGATGGTTACGATGGTTATTCCATTTATGATTCCATGTACTCATCAAAATTCATGGTGAGGCTGGCCACTGGAATCAGTCTATACGTGTTTGTAATGTCAGTGCAATGGTACTCCTCAGCATTTTTGATGGCATTCATGACCTTGTTAGGAGCTGCAGTGTCTCGGAAATCCTTCAAACCGCGCACTAACCCGAATCTACGAATATCCTCGTGCCAGCCATATTGATTTTGCACTTCCTCTGCGCGACCCGTCGATTTTGTTGGTACCAGCCCAGTGGACACCTTTCTGAGTTGCTTTCAGATTCAAAACGTCCCTTGACCAACTCAATAGTTGGAAGACAATTTAAAATTTATTATTCATTATTTATTTTGTTGCACATTGTGACACTGTACCTTTGGTGGTACTGATTGGTGAGGGTACAGTTGTATGACTTATGACTGTTGACCCAATTTTTGAAGCACCCCAAGCTGCAAAGTCACCTGCATGGGCGGACCAAATTCGCCAGCCTCACAGGGGCATTTTGCGTGGCGGGGAATGACGCTGTATGATCATCTAACAATGGCTAATCTGACATTAGATACCCAGCAACACAACAAAACACAACATAAACATGAACACCTACCCTTCACCTAGGTTCTACCCGTTTTTGGCAACTATAGACACTTCACAAACAGGTCGCAGGTCAAGCATTATACAATTAAGAGTCTCAGTTCATGTTTGGGATGTTCTCTCGGGTCTACTGATGCTTTTTCTACTCCCGGAAATCTAACAGGGAACTCCAAACATAATGCACAATTGCTGCATGTCCACTAATAATATAACCTTCCAGCCCTCAAACAAACCCCTTTCCTCACAAATCAGTGCAAATATCATGATGATAATGTCAGTTAGATGATGAATTTCCTTCTACTCGACATTCTTACGATGATCGTATTTGATTTTTTTCACGGTTTTTTGGAACTAAAATCCCCCATGAAGTCCCGTCAAAAACTATGGCTTCACGGATTTCCCGATTCAGGGATTCCACGTCTTTGGTCGACCTTCCACAAGACTTCCGCTTCGTCAAAGGCCTGTCGCTGAAGCTTTGCGGCTCATTCCCATGGATCCACATGTAGCAGGAAAACATGGGAAAACTGGGGAGAACAACTAAGTGGGTTCATCAACTTCAGAACTCTGGGATTTAACTGATTTACCAAAAAAAACACATTAAAGATGTTTCTGCGTCTGTGTTAGTCAGTCCCACTATCAATAGTGGATCTTTCATCACTTCAAATCTTTTGGCTCGTGATTAATCCCATCCCCCTAATGATAAATGTAAGTTGATTTATAACCCCCGTTCACTAGTTCGATATATCTACCATAAACATTCATCAACCAAAGCTTTTGGATATAAGCGGCCGACGCAATTACTTACTACAAGTACCCTATCGGCTGTGAAGGTTTTCGCACACATTTGAACATCCCATGTCCACTCCCTACTACTCTAGTCGCCCGCCGTCCGCTCATTTTGTCATTCAAATATTGGACATATTATTGGAGTTATTTACACCAACTGAACTATGTATTGAATTATTATATATATATAAGGGAATAGCATTCGATCCCCACAACTGGAGACACTGCCCCGGGGCGCAGCCTGGCTCAGCAACTCTGGTGGTGCGTTGGCTTCGCAAAGGCACACGCCACGCTTCTGGTGCGGGAGTCATGCTTGCATTTTTCTCGCACCCCAAAAAAAGAGAGAAAACAACACACCCCATATCTAATCCATATCTACTATAAAGTAAGGGTAAGTAGTTGTTCCATCCTATTTTTGTGGTTACTTTGTTGATAACTAGGGTTTTGCCTGGAAAATCCTTGAAATGAAGTGCAACATAGTGGAACTATATGGTGCCCCATTTACATGTCTTTGCAATTTGGAAGACGATCTCCAGACGCATGGCGTTTCCCTTGTTTCAAATTTTGAGACCTGGGACCTCAGATTAGCTGTCATGTCAGCATCATCCAAACACACCAAGATTCACAACATCTATGTGGCAAATGTGTCATGTATATTTATATAGTGTAGATATGTGCATATGTGCCTCTTTGTCTTTTAACTAAATCCGTGTCTGCAACGCTGTGTCCTAGGAGGTTATGGACACATGATGTGTATGTGAATGTAAGTCAACGAACAAAGCCATGTGCATGGCAACTATATACAAGTGAGTGTAATATTTAGATCTCTCCAGAAATGGGCGAGAAAATGTTGATATAAACCACTGAGTTTTGGGAACTGTACCGGTTTTTTCCAGACTAAACCCATCTGAGCAGCGTCAGTATATGGCAGGTAGTATCCGTTGCAAGATGCGCATTCTCCGGGAATGGCCACCCCAACGTCAATGCATATGCTGTAAGTATGCAAATGTGTATGTATATATATATATAATGTGAATGAACAAATGATCCCAGTCATGTTCTTGCTTTCTTGTCACATGTGCACAGCCTTTCATACATGTTCCATGAGGGTCCAACTCCAGACGTGGAAATCCTCAGCCGCTTTGGCTGACTGGCAGCTTGTGGTGGGAGGGCTGAGGAAGCGCTTGAAGCCATAGGATTGAGGCCAATCCTTTCTGGTTTGCTGAGGACAGCATTTATCGGTGGCATCAGTGCCTTTGGTTCTCCTGCTTGGGAAGCCTAGCAACATTTACCATCTTGGCTGCTTGTGAAAAAGATCTCGAGCGTTTTGGAGGTGGTGAAGGGGAATTTCTACCAGTGTGGAGCGATTCACACTGGTAGCGGAGCTACCCAATAAAGCTCCAGGGGACCTTTGATAACATCTGGTGGTTTTTCTGAATGTCTGAGGAAACTGCAACAGCAGCTTCGACCGATGGGAACACTGCTTCATCGAATCACATGGCCACACTGGTGCCAACATTCGATCCGTCAAAGGATGACTTAGAACAGTATACGCAAAAGGTAGAACTGCTTAGTGAGATTTGGCCTGCAGCAAAGATCAATGAGTTGATCACTCGCCTCATCTTGAACACGAGTGGAACTGCTTTTCAGAAACTTCAACTGAACAAATCTCAGTTGATGACAAATGACAAGAAAGGAGTGCAACTACTGGTCCAGCTCCTTGGCGGCCAGTGGGGAAAAGTCAATTTGGAGAAAAAGTACGACATTGTGGAGAGAGCACTTTTCCGTTGCCTTCAGAAACAAGATGAATCCAACGATTCTTTCCTAGCCCGTTGTGACGTTGTTTGGTCTGAACTTCTAGCCAAGAAGGTGCAGTTGGAAGAAATTCAATCGTACATAGTCCTCAGAGGGTCTCGTTTGAGCACAGAGGATAAGAAACGTGTCATTGTCGAGAGTGAATCATCGTCAAGTGGAGCTTTGAACATGGAGAAGGTCACACAATCTGTTCGTATGCTGGGTACTTCATTTTTCAATGAGATGATTGGTCAAAAGGCCTCCAAGGGCAAGATTTATGAATCCCAAGTGATGCTAGCTGAAGATCAAGATGACTTTCAACATGATGGGTCTGCATACGTAGCTGATGAATATACCGAGCATGAGTTTGTAAGTCAGTTGCTGCAAGATGATGATGAAGATGCAGCCTTGATTGCCGACTATGAATCGATGGCCGCAGATGTGCTGCAAGGAGACCTTGCTGCCACATACAACGCATACGCAGATGCCAGGAGAAGACTCTCCGACCGTTTCAAGCATAGAGGATTTTGGCCAGTAGGTCAAGGCAAAGGTTCAGGCAAACCGTCCGCACCAAAGGGCAAAGGGAAGTATCTCAACAAGGGTTCCAAGAAAAGTCTTCAACAGAGGTTCCTTGAAAGCCATTGTCGATTGTGTGGTAGGAAGGGTCATTGGCGTGCGGAGTGTCCCGACCGGACACGTTCGAATGCATCAACTGGTTCCACGAATACATCAGCAGCCATGACCGTTTCAGCAGTGTCCCAGTCCATGGAAGAGTCCGATGCGCTTCCAATGGAGTTCATGCAGCTTCCGATGGTGCATGAGGAAACCCTAGATGTTCCCAGTTGGCAAGAAATTCATGTTGTTCTTTCATCCATGGAGGAAATTCGGGATAGACTCCGTAAGTTGGGTAAACGGGGTAAAGGGGAAGATAATCAAAACCCGAATGAAAGCCTGCCCAGGAATGAACGAATCACAGAGCAACCTGAGAGCCGTTTTGTGGCATCCGTGAGAGAGCAGCCAGCAGTAGCATATTTTTCCACGTATGGCACTTGTGGCATACTTGACACAGGTGCGTCGAAGTCAGTGATGGGTAGCAAATTGCTACCTGCCTTACTTGAGGGCCTTCCAGTTGAGATGAGACAGCAGGTGTTCAGGACATCATGTGACATCACCTTCAGATTCGGAAATCAAGGTACCTTGGATAGCCAACATGCCTTAGTTATCCCCTTAAAATCTGTAGGTCTGGGTCTCAAGATTGCAATCGTGCCTGGCGAAACACCGCTGCTGCTGTCCAACACACTCCTGAGGACTCTCAAAGCCAGTTTGAACAGCGAGCATCACACGTTGTCCAGTCCTTTGTTGAACCAGGTTGTCAAACTTAAGCTGAGTCCCAGAGGACTCTACATGCTTGATCTGATAGATTTGCTTCGTGCCCAGAAGGATTTGCAAGGACCTCGTGATGCAATCATGGCCGAAACTTTCATGAGCAGTGATTTTTCCAGCGAAAACCAGCAAGCTGAAACGTGTCAGCCAAGCCTCAGTGAAAGTCAAGGTAACAGTTTGAAGTCACTTTCAACACCAACAGGCCCAGGTACACAGGGACATGTTCACATGACCAGCCGAAGCCAGGGCAGTGAGTGTAGTTTCGAATGTACAGAGATCTCCCGGCCCAAGCCACCATCAACCGAGTTTCTCCACCTTGTTGCAAAGGTAAACAACTGTGATAACCATGAGCCAACATCGTATCACCTTTGGTCGCACTCACGTCAGGAAAACATTTGCAGAGATGTGGGATCAGGAGAAGTCATGGATGAAATGGTTCGCCAAGACTCACGCCAGCAGCACCAAGCCCGAGCACCTGAAAGTACTGGCTTATCAGGAAAAGGTGTTGGATCAGTACGAGGAGAGCCATGGCATGGTGCCTCTGAAGAATCCCGAAGATCTGCAAGGGGTGATGTTGCCTCGATCCAAATGCATGCCCAAGAGCAAGGCCATGCCGGCACATCAAGTGCCTGTGGAGGTGATCGAGGAGATTGTGGATCCCAGCAACCCGTGGGATGTCATGGACTACACAGCACTGCAACAGGACCAGACCAACGAGATGATCGAGGCACTCCAAGCTCGAGTACTGAACATGGAAGGTGCCATCAGCGAGATCTTAGGACATCTCCGTCAGGGGAAGTGAATCATGCTCTTCGGATGTTGTGCTAGGCTGGTGACATTGATGCCGAGTTTGAAAATAACCCAACTGCAGAAGCCCATTTCAGTACAAACACACCAAATCACTTACACTACAAATTCCATAAACTTGTTCAACAGTTTACCAGCGAATTGAAGTCAATTTCACAATCATGTTCCCAGAAAGGCACACCAATTCAAGTCTTGGAAGTCTTTTGTGGACCTCAGAGTGAGCTCACCAAGCAAGTCAATAACTTGGGGTATAAAGGGGTTAGGCATGGTTTTCAAGAGGGTGACCTTGCAACTGAATCCGGCCGAGCCGTTCTTTTTACCAAGTTAATTGAGGGGCAACCTCGAAGTCTCTGGTATAGCCCTACATGTAGTCCTTGGTGTGCCTGGAGCGCAATGAATGCCGCGCAGACTGAGGCAGGGTTCAAGACAATCCAAGCTCTCCGACAGCAACATATGTACCAACTGGCATTGGGCATTGTGCTTTTCCGTTTCCAGAGACAGAATGGCAGACACATGCACTGGGAGCAACCTGCTCGATCACTCATGACCAGGTCTCCGATGTTGCGTGAAGTAATGGAAAACACATACCTTGCCCAATTCGACATGTGCAGAGTAGGAGGCATGCGTGACCCTGTCAACCAACTTTTGTACAAGAAGGGAATGGAAATCCTTACCACGTCCTATCAATTATACAGCCAACTTCACGGTCGTAAGTGTAACCACCTTCATCAACACCAAACACTTGAGGGAGAAACAATGTTCAAAGGTCACCGCATGAGAAGAACTGAATTTTCTGAGAATTACACCCGAAAGTTTGCCCGAACGTTGGCCCAAGTGCTTACCAAAGTCAAGATGATTAAGGAAGCACCACTGCATGTTGCCGAGCATGAACCTTCGTTTGCAAGCTCAGGAGCCAAGAGAAGATCCGTTTCTGCCGGTGTCCAAAGTGCCAAACGAGCAAAACTGAAAGAGGGTAGCATCAAAAGTGTCTTGATCAACCCAGAAATGTTGCCGTCCAAACGTAGGAGACTTTCTGGAAAGACCCAAAGTGATGATACCCCAAAAGTGTTGTGTGAACAAGTTTGCAACAGGGTACTTGAGATCATGCCGAAGGTTGGACGCAAAGAGATCAATGACCCTCAAGTAAAATCCATGTTGCAAGAAAGTTTGGGGATAAACAAGTACAAAGAATAATTGCATGTAAGGGGACTGAAAGAACGTTAGTACCACCAAAAGATCTCATGCGAGGAGAAGCCCCGTACCGCCGTGCGGTAATCATGCAGAGAAACACCCGAAATGTACTGGTTGAAGATCAATGGGAGGAATGGGAAGACTTGTCATTTAGGCAGCAGTGGAGGAGATCGCATCCAAGCTACCTAAATATAACAGTTTTTGCCTGCAATCCCAATGCTGAAGTAGCAAGCTCTGCCAAGCCAGTAATTCAGGAAGTGGAACCAGCTGGACCGAGCCAATCTGCGACCTTGGATGGGTCATCCGTAGATGCTGCAATGCCTGAACCAATGCATCCGATGCCAAGTCCAGCCAGAGTAGAATCCCAAGAAACAGCATCCGAGAGTTGCGAGCCTACCAATAGTCCACCTCAAAGAACCCCAAGTCAGAGCTCAGCAGATCAACCTGATGCCGAAACACCAAGAGAGACTGAAAACGACACCACCATCCCAGAACTAGACACTAGACAACCTCATGAAATTCCAATCCCTGATGATACTGCCGATGAGCTAGTCTGTGACCTCCTAACGTGCCACGATGTGGAAACAGAAATTGGACCAGATGGACAAGACCTTTTCTGGCGAACAGAACTGGAAATCAGTCCCGAACAGCTGACAAATGCCATGCAAAGCCAAAATCAAAATCGCGAAGAAGCTTTCCTTTTCCTTGCGACCACTACAAAAAGACAGAGAACAGAAGTCAAACTTAGCACTCTAGATCCTGCGGAACGACAGGAGTTTGAAAATGCGAAAAATAAGGAAGTGAACAACTGGCTACAGACAGGAACAGTAGCAAAAATTTTTCGTCATCAGATTTCTCCAAAACAGATCCTCAGGTGTCGATGGTTGTATGTTTGGAAACCTCTAGAAGACCCCAAGGAAATCAAAGAAAATAATGGAAAGTCAAGAAAGGCAAAAGCGAGGTTAGTAGTTTTGGGCTACATGGACCCACAACTAGAAACTATCCCCAGAGATAGCCCGACACTAGGACGAACCTCAAAGATGTTGATTGCACAGGTCATTGCATCCATGCGATGGACACTCATGTCATTCGACATTAAGGCAGCGTTTCTACAAGGCAAAACACAGGAAGACAGACTGATAGCTGTGGAACCCGTCCCTGAAATGGTGAAAGCGATGAACCTCAAACCAAGTGAAGTTTGTAGACTAGTGAAATCAGCGTATGGTTTAATTGATGCTCCTTTCTTATGGTATACAGAACTGGACCAGCAATTGAGATCCCTGAATTTCATACCATCTCCATTTGATCCTTGCTTATACCTACTATATGAAGAAGGAAAAGATGAGCCAGCGGGTATCTTGGGGGTACACGTGGATGACGGCCTTTGCGGAGGAAACCAATACTTTCACGAAATGATCAAAAGGCTTGAGGCCAAATTCCCATTTGGGTCGCGTAAAACGCAGTCATTTGTCTTTACGGGAATAGAAATGCACCAACAAAACGACTACTCAATTGTCATGTCACAAGAAAAGTACGTTTCCAAAATCAATCCAATTCACATCCAACCACAACGAAAAATACAAGAAAACCTTCCAGTCACAGAGAGAGAGAGAGACAGGACTTAAGAGCACTGATAGGATCACTCCAGTATGCATCCGTGAACACGAGACCAGACCTGTCAAGCCGCTTAAGTTTTCTGCAGAGTGAAGTGAACAAAGCGACCGTGGAGACTCTCATCCAGGGAAACAGAATTCTTCATGAAGCCAAGAAATACAAGGATACGCATGTCAGAATCCAACCAATTCCCATGGACCAGATACGGTTCCTTGCTTTCTCTGACGCATCATTCGCTTCCAAGAAACAACCAGAGTCACACACAGGAACAATTATCATGACCACTCATGCGGACATAGGAAAGAACCATGTATGTCCAGTAAATCCAATCAGTTGGGGCTGTAAGAAAATTCAAAGAGTTGTCACCAGCACGCTGTCAGCAGAGACCACGTCCTTGAGCACAACCTTGGACCAGCTGTCATGGTTGAGACTTTTTTGGAGCTGGATACGGAATCCCAAGACAGATTGGAAGAATGCAACCACCACACTCAATAAACTTCCAGAAACTTTTGCGACAGCCACGTTCAAAGAAGACCCCTCAATAGCAGTCACCGATTGTAAATCATTGTTTGATTTGGTCACTCGGACTGCTCCACCCAGTTGCCAGGAATTTCGTACACAACAACAGGCAAGAGCCATTAAAGACTTGCTGGCTGAAGGGGTAAGGCTTAGATGGGTTCACACGGGAGCACAGCTGGCAGATGCATTAACCAAAATTATGCAATGTCATTTTCTCCGTCAGACCCTCCAATGTGGCAAATACTCCTTACATGACGAGACTGAGATCCTCAAAGAAAGGGCATGTAACAGAACCAGGGTGAAGTGGCTCCAAGCTACCACAAGTGGAGAAAGCAAAGATCAACAAGAAAAGTAGAAAATTCTTGTTTTTACGAGTGTGAATGAACAAATGATCCCAGTCATGTTCTTGCTTTCTTGTCACATGTGCACAGCCTTTCATACATGTTCCATGAGGGTCCAACTCCAGACGTGGAAATCCTCAGCCGCTTTGGCTGACTGGCAGCTTGTGGTGGGAGGGCTGAGGAAGCGCTTGAAGCCATAGGATTGAGGCCAATCCTTTCTGGTTTGCTGAGGACAGCATTTATCGGTGGCATCAGTGCCTTTGGTTCTCCTGCTTGGGAAGCCTAGCAACATTTACCATCTTGGCTGCTTGTGAAAAAGATCTCGAGCGTTTTGGAGGTGGTGAAGGGGAATTTCTACCAGTGTGGAGCGATTCACAATATAATATTATATATATATATGTATATGTGAATGTGTAAATTTATGGTATGTTTTTGATGTGTATACGTAAATGTATACTTTCAAACTTCAAAACCTCGGGTGTTGAGAGGATGTTTCATTGAAATGCCTCAACAAACGTCAGAGTTGTTAACAAACCAACTCAACATGACGAGGACAGTCCAAACAAAATA